TTTATATACATATATATATTTAATTTTTTTTAGAATTAATAAATAATAAATATAATAATACGAATGGATGATGAATGCATTTAATTAAAAGATGTCCCAATATATAGACCCAAAAATTTTGTTAGATAAATTACAATTAAAGAAGAGTCGAATTAACCTCCCAAATAGATAGAAATTTAATAAATTGTTAACACTTAAAATCTTTTTGAGTCTTTAATAGAGTAGTTTGTTTCCATGATAAAAGAAGAAAGCTTATCATCATAACATATCATCAATATAATCTATCAAATACTATTAAATGTAGGATGGAGTATTTTTGATAGAAGTACAACTGCAAACTTATTAGACAAAAGCAAGATTATTAAACATTAATGTATATATTTTTATCAAAGGTTGAGAAAGTTTTTCCAATAAAATTAAAATGAAACACTAAATGGTCTTTTAATGAAATTGTAAAAATTATAATGCGAACAAGAAGATGAACAATTTAATCAAGAAGTTAATTTTTATCGTTCAAATACTATGAAATCTACTTATCATCCAAGCGGTGGTGAAATGAAAAATAACCTTAAATCAGATGCTAATGAAGAATAATAAAAAGAATTAGAGCTAAGAAATTAAAAACTTAAAGAAATGCAACTCAAATTAGATTGCAAGGATAATGTTATAAAAGATATGACACAAGGATATTTAAAAGATGTTTAACATATGAAAGAGTTATTATTTAGAAAAAATGATTAATAGTTAAATATTTTTGAAGTTCAATATTTTGATTCAAAAGAAGGATTTTCTGAAGAATAAACTAATCTATTGAATTAAAAAATCAAAGGAATCTAACAATAATTTGAACATAAATATTTAGAATTAACTTCATCAATCTAACATATTACAAATGAAAATAAATAATACATTGCATAAATTGATAAGTTCAAAGACAAACTCAAAATTCATGAAACTAGTGTTGGTTTGCTATCTAGAGTAATTTAAATGGATAATAATGATCCTTACATTACTTGGAAGAATATTTAAGATCTTAAAGGAAATTAGTATTTCTTTTAAGTATTTGAGAACTAAAAGCATACTTATGGTATAAATTATCGAGAAATTGATAAGTTAATTATTTAAAGTAAGTCATAACAAAGAGAACTCTAACATCATAGATAGTAATTAGAAGAATAATTATCATAATTTGTTGATAGATAAATTAATTATATTAAAGATTTGTAAGAAGAAATTGATGACAAAAATGAATTTATTGAAAAACTTAAAAACCATTAGAAGGAAGTTGTTTAAGAATGTCTAAAATAGAGTAAAGAACAGATGGAAATTGCATTATAGCATAGAAAAAATGAAAGTAAATTATTTCTTATAATAGTGTTATAGCAATTATTTGGATAATTTAATGAACTGAATGAAGTTTAAGCAAATTTCGATCAATATAAGGTTAAAGTTATGTTTAATAAATGGGTGCTCATTAATAGAATGTTAAGATGTGTTAAAACAATAAGAGACTAATTCATATTAAGATAAGAGATTAAGGAAATTATTATTGGAAAAAAAGAATTCGAAGAAAAATTGATTGAATATAAAAATAAAAAAAAAAAGAAAAGGGATATCATTAAGAATTAATATGAAGAATTAAGATAAACATATGAAAATGAAAAGTATAATCAAATTTATTGGGAATACAAATATTTAACATAATAAAAGGTTGAATAAATTTTAAATCAAGAAATCTCTTTATTACAACAACAGTTTTCCTAATCAAAAGAAAATGTGAAATAGTTGTAATTAAAATATTAAGTAGTCTGCTTACATTATTAATAACTCTATCGTTTATTCGATTCAAAGTAAATTAATTTTGAAAAATTAGATAAAAATTAAATTAAATTGGTAGAATATAAATTAAAATAATCAGATTAGAATAAAGAGCACCTCTCTTAATAAATGGCTCTTTAATAATATTAATAATTAGCTAAATAGGAAGTATTATTTTCAAATATTTAAAACAGATCAAAATTTTGTTAGACAATTATCTTGAATGTTAATACCCCTATATAAAATACCAGTTTTCATTATGATCTTATTGAAAAAATTATGAAGCTCAAATTAAATGTAAATGAAACTTCAAATAAACAAACGAATACAGATTTAGAAATTTAAGATAGAGGAATTGTAAGTACAAAAGAAGTTGAAATATAATGCATAATAGAATCAATATCTACAATTTAATAGTAATCTCGTCCATTTTTGAAAAGTAATATGATTCATTAGGATCAATTAAGATCAGTTTAAACTCCCTCTTAATTATGTTTATTGGAAGAGTATTCTGAATAAATTGATACTTAATAACGCTAAAATTAAAATGAAATTAAAATTATAGATCATTAGAATACGAATAATTTTAATCAAGAGAACAGCTTTCTCATCTTTTAAAGAAATTCATTAAAATTTACTAAAGATGATTTTAATAAAAAAGATTATGAATCTCAGTTATTATATGATTAAAATAGACTTTAAATAAAAACTCCTTAAACACCAATTCAAGCTTCTTTAAGAGTTAAAGATTAGATTGAAAAAATATCTTATCTATCTTCAAACAACAAAGAACACTCTGTTGATCAACAATAAGACATATTTTAAAGATTGTATAAGGATAGCATGAATAGAAAATAGAGATTATAAATTTTAAAAAACAATATAGAAACCTTGGATCAATTTAAATGGGAATAAATTCTTTAAATAATATAATCGAGTCCTATAGATTAAGGAAGAGGACTGAGTTAGAAATCTAGTAAAAGACCTTAAATGTACTATTCTAAATAAAAAGGAATTAAAGATTTAGATTATCGATTTAGTGATTAGGAAAAAGACAATTAAAGAAGATTATCCTATAAACGAACAGGCACTTAAAATAATCGAACATTTTAAATTTAAAAAACTCACTAAATTTAAAAATAGAACACAACATTTGACTTTTCTCATAGTAGAGGAAATAGGTAGAATTTTTGATATAAATATGATCATATTAATATATGTATGGATAAAAATCTAAGGATCAAAAATTATCCAAAAATTCCTCTTTTAGTTTTTCCATATATATTAGCAATAAGGCACTAAGTAGTCTTTTAGTCATTGTTTCTTTTTATTGGCAATACTAATTTTTGTCAGATCACGTAATTTGAATAATTTCTTTATAGTAATAATAGAAGTTGTAATGTGAATAATAGTATAGATTAAAATACTAGTTTTCATCTTATTTTATTTTTAATTTAGAACCCTTTTTATGCAGTTTAAAAAGGAATAAGTAATACAAGTTGACGTGGCCGAGTGGTCTAAGGCGGTGGATTAAGGCTCCATTCCGAAAGGGCGCGAGTTCGAACCTCGCCGTCAACATTTTTATAAATTTTTAAAAAATATTTTATTAAACCCTATAAAGTAGTATTAAAATAAAATTTAAATGTGTTATTACTTTTTTTAATCTCAATTTACTTTTTTGGAGACTTGATTTATTATATTTATTTCTTAAATTATGTTGGTATTTATTGATAATAATGGTTAAATAAATCATCATAAGAACATGAAATTTTTAAAAATATGAAATGTAACAAAATTTCTCTTTGATTTGCTTAATCTACCTAAATCAGCTTTTCTATTTCCAAATAAAAATGGAACATTCTAATATACATATTGAAGAATCTATCCTATTTTCAGAAAACTATGGCAAATGAAAAATTATTTCTTTGTTATTGTATCAGGTGCAATAATTATTTACTCAAAAATACCCATATTTAAAGTTTATATTATTTCATTAGCTCATTACTTTATCTACTTTTAATTTACAAAACCATGCTTTTATTTTAAAATTAATAAATATATATACAAAAAATTTTATGTAAATCTATTAAATATATTTGTTTTATTTAGTTTAAAAGGCGATTTTTATAATTTGTTTTAATTTGATACCTCGAAAATTTTTTCTAGAAATACATTGAGATATAAATTATCAAGTAAGCTATTGTAATTATTATGAAATTTAATAATATTTATGTAAAATATTTAAAGATTGCTTATAGCTCCAGATTCATCAAGGAAGTATTTGATCAAATAAGATGCAATGAATTTACTTCTTGGCATTATCCTCTGTTTAATATACATTGATTATTTGATAAATGATAAATTGCCTTATTCTGCAGCATGGTTTAAATGTTCATATTTATTCCTACTTTTTGCTAGCAACTTATGTGCTATCTTCTTATATGTTCTTTTTATACCTCAATTAATAACATTAAATTAAGAATAAGATAAAAAAGATCAAATTATTTAACTGAGAACTTTATTGTAATATAAATTGCATCAATATTTAAATATCAATTAATGTCTGATAAATAGTTTATAGTTACCAGGTCTAATATTAGTATTTTTGGATTTATTTGGAGAATCATAAGAATAAACACAAAGTATTAAGTAAATATTAATTAAAATCATCTATAGAACACTTGTTAGATATTCAGTTTTTGGATATTTTATAAATCGCATAATTATTGTAAAATTTATTGAAAGTGCTCATGAAGAATAAATGATTGTTGAGTTCAAAGAAAGTTTTATTAAAATAAAAGAATTATAAGAAATTTAAATGAATTCTCTTGATATTTGTCCAATTTGTTATGAAGAATTTAAAATAAAGGAACATATTGCTGAATATCAATGTCAAGGAAAACATACTTTTCATTAAGATTGTGTTTTAAAATGGTTAAAAATGCCAATGAATAAAACTAAAGTTTGTCCTTATTGTAAACAATTACCAGATTGTATTAATAAATATTTCTGATAATCTAGTATTTTAAGCTTGTATGATTTTAAATATAACTTTTATTATATTTATAGTATTACATAAATTAATATTATTCAAAATCTCTTAGAAAAATGATATGCTAACATTAAAATAGTTGCAATAATCACTTAGAATAATTAAATCTGTAACAAATTGATGTTTGAAAGTAATAAACCTAAGACCAAATATCCGAAATTTAGTTTATAATTTGAGAATTATCTAATTATAATTATTTGTTACATCAAAAATGCTTTTATAGCTATAGAAAACAAAAGTCTAACAATTAAAATTGAAAAGAATTCTACCTGACTTTAAAATTAACTATGAATTGATTAAAAACTAGGTAAAGAACTTAAGAAATTAATCAATCCAAAAGTCATCAGCAATTTTCTTAATAAATTCTCATTATATAATTCACTAATACAATAATTTCCAATAAAGTATCCTAGTAACTCAAATATTGATAATATTAAAGCTAGAGTTTCAATAGTCCATTACAATTAATTCGCAAATGTATAAAGTTTAAATAAATGTCCAAAATATACTAAACTTAAAGCAAACATTATGAAATTCACATATAATTTTGGCTCTTATTTGTTGCTGATTTTAAATTAAAATCTATCAAGCAATAAAAAAACTTATTCTTCTGTAAAATAAACTTTATTTGGAAAATTTGTTTAAAATATTGAATTGATATTTTAATGAAATTCTGCTTACAACATTTCAATTTTGTTTAAGGCAACTTACTATTTTTTTAAAACTTATTAGTTCTATTTCGAGATTTCCTGGTAATATGAAATCCTATTTAAAATACATAATGGTGAATCTTAAATAGTGAATAAAGCAAATAATGTGAATAAAGAAAAAGGAATCCACATTATAATTAAATTAAAAATGTATTACTCTTTGAAAATCATATGTAAAACTGATGAAACAACAATAAATTCTACTATTATTAGTAAGAATTCATTGTAAAAAATTAATCTTTAATTTTTTTTCAACATAAATTAAACTTATTCCATCAGTAAATAAAATATGCTTGCAGATGATATTCCTTATACTAAAAAACAACAAAAAAAAATTAAATTGTCTAAATAGATTTTTGTTTTGTTTAATTTTCCAATATCATCCAAATGCAAAGATCCATAATTTGAATAAAGATTGCATTGAGTACCTTGAATAAAGTAAGTACCAGATATAAGTATAAGAAAAAATAATAATAACTAATAAATAATAAATATTATATACGTTTTTATTTGCATAATGTAATGACAAAGGTTTGATGCAATACACAATTAAGTAGGACAATATAATATAAGTAATTCTAATAACAATTACTGGTATTAATTAATTTATTTATTCTTCCAAATATAAATGACTTTAGGGGGAATTCTTATTCTTAACATGTTATTGGGTTTGAATGCTAATTTAATAGTATAAATACATTAATTTAGAATGAATGTCATTATGATCTTCTAAAATTTAATCCTATGTGAAAAGATATAGAAGTTAATAAAACTGAAGGGTTAACAATCCAACTAATAATAATATGAGTTTTCTCAAAGTTTAAAAGTATTTTCCTTTTGGATTTAATGTTACAAGCAAAAATTACTTATCAATTACTATTGAATCAATTAATATTTTGAATTAATCTATTGGAAGGTTTGTTTAGTTATTTAGACTTTAAATAAGTTAGTTTAAAGCATTATTATTATTTTGTGACACTTGATTCATATTAATTTCTTGTTAAGATATTTCTTGTGAATTTTGTTATGAATTTGATCTATTATCTGCTCCTCCTTGACTATTGTTCATATTTATTTATAAAATATTTTAGCATTAAATTAATTCATTTATAGGTTGATTTCAACATTAAACATAAATCAATATCAATTACAAAATTTATGCACCTCTTTCTCAAATTCCTTTTTTAAAATTCAGAAATTATAAGCATCAGAAATTCTAATTAAAAAATAGATTTTACTTATTAGGATTAAGATAGTATTCTTTTATTAGCAAATAATATTAAAGAATTATAATCGTATTAATTTGTTATTCTAGATAGATTAAGTTAAAAATAAAAGAAAATACATTATAAACTATTGAATTATGATTATTTAATAAGGATTCGTCATTTTTTAAAAATATATAAATAAATTATGCAATTTAAAACTTAGCAATTTATTATAAGATTCATAAATTAAAATCAGAAAAGCCTGAGAAACTCAAAATTTTTTATAAATATCGTATATTTATATAATAATTTTTACATTATTATGATTTGTATTAAATAAAAAAAATTTATTAGAGCCAGGTCATGGTTCTTTCTCTAATTTAATATAGAAAGTATGATTTAAATATTGATAGCATTTCTTATAGTTATAGTTATAAATCATCAAATAAATAAATACAAGAGGAAAATTAAAATTTTAATTTGTAAATCTTTATAATTACGATGCATGTATTTAAAGTTCATTTATTTTTCTAGTTTGTTTTAATCTAACTATGAGAATGAAAATAGATGAATTTGATATATATAAATTAATAACTTCAATTTTTTGATAAGGCCATAATTAAATTTTAGTATTCAGATTAGACTATGTTAAATATTTTATTTGTCATAATTAAGAAATGGAATGTATTATTAATAATAACAATTTCTATTAATTTATCATTCATCAAAATAAAAAAATAAAAGTAAAATTAGTGATTATAAGTTTTTGATTGAGACTCTAAATTTATTATTCTTTAACAGCAATATGATAAAAAACCAGAATAAAAAAGTTTATATAATTGAATATATATATTGGTTTGAAGAGTTCATTCAAAAAAGTCAATCAGCTGCCGTATTGCTTATTCTAAAGTATAATAGATATATTATAATACTTTTCAATTTAGCATCTGTTTTTTGCCCTAATTGAATTTCATTTACAATATCAGCAAAAGTAGGTCTTTCAATTGGATTCTTCTTTAAGCATTTCTTAGCTAATTAAAGTAAGATAGGAGGGTTGCTATGAGAAGGTATTGATACTTAATCTTCTCCATAACCAACAGATCCAATTATCTAAGTTTAAGATAATCCCTCATATGGAATTTATTATGTTATAATTTCCCATAAGATCATACCAAAACTATAAACATCTGCTTTTTCTTAATATGTTTCTCCTCTCATAATTTCTGGAGCCATCCAATGTGGTGTACCTATCCGTGCTCCTTTATTAATTTTATGATCTATTTTCTTATTAATTCGAGATAAACCAAAATCACATAATTTAACATTCCAATTTTAATCTATTAAAACATTAGATGATTTTAAATCACAATGCATTACTTTTCTACCATGGAGATAATTCATGCCTAATGCAATATCTTCTACTATTTACATTAGAGCTTTTTAATCAATGTGTGTTTTCTTTTTATGTAAATGATCAAACAGACTCCCTTCTTCTAAATATTCAGTAATTAAATAATAATTCTGCTTCCTTATACAAACTCCCATATATAAGACAATATTTGGATGTCGAAGATTTGAAATAACTTCTACTTCTTTTAAAAAATCTGCCATTTATAATCTATATTTCAAATTTCCTTATGATTTTCTTTTACCATATGATTTAATAGCAACATCTTAACCTAACCATTTACCTTTATGTACTACTCCATATCCTCCTTCTCCTATTATTTATCCTATTATTAATTCATGGAATACTATAAGTACTCTTTCATTTATACCAAACTCTTTAAGCATAAATAATAGTTTTTTTGGCAAATGATGTTATTATCCATCATCTTTTTCTTTTTCTTTTCGTAATTCTTTTTGTCTTTTTTATTTCTTTTTCATTTTCTCATCATCAGATGAATCTGAACTTGAATCATTTCCAGAAACATCAGATTCTTAACTTGATGAATCTTAATCTTAAAATTTATTATTATTAGGTTCTGATTTTTGACGACATAATTATTATGTAATCGATTGTAATTTTTCTAATTAAACTTAATTAATATCTTCATTTAATATATTAATTTATGGAGGACTTTTTGAAGAGATAAATTCAGAAATTTCTTGTTTATTTATTGATTATTATCTTGATAATTCTTAAGTTATATTAAAATCTTTATCCTTATTTTCTTCTAAAAAATTTATACCATCATTTAATGCAACTGTATCTATTTTCTATTCATTTATTTTATCAATTGTTTTATTTGGGGATTCTAATTAATAGAGATATTTAATTACAAATTGGAGAATTAATTTATTATTTTCCTTCTTCATCATCAGCAGAATCTCCAGATTTTTGCAAGTCCATAGTAATTTTTCTTAGTTGTTTTTTATTTTTTTTGCTTTTCTATCTTTTTAATTTTAAGGACTTATTATCACTAAGATTGCTTTAATCAGAATGATCTGAGTCAGATCTAGTTGGTGATTTTTGACTTTCTTTTGTATTTCTTTTTTTTCTATAACTGTTATAAGAATCATTGCTTGATTCATTTTTATTATTATCAGGATATTCATTTTATTCTTCTTCAATTTTTTCCATATAAGAGAAAATACTTTTAAATCTTTATTATTCAATAGAAGTGTATAAACCTTTTCTATCTTCTAAGGATTCTAAAGGTTTCCTCAATCTAATTTTACCTTCCATAAATTTCATATAGTATTTTTTATACTCTTCGATAGATTGTAATATTTTTTTTCTATGACCTAATACAACAATTTTTAAATCTAATTTGAGTTCATTATCTGTCAATCCATACAATGTTTTTCCAGTCATTTAATTTTTAGTAAATTCTTCTTTATATTCTGCTAAATCCAGTGAATCAAGCCATGCACATACTTCTTCTAATTACCATTCCTACACTTAAATTTAAATTATAAAATTACTATTCTTTTAATTTTCAAATTCATCTATTTTTTCTAAAACTTACAAACTTAAAAAACCATGTTATAATGAATTAATTTGTTATAATGATTTACAATCTTCTTTTTATAATAAATCTTTTTCTTCTTATTCATTTGGCAATTGATCTTTCTATTTTTCATTATCTTCTTAAATCATTAGAGTAGTATTAATTTAAATCACACAATTTTCAATTTTATCTTTTTCAATATTATTTTTTTCAGGTTTTATATGAAACTTTTCTAATACAAATTAAGGTGGTTCATCTATTTATATATTTTCTATAAGATTATCTTGTTCATATTATTATTTATAATATTTTCTTTCTCTAGTATTAAAAAAATATCCAATTCCAAATTTTTTATTTGATCTGAATTATCCTACATTAATGTTTAATAAATACCATAGAAAATATTTTTATCTGATTAATAGATTAAACCCATTCCATCTCTTTAATCATCTTTCCATACTCCTACATATCTATCTCCATTAATATAAAAATGCATTCCTTCTCCACATTTTTTATTCTCTATCCAATCACCTATATATAATTCACCATTTTTATAATATAACTTCCCTTTCCCATGTTTTTGATGGTTTTTCCATTCTCCTTCATAACGATTTCCAGAGATAAATTTATATGTACCTTATCCATGCCGTTTATCATTTAACACTTCTCCCTAATATTCATCATCATTTGAATAAGTAATATGTTTTATCAATTTTTAATTCACCTCATGTTTATTAGGTTCTCTATATAAGAACTTCAAAAAATTCATTAATTAAATATGAAAATAAAAAAAACTACTCTAAAATGTAAAAAAGATTATGAATCAATTAAGATTGATTGATATCAGATTATCATATGGATCCTATATATCAATCACAATTAAAAAGCTTAATTAAAGAATCTAATCCTATTAAAATCAAAGAAGGCTCTTATTTATAAAGCAAAATTCAGTAATCATATATATTAAATGAGGATACTATATAATATTTAAATATTGAGAAATTCTTAATAAATAAACAAGTTGATATATGCTTAAATTTATTTTGGTATGTTTGCTATTCATATATGCTAAAAAGATAACATTATGGAAATCTTGAATTCTTTTTAAGAAGAGTGCTAAAAAGCAAAAATGACTCATGAATATAGATATATTAAGATATTAAGAATAATTACCTATAGTCTACATATTTATAATTTTAGAAAGACAAAAAACATTATTGATATTCAGAAAATAATCTAAAACATAATTAGAATTAAGAAATCAAAGAACTATAGATAAATTCTGTGAATAGTATTTAAAAAAATAGTCAACATGTATATATCATGAGAATGGAATATATTAATAAATGATAGAAACTTTGTTACCAAAAGCATAATAAAAAACAGGAGAGACCTTAATAATGATATGTTTGTAGGTTCAAATATGTAAGTAAGGTTGAATTAAAAAGTGATAACTTAAGTTAAATTTAAATTAACATATTTTAAAAAATTAAGGTCTTACCAGGACTCGAACCTGGGTTAAAGGAGTCAGAATCCTTTGTGATAACCGCTACACTACAAGACCCAATCTGGTTTATGAATTTAAGAATTAGTTATATAATAAGTTGTACATGTTATTATTTTTCAAAATTAAAAAGATAATGAGTTACCTACTTATTTATTAACTAATAAAAGAAATCTTTATTATCATTATTTAAACACTTTTGAGTTCATTGTTTTGATTAAACAATGTAAAAGTATTGGATGCATAATATTAAAATGCTGATTCTTGTTTACTAAATAAGTTTTGGTTTTTTTGGAATTTTAGAATTTTTATCCATTAACTAAATTAGTGGATTAGTAAATATAAAATAACTTATTTTAAGCAGTATTATTAAATAGATTTAAAGATCTTTTACTTTATCAATTTTTAATCTATCTACTTCTATTTATGATTTGATCTATATTGTTCTTTATTATTATTAGATTAAAACAATTGAGGATGTTTGGTCCACCTTTTCCTTATTAACTCTTATTCTCCTTTTATATTTTCTTATTTTCACTTTTAAATTTTGGTTAATTTTATATCAACAATCTATTTTAATAGAATCCTATTTAGATCTCTTGGTTTATTATTGAGTAGTATTTTCACTTTATGACAAAGGATGAATCTCACCTAAGGAAGTATCCCCAGAAAGACAATGAAGTAAAATTGGTTATCCATCAATTGATTGTTTTCTATATAGTTAATTTTGTGAATTGNTTCATATATGCTAAAAAGATAACATTATGGAAATCTTGAATTCTTTTTAAGAAGAGTGCTAAAAAGCAAAAATGACTCATGAATATAGATATATTAAGATATTAAGAATAATTACCTATAGTCTACATATTTATAATTTTAGAAAGACAAAAAACATTATTGATATTCAGAAAATAATCTAAAACATAATTAGAATTAAGAAATCAAAGAACTATAGATAAATTCTGTGAATAGTATTTAAAAAAATAGTCAACATGTATATATCATGAGAATGGAATATATTAATAAATGATAGAAACTTTGTTACCAAAAGCATAATAAAAAACAGGAGAGACCTTAATAATGATATGTTTGTAGGTTCAAATATGTAAGTAAGGTTGAATTAAAAAGTGATAACTTAAGTTAAATTTAAATTAACATATTTTAAAAAATTAAGGTCTTACCAGGACTCGAACCTGGGTTAAAGGAGTCAGAATCCTTTGTGATAACCGCTACACTACAAGACCCAATCTGGTTTATGAATTTAAGAATTAGTTATATAATAAGTTGTACATGTTATTATTTTTCAAAATTAAAAAGATAATGAGTTACCTACTTATTTATTAACTAATAAAAGAAATCTTTATTATCATTATTTAAACACTTTTGAGTTCATTGTTTTGATTAAACAATGTAAAAGTATTGGATGCATAATATTAAAATGCTGATTCTTGTTTACTAAATAAGTTTTGGTTTTTTTGGAATTTTAGAATTTTTATCCATTAACTAAATTAGTGGATTAGTAAATATAAAATAACTTATTTTAAGCAGTATTATTAAATAGATTTAAAGATCTTTTACTTTATCAATTTTTAATCTATCTACTTCTATTTATGATTTGATCTATATTGTTCTTTATTATTATTAGATTAAAACAATTGAGGATGTTTGGTCCACCTTTTCCTTATTAACTCTTATTCTCCTTTTATATTTTCTTATTTTCACTTTTAAATTTTGGTTAATTTTATATCAACAATCTATTTTAATAGAATCCTATTTAGATCTCTTGGTTTATTATTGAGTAGTATTTTCACTTTATGACAAAGGATGAATCTCACCTAAGGAAGTATCCCCAGAAAGACAATGAAGTAAAATTGGTTATCCATCAATTGATTGTTTTCTATATAGTTAATTTTGTGAATTGTTGTTCTCTTGTATTGATTCCATAATATTGATTTGCTAAAATAATATATACTTATTAATATTTCAATATCATCCAAATGATGCTTGAATGTATGCCTTATATAAATTTTACTCTATAAGTATTTACTCTTAATTTTTTTATTATGTTGTAATAATTTAGGTTGATTATGATTTTTGATTTATTTTTCATGTTTTTAATTCTTTTATAATAATAGTACTTTATTTCTTAAGCATTTCAATTCTTATACAATATACTCCTTTTAATTTAACTTATTAATCTTACTTGCTAAAAATGTAATTCCTTCATAATAGATACAATATGTTAAATTCCGCCATTTAATTATTTTATATGTTATAAATTTTTGTCAAATAATTCCAGTAATTAAATACAATAATAAATCAAACTTAAGAATTAAAAAATAAATAACACACATATACTAAAAATTATTAGATATTTAATGAATTTTTCCTCCTTCTCTAGATTGTATTCATAAGTAAATTTATTCAGTTTTTTCAATTCCATTTATTTTCTAACAGTTTTTTTATTTAATGTTTCATAACATCAATTATGTTTTAAATGATGCATAGCTCTGTGGCTAAAAATAATTTTCTTATAAAAATTAAGATTAACATATATATATGAAATAAGAAGGAGAAAAATAAATAAATTTAAAATAATTATTTTAAAAGGTTAAATATTAAATGTTTGAAGATGTTGATTTAAAATTCGAAAGGTATATTGAAAGGTATATTGAGAGTATATGATTATATCTAAATATAATATATGAAATAATGTAGTTTAGTTTGATTGATTGATTATATAATTAATTAACGAATGAATAAATCAAAAAGCCCTAATTAGAGAGACATTTAAAATGATAATAGTAAAGTGAGAATAGCAGTAAGAGTAAGACCAACATTGAATAGTGAAAGTGAAGAAGACTTTGTATAATTAATTGATGATAATACAATAAAAGTGACTCGAATTGGAAATAGTGTTAGAATGAAATTTAGTGACATACTTCCAAAAACAGCAAATTAATAAGATGTTTAACGATTAGTTTCTGAATCAATAAAATCTTTTATTTAAGGAATAAATAATACTATATTTGCTTATGGATAAACAGGTGCTGGTAAAACATATACTATAATGGGTGGATTACCTGAGAATGTAGCAAATGTATCAACTGAAAAGTTTCATTAAGTTATAAGATGTAATGAGAGAGGAATTCTACCTAGAGCAGTATAATCATTAATTTCTTAACTATAAACTTAGATTGAAGATGATTAATGTCGACTTTATTTATCATTCTATGAAATATATAATGAGAAAGTACTTATCTATAATTATCTAAAAGATATTTGATCTATTTAATCTAAAATCTTAAGGTTTAGATATTCGAGAAAATAAAAATGGTGATGTAAATATACCAGATTTATCTTAAATAAGAATAATGGATATAGATACTGCTTATGAATATTTAATATTAGGATTAAGAAATAGAGTAGTTGGATGTAGTCATGCTAATTCAAAGAGTTCTAGATCTCATTGTTGTTTTTAAATGACATTATAATAAGTAACTGTAATAAATGGAGAGCCTGTATTGTAAGAATCTTCACTTAAAATTGTTGATTTAGCTGGATCTGAAAAGTTTAAAATACCAACTGATTTAACACCTGAAGAAAAAGAACTTCATATTTAAGAATTAACATCAATTAATGGAAGTTTATCTTGTTTAGGTCATTGCATATCTGCATTAATAGATAGAAATAGAACACATATTCCATTTAGAAATTCTAAATTAACACGTGTTTTAAGTGATTCATTAAGTGGTAGTGGTAAAATATTATTCATTGTTTGTGTTTCACCTTCTATTTCTTCTAGTGCTGAAACATTCTCTACACTTTAATTTGCTAATAGAGCTAAAAGAGCTGTATTAGATGGTAGAAATATATAATAACCAAAAACTAATAAACCTAAAGGAGTTTCTTTTGAAGAATATTAAGAATTATTAAAATAATATTAAAAAGAAAAATAAATGAGGGAAGAACTTGAACTTATTGTTTAAAAAAGAAATCAAGGAGAACTTCTATAATAAATTAATAAATTAAAATAATAAAATTAAGAACTTTAAGAATAACTTTATTAAGTGTAATAATAATAAAATTAATAGTAATAATAATAATAATAACAATAATAATAACAATAAAATTAATAGTAATAATAATAAACTCAAAATATTCATTATTAATAATAATAATAATATTCTCCCTTGTTTTCAGATAATAAAAAATCACTTGCTCTTAATTCTAATGACAAAAAGGTGAGATTTGCTGATGATTTTTTAACTGCACATATTAACAATATGGAAAGCGAGGATAGTCAAGTTTTTGAAAATCTAGCCATATTCTAAGAATTAAAGTAATTAGAAAATAAAGATAAAAAAAAAATTATTGTAATTATTTAATAATTACTTCTAGAATTTTGAAGAAAAATTTAAAAGCTATTTTGGATAGTCCGAATATTAAACTAATGATTTAGCTTAATTTAATACGGGAAAATAATTTGGTAATTCATAAATATAATATTCATAGATTCAATTATAAGAAAAGTTAATGACAAACAGAATAACATTTCTAATATAGTTTAAGATCTTAAAAAAGAAATGTCTAAAGCTGTTAATCAACTTGAATAGTTATAAAGTATTTATTTTCTTATTCAATTAGAGGAAGACAGAGAACTGAAGAGTGCTGACTCTTGTAAAGAAAAGTAAGTTTATTTGTCCTATTTTTAGTTTCATTTAATACTGATTAATATAAGTTATTTATAAAAATTAAATTAATTTAAAAATGGGGCTTGCTTGTTCTTCTAGCAGTCGTAAACCCAACAAATGTCAATTGCAGGAGATATAATATCCTATAATGATTGCTTAGAATTTTATATCAATCATTGGACAATTATAATTATCTGATGACATTATTGGTGATTTACGTTACAATTTGAACTAGTTGATAATTTAAAGGAGCAAGTTAGCACATTGCATAGCTCGATTGTAAAAGAGATACTCTGATTATCATTTATCAGATCTAGAAAACCAATTCCAAACACTTCTAAAAACTGTTGAGTCTATTTTAGAGGATTGTTAATTAAAAATTCACTTTCCAATAATAGAATAATGTCTATTAGAATAGTTAGAATTACATCGTTATAATATGAAATAATAATTATGAGATGATAAGAGTTTTAAAAAATTTAAAAGCAAAATTATAAATTTAAACTATTTGTATAAATAATAATATGATCATTTTTCCTTTCTATTTTCATCACTAAATATTTGACTATAAGATAATTAATTATTTAATACTCTGCTTCCACTGAAGCTAAGTAATTTAGATTACTTTCAGTCGTATTGACTGATATAAACCATCCCAATACAGTAAGAACAGTAATTACTATTTAAGCATAAGTCCAAAAATTATATAATGTAGATCCATCCATAATAGCTTATACTTATGAATTTGTGGCTTCCTAAGTAATTCCAACAGACAATTCTACAATATTCTTATGACCTATCACCCATAATAAATAAGCAATATTATAAACTATATTAATATCAATCTTATACATAAAGCACTAATAATTGATTAAATATAGAATTTTTTATCTAAATTATTCTTTGTTTTCTCTTATTAATCTTTTAATTGAACACAAACAAATAAACTACCAAAAGCACTGATTAAAATTATAATATGAAAAACTTAATCCACTCTTAAACAATATTTAGCATATAATTTAAAAAAAGTTGTTAGTCCTTCTTAATCTGTACTTTAACCTAGAAATATGATGAAAACATGCATTAATGTCATTCCCTTTTTAATTTTAAAGGTTACCTGCCAATAATCCTTAAAAAAAGAAAATAAATCTATCTATTAATTTAACAGCTTCATGAATTAATTTATTCAAGACTAACAATACATTTTCAGTTTGAATTTGTTACTTTCTGCTTTCTTCCATCATTTGAATTTTCCTTTTTAATGCTTATTCATTCAACTCAATAAAACTACCATTTGTTAAATCTATCAAATAAAAGTAAAATATATACTTTCAATAAATATTTTAGTTATCTCTGGTTATAAATCCAATACTTTAATTAAATTGCTTTCATAATCTTATGAAGCATCTTCATTAATTTTATCAGCCTCATCAATTTAATTCAAATGTATTTCTCCTCCAGTTATATTTCTCTTATTTTTCCTTAAATGATTATCTCTAAAATTACTTTGCTTATAAATTATGTTTCATTAATACAAATAATAATTTAAATATAAATATATACTATATATGTTCCACATCATAAATATTTATTAATTATATTCACTTTCTTTTAATTCTATAATTTTTTCGTTCTTATTAACTTTATAAATATGCTTCATCTAAACCATTTTCACAATTTTCACATTAACAATCTACTGTACATTTAGATTTCCTCAAAAAACATTCACAATAACCAGTTTAACACCTAGACTTTTTACAATTGCAACCAAAACTATCTTTAAGTTTAAATAAAGCTTCTTTTGGAACATTCTTATTTCTATGACATTTTTCATTAACATGTTTTATTGCTATATTACGTTCTTCTAAATGATCATCATTATTCTAACACCCCTCAACACATTAACATTCTTTCAAACACATTCTTCCACTATGAAAACATCTACAATATCTTTTTAAACAACCACTATTTCTACAAAAACAAGGTTATTATTCTAATTAGTTATTCTTTTTTTTAATTTTTTTTTGTATTTACAAATTTTTAGTTTCAAATTATGACAATTTTTTATTTTTTTTTTCTCTTCTTTCTTCCTATTCTGATTGTTCTTTTTCAATTTAATCCTAATCTTTTTATTATAATTCTTAATTTTTTTTTTAATCACCAATCGTTGAAATCATAGACATTTGTGGTTATATTTATTAAAGTGGAGGGGAATTATTTTATGATGTAATTGATCTTCTTGGTCCCAATTGAGTCAAAGGATCATATAAATAGAAATTTGACCCTTATCTACTTATTGGAATTGGTCTATATTCATATTCATTTATTATATCATCCAATTAAGATCTATTTTATGATATTATTCTATACGTAAATTTTATTAATTTTGGGGGTTTACAAGGAGGAATCTCCTCTGCTTATGAAACAATGCTTGTTGTTCTTATTAGTGAAAGTTATTTAAATGTAGAATCTGCCATAATATTTAGCAATTATAATTAATAGATATATTTTTTATCTATTTTTATTATTAGATATCATTGTTCAACTCTAAATTACTTTTTTTAAATAGAAATATTAATAACAAACCAATATAATAATGTAAAAATCAAGTAGTTTAATATTCATATATTTTTCTCTTTTTTATACATATTCTTTTATATCATTTATCATTTTAACTTAAGTACATTTCAAGTTATTCTTTAGCTTAATTATCACTTATTGATTGTCTTATATCTTGTATTAATTGTGACTTTTTGTTATTTATTGCTACTTAAACTGCATGACGTTATTATCCAATTTTTAATAGCATATAACAAGATTCCTAATATATTGAATAATATAATACTTCTGGATCTGGCATTTTCATTATCATTTGTAAACCTCTCTCTTCCTAATCTGCTCTAATTAACATATCTCCAACTAATTCATAAGGAATTGAAACATTCTTTTTATTTTTTTCATTTATAAATCTTTCCAACTCTTCCCAATTCTTATTATTAATTAATGATTTTACTCTTGTTATATTAAATCTAATTTCATATATATTTATAAAAATTACCTTCTTTCTGGAATTTTGTATGTCTTTGCAAATTCTTATGCTAATCAAATATTATCTTTAGATAAAAATGCCTCCATAATTGAATTCAATGATCGTTCTTCCATAATTACTTTACTCTTTTCTTTTTCTCTCTTTCTACTTCTTATCTTAAATCATTCAATGTTCTTATTTATGCTTATAACATTTTGCTATAGAATGAATCTTTACTCTCTTCTTCAAAGAATTTCTAAGCAAATTCTAAAAATCTAATTTTCTCATTTAAGCAACTTTATTAATAAGCTTAATTGATGGCTAAATATCCACTTTCATCATATTTTTTAAATATTGTAAATATTTCTATTAGTATTTATCATCAAAATTTCTTAAATAATATATTAGATGAGCTTGGGATATCTGATTCTATGATAGAATACCAAACTTATATGTTTCATCCATATCAGTTTTCAAAAATTTCATAATTACAAGGTATATCAAATTTGAATCTTTGGAATTAATTGCATCAATTAATGCTTTTTCATAATATGAATTATTGTTGCCTTATTAATAATTAGCCATCCAAATCAATACTGGAATACGTTTAGATAAACTTTACTCATTATCAAGGAGTTTTCGATCTAATTAAGATTTCACTATTTCTATTGATTTTTAAGCAATTTAAGTAAATGAAATTCCTTTTTGTTCTTTAATTTTCTCTTTTATAATTTAGCATAACTATTCATCATCCTATTGACTTTCTACTTTACAACATGCCCAATGTGTATAGATTGTTGATTTTTATTTTATTTGATATTTTAGGAAACGAGAAATTTCAATAACTAAATAATGTAAATTATATTTGAGCAATAAAGTGATAAATAGATCTGGATTTTTAATTAATTACAAAGTTTATTCATATGTAACAACTCTACCTCCAGTTGTGCCATTTCTACGGAGTGCATTTGAGACTCTAAGATATTTACAGGTTTCATTTAACAGGTTGGGATAAATTAATTAATTTCCCAAGAATGTTTTTCCATAACTAGCTGCTTTTAATAATTTCATCTAATATTCAGGATTAATTTCAAATTAACCACTTTTAATACAATCATTAACTGCTTCTCCTAGTTCAGTTTTTTAGATTTAATTCATCATCTTCAATAGGATTCTTTTATTCAAATGATTCATATGCAGAATGTAATTGAGCCCCTGGTTTAAGAGAAAGTGGTAAAAATACATTAACAAATGAATCAGGTAATTTACGCAAGATTTCATTTTTTTTTTATGTTAAGATTCTAACTCCATCATATTCTTATTTAATTTAAAAATGAGGATTACTCATTTTGACTTTAGTGTAAGAATCTTAAGAAACTAAAACAATATATTATTATAATTAAAGGACAACACAATCATCTCTACAAAAAACCATTTTTCTAGGTCTTTCAATTTTGGTTATATCTTTTTCTGCAGTTTCTTCTTTTTTAATATCTTCTTCTTTAAGATCAATAGGCATTTATCTAAAATTAGTAGAATCAAAGAAATCTGTTATGAAGGAAACAACCCATTTAGAATTAATATAGTAGAGCTAGATTTTTGTAATTAGATGATAGACTAATCATTTTAATATTTTCAAGATCTGGTAATTTCTTATCAATTTCATTAACAATTTTATTTTTATTATAATAAATTTTCCATTTTTCATCTTCAATAATGTGAATAATTCCACCATCTGGATTAGTAATTAAAAGTTCCATTTTCCCACTAGAAGTTTTTTGAGGTGGAATAACTTACCAATGTTCTGGTTCTTGAGTAAGTTAAGAAGGTTTTAATTTATGAACTTAAGGTTCATACGCATTAGGTATATAAAAGAATTCAAAATTATTTGTCGTAAGTACAAATCCATTATTAACAATTAAGCCTTTAATAATTTGTTATTTTTTAAATTGATCCATAAGATCATATGATTTTTTAATCGCTTTAAAGGGATCAACAATATAATATGATCCATTCGTTTTAAGTAACAATAATTATTCATCTTCAAGAAAATCAAATAATGCAATCTCTATAAATATACTGGAAATACTTTGTCGATTTCCTTATATTAAACTTTTGATATAATCTTGCCATTGTTTGAAAAGAACACAATAGAATCTTTTAACATATCATCAGTTCGCATTAATATGACTTGATTATAATTTTTAGTAGCAGCCAAAGGACCACCCCATTTGGATACAGCTATGCGTCAATAAAAACAGTCAAGGTTCTTCTACTCACCTGTGATAGTATTGAATTGATGAAATTTATAATACTTTCTATTAAGTTCTTTCCATTATGCACTTGGATCCATATAAAAATAATTAAAATAATAAGAAAGAGTTAACAAAAGTAAAAAGATGTATAATAAAAAATATTTACATAAGATGGAGTTATTATATAAAATAATTAAATGCGCGCGTATTTGAGTTCATTTATCTTAAATTCAAATAGAGAGATGTATATTTTTATCAAAAAGTTTATTTTTTATCTTTTTGTTCCTTATTATTTTATAAATGAGTGATTAAGAAAGTGAGAATGATCAAAGTAATAGATAATCTGGTAGATTACGAGATAAGCAAAAGAGAAAGTACTTGATGTTAGATGCATAAGTAGGTACAACATGATGAATGAAGAAAACTATCAATAGGAGTAAATTGAAATAGGAAATGAAAGAAGATCAGCTAGAGTGATTAAGAAGAATTATATCAGCACATAAAGTGAGGAGGAAGAGTCTGTAAATGAACCAGTCATAGAAACAGAAGTGAAGCGTATTTTCATTCCAGAGATTGATCAAATTTTATGGAGAAAAATAGACTAAGACACAGCTTAAATCTAATATTTGATTAAATTTAAGAATAGAAGTTATTTACATACAGAATGGCTAGATGAAGAAAGAGTAATATTCAATTTATTAAATATCTTCAGATCCTTGAAGAAAAGAATGGCAAACAGAAAATTAATAGATTTAACAAAGTTTTTGAGAAGCGAATATAGGAGGAAATAGATGACTTTATAGAAGATTAATATTTTGATCCTGCATTTTAAGAAGTTGATCGTATATTGTCATGCACAGAAATATTTCCTATTGTTCATCCAAAAAAGGGATCTGAAATGATAGGAAAATGGCCATAATCACTTACTAAAGTTATGTCTCATTTACTTAATTTTACAAGAGATCAGATTCATTATGGTATATACTTTTTAGAATGTAAAACACTCCTTAATTTTGGAACCATTAATAATCGTCTTTATTTAGGATATTACAAAATTTATGATGATTNTTAAACTTTTGATATAATCTTGCCATTGTTTGAAAAGAACACAATAGAATCTTTTAACATATCATCAGTTCGCATTAATATGACTTGATTATAATTTTTAGTAGCAGCCAAAGGACCACCCCATTTGGATACAGCTATGCGTCAATAAAAACAGTCAAGGTTCTTCTACTCACCTGTGATAGTATTGAATTGATGAAATTTATAATACTTTCTATTAAGTTCTTTCCATTATGCACTTGGATCCATATAAAAATAATTAAAATAATAAGAAAGAGTTAACAAAAGTAAAAAGATGTATAATAAAAAATATTTACATAAGATGGAGTTATTATATAAAATAATTAAATGCGCGCGTATTTGAGTTCATTTATCTTAAATTCAAATAGAGAGATGTATATTTTTATCAAAAAGTTTATTTTTTATCTTTTTGTTCCTTATTATTTTATAAATGAGTGATTAAGAAAGTGAGAATGATCAAAGTAATAGATAATCTGGTAGATTACGAGATAAGCAAAAGAGAAAGTACTTGATGTTAGATGCATAAGTAGGTACAACATGATGAATGAAGAAAACTATCAATAGGAGTAAATTGAAATAGGAAATGAAAGAAGATCAGCTAGAGTGATTAAGAAGAATTATATCAGCACATAAAGTGAGGAGGAAGAGTCTGTAAATGAACCAGTCATAGAAACAGAAGTGAAGCGTATTTTCATTCCAGAGATTGATCAAATTTTATGGAGAAAAATAGACTAAGACACAGCTTAAATCTAATATTTGATTAAATTTAAGAATAGAAGTTATTTACATACAGAATGGCTAGATGAAGAAAGAGTAATATTCAATTTATTAAATATCTTCAGATCCTTGAAGAAAAGAATGGCAAACAGAAAATTAATAGATTTAACAAAGTTTTTGAGAAGCGAATATAGGAGGAAATAGATGACTTTATAGAAGATTAATATTTTGATCCTGCATTTTAAGAAGTTGATCGTATATTGTCATGCACAGAAATATTTCCTATTGTTCATCCAAAAAAGGGATCTGAAATGATAGGAAAATGGCCATAATCACTTACTAAAGTTATGTCTCATTTACTTAATTTTACAAGAGATCAGATTCATTATGGTATATACTTTTTAGAATGTAAAACACTCCTTAATTTTGGAACCATTAATAATCGTCTTTATTTAGGATATTACAAAATTTATGATGATTTCTGGTATGAATTAGGATCTGTCTTTAAAAGTGCTAATTAAGAATGGTTAGAAGGAACAGATATGTATAGAATTACTAATACTCTTAAAGAATGTGCAATTGTATTATATGATCTTTGGTATGATGAAGCCATATTAAATTATTAATCTAAATTACAATAATAAAGGTATATCAATGAAAAAGCATACAAAGAAAAAATCAATAATGAACACAGACTTGACATCATGCCAGAACTAAAAAAAGAAAAAATCAATGAATTAGTTACCAAAGTTTTAAATATTATTGATGAAAAATAGTACACCATTTAAGAAAATCTTTTAGATATAGAATTTATTTTGTAAAAAGAACTAAATATTTAATTGCAAATTTGTAATGAAGAAGACTTTGATTTAGAAGATTATTTGAAGAAATAACTTGAAATTAAAGATATTGATGTTGCTTAAGAGATGCAATTAGAAATGTAAGATTTTTAATCATAAATGGATGCTGTTGATCCAGATATTGAATCCTGGAATCCAGGATAAAAATGTTATGATTGGATTCATGTATCATCACTTGAAATATAAAATCTTACAAAAGAGGAAATTTACAATCTATCATAAGAACCTGATAAACTCTATTTTGTTAAATGGAAACATCTATCATATTTAGAAGCTACATGGGAACCAGAATCTCTTATTGATTGCAGATTAAAGATTTAAGAATTTAAATAATTTAATAGAAGTTTGGATAAAGAAACAAGAAATTTAATGATGCAATAATATAAAAATCATTAAACTTTAGTAGAATATGATTAAGGTATTAGAAAAAAGAAATTTTCTAATATCCAACTATAAGAAATCAAATCATCATTATATTTTCTTAATTAACAAAAACCTGCTCATGAATATACTTAACTTACATAAACAATTTATAAGGATAAAAGATTATTAAGAGATTATCAACTTGATAGTTTGAATTGGTTAATAAGAGCTTGGTATGAAGATAGAAATGTAATATTAGCTGATGAAATGGGATTAGGTAAAACTATTCAAACAATTGCATTCTTAAATCATTTATATAATTTTGAAAATTATAGAGGTCCATTCTTAATAATTGCTCCTTTGTCTACTCTTTAACATTGGAAAAGAACTGTTGAAGAATGGACAAATCTTAATGCTGTACTATATTATGATTAAGAAAGTAATGCTGGTAGATCACTTTGTAGATAATATGAGTTCTTTTATACTGATATAAGCATAAAAGGTATTTTATTAACAGCCTCAGAAATATTTAAATTTCAAATTCTAATTACTAGTTATGAAGTATTTATGCAAGATTTTCAAAATGTTTTTATCAATATTCCATTTTAATATATAGTTATAGATGAAGCACATAGATTAAAGAATTCTAATGCTAGAATCTTACAATCTCTAAAAAGACTTTCTTGTTAACGTACTTTACTTTTAACAGGGACACCTATTTAAAATAATACTGAAGAATTATTTAGTTTATTGAACTTTATAGAACCTTATTAATTCTCAAATATTATTAATTTTAAAAGAGAATATGGATAATTAGAAACCTCAGATTAAGTTGATAAATTAAATGTTTTATTAAAACCTTATATTTTAAGAAGATAAAAAGAAGATGTAGAGTAAATGATTCCACCACTTTAAGAGACCATTATTGATATTGAGATGACAACAATTTAAAAACATATTTATAAAGCATTATATGATCGTAATAAATCAATGTTGGAATAAGGATTTTCATAATGGGCTGCAAATGCTGCATCACTAAATAATCTTGAAATATAACTTAGAAAATGTTGTAATCATCCTTTTTTAATTTAAGAAATGTAAAATGATTTAACAAAAAGTTGTTAAACTAGAATTGATTATATTAATAAATTAGTAGAAAGTTCTGGTAAAATGATTCTTTTAGATAAATTACTCAATAAATTTAGAAATGAAGGTAGAAAGATGCTAATCTTTTCTTAATTTACTATGATGTTATAAATATTAGAAGAGTATTTAAAATTTAAATAAGTTAAATATGAAAAAATTGATGGATAAATTAAAGCAAGAGAGAGATCTAATGCAATAGATAGATTTAATGATCCTTCTAAAAAAAGAGAAGTGTTTTTATTATCTACAAAAGCAGGAGGATAAGGAATTAATTTAACTGCTGCTGAAATAGTTGTTATTTATGATTCTGATTGGAATCCTTAAAATGATGTTTAAGCAACAGCAAGAGCTCATAGAATAGGATAATCAAAAGAAGTTACAGTTTATAGATTAATTACAAAAGATACATATGAAGCAGAGATGTTTGAAAGAGCTATCAAAAAATTAGGTTTAGATTAAGCAATCTTTATGAATGGATAATTTAAATAATGTGAAAATTCTTATAAAACTAATAAAAATGATAAAAAAATGAGTAAATAAGATATGGAAGTACTCTTAAAAAATGGTATTATTGGATTGATAAGTAATAATCCAAATGGTGATACTTTCTAAGAAAAAAATATAGATGAAATTTTAGAGAAGAATTCAAGAACTGCAAAATATTCATTAATTAATGGTTCATACACAGTATCTAAATAATTATTTGTATCTGAGAAAACAGACAAATCAATAAATATTTAAGATCCAAATTTTTGGAAAATTATATTAAAAAGTTCAGAAAGTAGATGTTAAAAATTAATCAAAATGTTTGATTTACATATGTCATTGTAAGAATAAAAGAAATATTTAGAAGAAGTTGGAGATTGTGTTAATTAATTAATAGAATCAAAATTAAGTTAATCTAATTATAGTACTGATGATGAATAAATATTAATAGAATTGTTAAATAAAATCAATTCCTCTAATTATGCAAAAAATTACAGAGAACTTGCTATGAATTGGATATATGAATTAAGCAAACCTTCAAGAAGAATTAAAAAAATAACAGATATAGATTTAGGTAGAAAATAATAAAGAACCTTAGAAGTTTAAGGAGAAGATGCAAGAAGATTAGCATCAAAAAGTAAGGAAGAATTAATTAAAAAATTATGTTATGTTTGTGAAAGATCAAACTGTTCTGTTTTTTGTATGGGTCATTGTAGAAGAGCTTTTCATGAATCATGTAAAGAACTATTGGAGACATCAGAATTTATTAACATTGAAGGTCCTGATTAAGATTTTCTTAATAATCATACCTTTCCTGAATTAAACTGGAGTGATGAATAATTAAAGGAAAACATTAACATTCGATATTCTTGTCCTGATTGTAGAAATAATCTTGTAGTTTGTTTACTTTGTAAAATGAAAGGAACCTACCCTCCAGAAAAGAAATCAAAAGAAGAAATTTTAATTTAAGCAGACGAATTCGATCCATTTTATGATAATGTAAAAAAAACTAAGAGTAAATCGTTTATTTCTAAATGTTCTACTGCTAATTGTAATAGATATTTTCATCTTACCTGTATATAAGGTAATCCCTTATCAAAAACACTGGATACTAATGCAGATTTATTTAGATGTCCTTCTCACATTTGTGTGTTTTGTAAAATAAATTCAACAAATATGACTACTGCATTGATTCATTGTGTTAGATGTTGTCGATCTTTTCATAGTAAATGTGCTCCTCCTGAAATCAAAATAAAAACTTAAAAGATTGGGAAAAAAGTTATGATTTGTGATCTATGTTTCAAACCTAAAGAAGAAAAGGTTGAACAAAGCATGATTGTTAAAATACCTATTATAGGTTATTAAAAGAAATCTAAACTCTCAAAATAAGAATTTTAAAGTATTGGAACTACTGCTAGAACTAGAAGAATTTAAGAGTAAAAATATGTAACTCTTGATTCTGATAAAAGAAAGATTGATTCTAGCAGAAGTAATAGTAATGATAAAATATCCAAAAAAGTCAAAAGAGAGAAACGTAAATAAGATATTCATCCTTATTCTTATGAAGAATTGGGTATAATTCCAGTAAAATATTTTGATTATTCCAAATATGTTAATGTAAATGTAATCTAATTCTTAGGATTGGTGCAGATATTGTGGTGCAAGATTTGCCTCTAATTTTACAAAAGGTCCTTGGGGTTCTAGAACTCTCTGTACAATTCATTATATTAATTGGGGTTAGAAGAAATCATTAGATTTATCTGATTATCCAGATCTACCAAAAAATCCAATAAATAGAGATGATCAGACTGAACTTTAATATCTTTAAAGGTTTATATCAAATAAATTATTTAGACAAAAAGCTAAAGATCCTAATTTTGACCCTAGAAAAGAACTTAACATTTACAACGATGAATAGTATTAAATATTCAGTAATTACTGATATATATGGAATTATATGACAGAGTTGTTATATTTAGTTCTCTTTATAAATAGTTTAATTTTTATAAATATATTTATTTATACATTTCATTTATTCAAACATAAACTTAATTTTTTATTCAACTTCATTTGAAAGCTGCGATATTCTTAATCTAAACTTCTTAACATTCTATTAGTAATTCTGTACTTATTTAAAATAGTTGTCTTTATTGATTCATTTTCTTTGATAGTTTTATCATAATTTTAAATATATTTAATCAATTCTTTTTCATTGTCTATACTAAAAATTTCACTTCTTATAAGCAATCCAAGAAAATGTAGAATTTCATCAAATTCTTAATTTAATATTTATTGTTGTAAAAGTTAAAGGATATAGAAAGTAGCCTTGAAAAATCCTATTTAAATAGACAAAGATAAATACCTTTCCATTCCTCTGCCAAAAATATATCCCAGATAATATTTAATAATGCAGATTTTTAACAATACTAAAAAACATTAGAATATAATGTTATAAACCAAGAAGCAACATAATAGCATGAATCTATTTTTTGATCTTTAAGGTGTTGAGACAATTCAGGCAAAAATATTTGAAGTAATCTATCGAATTAATAAAAACCAATTTTCTATTATAAATAAAGAAATATTTACAAGATTTGAGAAATCATTTAAATAAAGATCTTTAAAATAGAGATTCATCATTCTATCAAAAGCTTTATATGCAGTTTCTTAATCCTAAAAAATTAAATATAAATATCCTGCAATATAATTCATGCCTTAACAATATCCAACTTCTTGATTATAGAATGCATATATTCTCAATAAACTTTATAGCACAGAAGAATTAATTTTATCTTTGTGAAGATGCAGACTTCTTTATACATCTAACTTAATAGTTTCTTCATATAATTAATTAATATCCATTTCTAATCCAACTTTAGTTTTCATCTCAACATAATCCATTTTCATTTATTTTAATTTTAAAGCTTAGGTTATGAATTATAATCTTAATTAATGAGTTTAATCACAAGTAAAGATCTAACCATTAGCCAAATAAAACTTTTTAAGCTTGTGTTTTAAATGAATATTAAATTGACTATTTATTAAGAGCAATTACCATGGTTTATCATTAATTGTTAAATATCTAATATTCATATAATAATTTACTTCATTGATGCACCACATGCTTTAATAACTTTATTTGAATATTCATACATATTTTTTCTTTCATACTTTTCAGATTTATATGTCAATACAATTTTTCCTGATTTAAATAATTTCTTCCATTAGGTATTATGAAGATCTTCTTACTTCTCCAATAATTTTTTAACATGCTCTTTATCAAAACTCGATTGTTAAAATGCTATTTGTATTATGATTTCAGTTGTTAAATCTGATGACAATTTTAATGAAGTTAAAAATAAGTTAATTTCCTCCATTATCATATAACATATTTCACTTTCATTTAACTCAAATTAAGATTAGTTAGCTGTATTTTAATTTTTGAAAATTGAACCAATTATTTTAAAACCTTTATAAACTCTATTATTTTAATTTTGTTATTTTAATAATTCAACTTATTTTCGTTTTTCATCTACTTTCTTTGCTTTAATATATTAAAATAGTAAAATCCATTTATCTATATTCTTCCAAAGTGTTATATCTGATAATTAAGATGCAAGATTTATTCTCTCCTTTCCATCCTTACGTATTATTCTTATTGATTTTAATAATAAATCATAAATTTCTTCTTATTCATAAATATCATTCAAATCTATATAATTTAACCAATATCTTATCAATTATGTAAACTCCTAAAATTACTCATTTGATAAAGTTAAATAAAATGCTAATTTATTTTAATCAATTACATGATTATTTTTGATCAATCGATTTAGAATGTAATTTAATTAATTAATTAATAAAATAATTTCTTCCTGCTTACTTCTATAAAATTTACTTAATTTTAATCAGTAATTCACTTTTATCAGAAGTATCAATGTTGAATAATGTAATAAGATACTAGTCTACTACTTTTTTCTCATCATCTAATATTCTGTCTCCTACAATTTACCATTAATTTTAGATTTATTAAATTGTATTATTATGTTCTAAATTTATATTAATCTTCTTCCACTATTCATAACTAATGAATTCTTCCAATTAGAACTTAAATACTAATTATATATTACTTAATGCTTATTATCTTTGATTTCCATTTTTTTTTCTATCAATTTAAGTATTGGTATCTTTGGATCTTCTTTTAATTTTATTTCCAAATCTGTTATCTTTTCTTCCAATTAAGATAAATCCTAATCAAAAGGCAATAATTTCAATAATGAACTAACTGTCTGTTTTGTAAACATAATTCTATATAATATATAAATTGAATACCTACTCTATTCATTCAAACCAACATTTGCAAAGATATTATCCCATTCTTAATGAAATAGTATCCATTTTTCATTAGTTATTGCTATCAATTTTTTATAATCTTTTTCTGATTCATCAGCTAATTCCTTCAATTTTAAAGAATTTTAAAATTATTTCTAAAAATCCTCTTTTGTAGCGCTCTTTTTCTCTATTAAATCTATCATTTCTTATGCTTGTTAATTTTTTTATTCAAATTGCTTCATTATTTTCCAATATTCATCTTATGCTTTACACATTTCTTTTCTAATTTCCAAAACATCTGTCACTTACTTTTTTGATTCAGCATTCAAATTTCTATTTGTCTATCTAAAATTTAATACAAATTAAGTATATGGCTCAGCTATTTCACTTTTTATTTTATGAGTTATTGATTCCCAATTTTGTGATAATCTTAATAAGTAATTACTCACTTATGAATATAAACAAACTAAAATATCAGGTTCATTCCCATAACTAATTTGATTATGAAATTTTTCACCCACAATTTTAATTTCCTAACTAAATCCATGCAAACATCTTATTAAATCTGTAAACTTTTATTACATATTAAACTTACTATTTTCTCAACTCCAGTCACATTTTAAGTTAAATTAACCATATATTCATATAACTTTTGCTATTATTTATTATAATACTCTATAGAATGGTTCATTAATTTAAATAAATAAATAAATTAATTAATTAATTAAATTCATTTCTATAAAGAGATCATAGTATAGAAATACAATATTAAACATCTCAACTTTTCTAATTTCGAATGAGACTTCATTTTAGAATTTTGGGCATATATCAATCTTAAATATTTACATCTCAAAATGCTTATTAAAATAGAGGCTATTAATTCATTATTAATAAAACCGCTGTTCATAACAAAAAAATCCTTATTTTAAATCTAAAAGAAGAATCAATCAACAATAAAATCTCTTCATTTATACCAAATATAAAAATCTAATTAATAATGTTGACTCAGTTTTATTTACCATATCAAACTAATAATCAAATTATTTTATCTGAATTAGAGTTTTATCATCTTATTAAAAATTGAATAAATTACTTATTTATTTATTTTTATTCTTGCAATAATTTAATTAGAGTTTTTAAATTTAATTGTTATATAATAATAAACCCTAATTATTATTAAAATTTGTTCTTTTTCTTTTTATTGAAAAGCTAAAGAGATTTGATTAATATATATAATCTAAATTCTATTATACTTATATCGTCAATAAGAATAATTATGAGTATTACCGAAATTTACTTGGTTATTTTCAATTACTTATTCTACAGGAATTTCATTTTCATTTTAAAGTTTGGATCTACTTATGTTAACAAATAATTTTCAAATAAACTTTACCTTAAATTCATCATCATATTGTTGATTTCTAGACTATAGATTAAATTGAATAATCACAAAGTTGGCTAGATTTAAATTTACTTTAAATTCTTTTAATTTTTCGTAATAGCTAGCATTTTAAATTAAATTATTTGGCCTAATTAAAGATAGAATTTATTTTTTTTAGTGATACAATTAAAATAACAAAGAGTTTTAAAATTAAATATGTGTATTATAAAAAATATAAAAAAAGATGAATATCTGAGATGATAAAATATAAAATAAAAAATATAGCAATCTAGATAAAGATAAATTTGTATAAAATTAAGACTCTATTTCTATATTTAATGTTTACTTGAGCAATCATTATAGATAAGAATTTTTTAAATTTTATAAATAAAAATATTCAATAATATAGATAAATCTAAAAAAGAGAAATGTTTTAACATATTAGATTAGAACATAGAAAATAGAAATTGGAAGATATAATTAAGAAATTTAATATTGGAAATAAATAATAGATAGAATCAGAAAAAGTAATCAAGAAATTTTTAAATAATTAATTAATGTCTTTATTAATATTAAGCATAGTTTAGGTGATCATTGTGATTTCAGGTTAGGAAACAAATGATACTGAAAATAAGATTAATGATTATTGTGATGCAGTTTAAAAAAATACAACTTTTAAGGTTAATATCACAGTTTCAGAAGTGGATAATAAGGGTTATTGCGTTGAAGGTAAAACTCGTGTGGAGTAATTTGATAAAATTGATTAAGACCAACAATATGTTTATTTATCTGAACATTATTGTGCAAACTTATAAAATTATCCAATTACGTGTGAACAATATTATAATGCACAAGAATATGATGAAAAAGTAAAGATTTAAATGAAATCAATTAGGCGAAAGCAAATTATAAAAAGCTTTATGAAGATTACAAAGCAACTGGAATACCTAATTCTGATTGTTTAGGTATAGCAAGGTTTGTATTTTGTGCAGAATAATTTAAATATTGTGATTCAGATGATGGAAATACAGATTATGAAATTTGTAGTTTCTTGTGTATTATATGGCAAAATAGATGCCCTGAATATAATGATATTTATCATAGGGTTTGTCCAAATGGAGGAGGAGAAGATGGAAGATGCAGTTAAGGTTATAAGAGTCTAATATTATTGGTTCTCATTTTATTATTATTATATTGATTTATAGTATATTTAAGTTAAATATGACTAGATTTATTATATTTAAGATAGTATATGATCCTTATTAAAATAGATTAAAGAATTTCAAATTTCATTAGAATAAATGGTTTTTTTCTAGAAATAAAAATAAATAGGTAAAATAAGAATAATCTTATGATTACAAATAGATTTCTTTATAGATGTTATCTAATTGAAATATATTAATAGTAAAACATAAATGAAATGATCTTTTGTTTTATTTTATTTAATGCAATAATAAATCATCATAAATTGTATTTCTTCTGACATTCTTTGAAAATATCCATATATGGTTGGCATCTTGTAATGTCTTGATTTGTTTGTAAACACTGAAAATATATAATAAAATATTACATTAGAAAACATTTGACTTTCACTTTGACAAGTTTATTATTGTTATTATGGAGCTTATTGTTAAGCTTGTTATTCAGCAGGTTAAGAATGACCTATTTTTAAATAATTAAGAAATCATACTTGATCCTCCAATAACTGATCTAATAGCTTGATGAGCAACTTCAGATCCTGCACCAAAAGCCATTCCTTACATCAAAGTTGATCCAAGGCCTGAAAACATACCTCCTGATCTTGCAGGTGCTTATGGTGGAGCTTAAGTTTAAGGAGCTGGTCTTGCTGCTGTAGCTGTACTTCTTGATGGACTTGCTGTTGATCTTGATGATGATCCACTTCTTCTAGGCATTTTAAAAAAATTATATATTTATTAATGAATAATATTAACATTCCATCATCTAAATTATACATACTCTCATATTAACCTTAAATAAATTTATTATTTTCTAGATTTTTTAAACTCTAATTCAAACAAAAGCATTTAATGAATCTATTAATTCACTAACAAAAATTCAATTATTATATTTCATTCATCCATTAAACATAACTAATCAAATATCTATATTAAGGAAATCTAATATTCTCAAAAATATTTATATATTAATTAAATTATTTACATAAATTCATATTATTATTATCATATTTTTATTTATAAAACCTTATATTAAACTTAAAATTTAAAAAAAGTGCCACCTCCAGGAATTGAACCTGGGCTTTAGCGGCCACAACGCTAAGTACTAACCACTATACGAAGATGGCATCTCGAGAATATATTTAAGATGATTCTATTAATATCGCTCACATCTAGTAATATATTCCAATATAAATTAAATCCTTTTATATTAATCTATTCAATCTTAATACGTCTATAAGATTTATTTATTATGAAATTTAAGATATTCAAATATCCAAAATACAAATTAAATAATAATTAATTTTTAATATTCAAAATCTCATTCATAATAGACCCCAAAGACTATTGCCACACCATAAATTGTTTCCTTTTTAATTTATTTGAATTCAAATTACATTTTAAAAAGCATATGATGCATAATTATCCCATGTAGGATCCCATAAGTTCTTTGATGTAACTTTACATCCTTATCCTTTGACTTCCCCTATAATTACTTATACTGCTATTTTGAATCTAGGCATTTTGATGGCTATTAATTAATTCAATTCTCATACAATCTCTAACTTTACTTCTTATTCTTTTTACTAATTCCTCTGCAAGAATAGGAGTATTGTTTACATCATAAGTTTCGTTTTTTAATTTGTCATCCATAATCTCTTAAATCACTTTTCTAACCTTAGAAGGATAAAATCTAAAGAATTTTATGCAATTTTTACTTTTCTTCATCTTTTGGTTCCACTACAAATGTATTAGCTCCTCCCGAGTCCATTATATTATAAAATAATAATAAATTAAATTATGTTTTTCATAAAAAACTAAACTCATTTTTTTTTTAAAATTCTCATTTCATTAAATCAAAATTTATTAGAATATATCAAAAACCTAAATCAATCCTTTTAAATTTAGTGATTAGGGTTTATTTTATATTATTGTCTTTACTTCTCTTTACTTAATTTTTATTCTTCATAATTATTTATTTTAGATTTAAAATATTTGGTCTACAATTCACAATCAAAACATTTTCTAAGCTTATTTATTCAAAAACTGGGCATAATATATTATTTAAACTTTCATAGTATTTTAACTTCATTCTTACTTTTATAAAATGTAAACTTGATTTCTTTTTCAACTTATAATTTTATGGTATATCTGATTTATCAAGAATACTAAAAAAGCAAAATCTTATTTTTATTAATAAATGTTTTATACTAATTTATGACTTAATTTTTCTAATACTGATATATACATTTAGAATAAATTAATAGATAAACATAATTTAACCTATTCACATTTTCTCTTTGTTCATTATAACACTCTAAATGATCATAAGATTATTATATTGAATCATTATTGAGAATTTATTATTGACTAATGAGATGTATGAAATTTATATTAATTAATAATGTCTACAGAATAATAATAATATGAACGTGTGAAGGGAATGCTTTAAAAATTGATTAGCCCTTAAAACTAAGTTACTGATAAAGAAGTTGAAAGTTTTATTAAATAAGTTTTGAATGCTCATAATAAAGACTTAGAAGAAATATATTCACTTGTAATATAAAAAAATAAAAATTAGGTTTTGGCAGATTTGAAACAATAATTTCATTCTGAGAAAAAGTAATTAGAAAATTACAGAGATAGAGCAGAGAAAATAAATACATAACTTTAATAACTTTGAAATTATACCAATTTAAAAATATAATTATTATATAACATATGTGTTAAATTTAGATAGATTTAGTTGATATTCTATTCAAAAAAGTAAACAATTTGGGTTAAAGATGGTTTTGTTAAGCAAATTTTTGAGAAATTGTCTTTTTAATCAAAATTAATTAATAATAACTATTAAAGGCAGTTTATTGTGTCTGATTCAAAATTTCTATATTTCTTCAAATCTTAATTATATAATGTATTGAATGTTACCTAAAACTAAGTTTCTGATTTCAATATACAGTTTATTTGCTAAATTGAAAATGCTCAATTAATTAAATAAATATTGAAAGTTATGTATCTAATGTTTATTTTGTTTATATCGAGATCTTGGAGAAGTGGATTAATAATATTTAAAAAAAATGATTTCTGAAAGTTTCTAGTTGTCTGACTAAAGCTATCCTTAAAACCATGAGGAAAGCTCTCATTAAACAGAGTACCATCTTCAAACAACAAGTTCATAAGATGAAGGAATCTTTAAATCTAAACAATTTAGGTAAAGAAAAAAGACAATCCAATATGGATAAAAAGATAGAAGCAGCGCCATTTACAAATATATTAAGGAAAAGCAAAAGTCTTTCCTTAATTATAAACCAAGGGCTTAAATTTCTCAATTTTCAGCTGAAGAAGACAGAATTCTCATTTTGCTTGTAAAAAAGTTAGGGCCCAAATTCAATAAGATCACCCGGTATTTTTCAGGAAAAACAGTCAATATGATTAAAAACAGATACTATAAGTCACTACGCCATATTGAATCTTCAGAAATTCCAAAAGAACTGGAAGAAGAGTTACTTTCAAACAAAAATGAATCTAGAATAATTGGAAGAAAAATACTTAACTTATGGCCTTAACATAAATAAATGAGCTCCGTAATAGAAGGTAGTCCTCTATTTCCTGAAGCTAAAGAAATATTACATACTTTTTTATCTTCATTTTAGCAGTTAGTAAGCAATTGCAAAAAATGAATATGATCTAATATACATATTTATAAAAACATTATTAACAGTATAAAAATAAATTGAAGTTTGCAAGTAGAAACTCTACTAAATAATCTGCACAATACTACCATTACATTTACTTCAAATAATTATCATAAAACTTAAAAAATTTAATTAGCATTTTTTTAAAATATAATTATCTTAAAAATAGATTGATTAAATTTTTATATGTTTCAAATTAACAAATAGGTTATTTTATTTCACCAGAACATAACACAATATTTTTCAGAAGTGGATTCTTCAAAGATTATAGAATTATTTTATTTCAAAATATTAAGCACAAAAATTTATTTAAAAGGATTGTTAAATATACACTTTAAAAAAATGAAAATCAGACTTCACATTATTTAAAGAAAATATTAATATAGCTGATATAATTTTAGAATGCATGATAAATATTTCAAGAATTATTAATTCTTAATAGATATATTTTAAATTAAAATATCGGATTCTTATATTCTGTAATTCTAGAATTATAAAATGTCAACTATTTTTTATATCAGTTTTTATTATTGTTTCTCTGCTTTCAATCTGTAGAATATTTTTGCAAACTTTCAATATTTTAAAAATCTCGAAATGATTTCAACTGTTTTACACCCTCAATTCTTAGTTATATAAGGTAATTGTTTATAAATTATATATATAGAATTTATTCATATGATTCAAAATCATGAAATAATAGTTTAATTTTGATGAGATTTAAACCCTAAGCTTTCTTAGCCAAGATAATTTTGTTTATTTAATAGAACCGATAAGAGAGGTCTAGAAAATAGTTTTCTCGCAAAAACACTTATCACTATTAAAAATGTAAAAATTAAAGGGGTTCTTGTAATTTATAAATATAAATAAAGAATTTCAGATAAAGAATCGGAGCCTGTTTGAAAGAAATCATAAAAATAACAGTTTTACAATATATTAAACTTGAAGTATTATTTAGTACTATATAAATAAAGATATTTCCCATTTGTTTTAATAATTAAATTAAATGATTTGCCTTGAATAACATCAAGAGGATTCTTCTATGATCGATGATTGCTAAATTTATACAGAATCACTATAAATAATCAACTAGGTTGCTTAAAGTTCAGAAACAATTCAAAATTTACCTAGATTCAAGCCTAAAAAGTCTAGATAAAGAAGAAAGCCAATTCTTTATGGAGATAAGGATCGTAGCAGCGCCTTATATAAATACATAAAAGAAAAGCAAAGAAGCTATTTAGATTCTAAGGTTAAAGCCTCTAATTCAATTTTCTCACCAGAAGAAGATAGAATCCTTCTGTTATTGGTGAAGAAATTAGGTCCTAAATTTCAAAAAATAACTAAATATTTTCCTGGAAAAACCATGAACATGCTTAAAAATCGTTATTATAAAAGTCTCAAAGATTCGGAGGCTTCAATAGTACCAAGAGAAATTGAAGAAGAACTTGCAATTAAGGATAAAGAAAAAAGAGTAATGGGAAGAAAAATTATAAAAATCTGGCCTGAGGAATAAAGAATGACAGCTCTTATTGAAAATAGTGTTCTCTTTCCCGAGGCTAAATAGAAGATTCAAAATTTGTTTTTAACTTTCACCTCTATTATTGGGAACTGTATGAAATATGTTTGAGTTCTTTCTTAATATATATAACATTATATACAGTTTTAAATAAAATTTAATTGAAACGTAAAAACTAACACAAACATAATATAATTATTTATAATTTTATTTTATTTATTATTGAGTAAAAAAAACAATTATTTGAAAAAAATCAAAACATAAATGTGGATTCGTAAATTTATGAATGGCCTAATAAATTATTTTATGCATTCAATATATAAAGAATATACACTTTTATTTGATTTTATTGAAGTATATTTGCATAAAGCTATTTATATTCTTTTTGTATAAAATATTTATCTAAGATGATAAAATATGCTTCCATTTATTTTTCTTATAAAATAAAAAATGCCTCAATAAATTTTAAAGCACATTTCATATTTGTTTATGAATTTTGAAAGCAAAAAGTAATTGCTTATCTGTTTCATGAAATAAATTCAAAATATTCTTCATATAATTTAATCAGTAGTTATGTTACTTTATAAAAACTGATTTAAAAAATGCTTATAATGATAATTTATTGTAGATTTTAGAGTCATAGTGATGTTGGAACACAAATTTTTCATCGAAATAATTCTTCTGAAAAGTTGCTTGAAATAATAATTTTAATCTTGATTATGTATTAAGAATAACAATTCTAAGAAATAAAAGTGAAAATTTTGAAAGTATTTATAAATGATTGTGGCATAGTAGAGAAAATCAAAATTTATAATCAAAACTTATTTTATTTGAAATGACAAAATTCAAAAATAATCAAATACAGAATAAATTTTGAATCATAAAGGAGATTATTTTGATAATAATGCTGAAGAAAATGTTATATTTTGAGGCATCTTAAATAAAAAATTAAAAATGTTTTTTAATACTCTAAAAATACTGATTTACTAGAATATTTCTTAAACATAATCTAATTTATCAATGAATAAACTATTAGATATATGAATGAAATATTAGAAATAATTTAAATAAAGAGAACCTCAAACTTGGAAATTAAAAAAATAATTAGTAATATTTTCTTATATTAATATATCAGATATATTTTAACATTCTTAATTTTATCATGCATAATATTAAAATATTAATGTATAACATGTTTTTCTAATAAATCTGTAGATTTTATGTTAAATATAATCAATTTTAATCCAGCCCAAAATATTTTTTCTTTTTAGATCCAGAATCTTGATTTCATGAATTTTATTTGACTTTAAAGATCTAATAATAGGGATTTAACCATCATCACAAGCTTTATTGAACACATGTAATATTTTTTCATCACTAATAAATTTTTTTGTATATATATTATTTATCAGTCAAACTATATAACCATTAAAATTTTAATCCAATTAATGAAAATAGAGTCAGAATGTAAATAGTTTTAAATATATATTCAATAAGTTTTTAGTAATACTAAATGTTTATATATTTATATATTTGTTTCAATCTAATATATTAATCGCATAAGTTTATAACATAGTCTAAATATTTGTTAACATCACACGATGAAAAAGAAAATGTTATTTTTTCATAAATATAATATAATATAAACTATTAATATTCGACATTGGCTTTTGTACAAAGCATTTAACATATATCATCATATAAATCTTGATTGAACTCATTAAATGAAATTTTCACATTGTTAATAAGGATATTAAAACATATTTTTTAATATCAGAAGCAATATCGATGATTAAACATGTCTTTATAGAAATCTAAAATGTAACTGTATATTGATATTAAAATTAGTTATAAAAAGATTATAACTTTGACATATTTAATTATTTGAAGAATTGATAACTAGTATTAGTGATAGAAGAATCATTATTAATTTCCTAATATAAATATTAAAAATTGAGTAATAAGTAATTTAGATATATAGGCAAAAGTGAGAAGCAGCTAATGATTTTATTATAAAGGAATATATAAAATTAGATTATTTTTAATATCGTTTTTCGAGAGATGATAATTTTGATACTTCTATCAATTGTATAAGCTCAATTGGATTAGCTGCGAGAAACAGAATTGGGATCAACTTTATTAGAAACAGTTTAACTGCATATTTAAGCAGATGAACCTACTGGAGATTTATTGTTATTATTGAATGAAATTCATGGTAAAATTAATTGATTATAATTCATTAGATAAACTATTGAAGCAAAGGAACATTACAAATAAACTCTAAAAATCAAAATTAGATGAGTGCATGCATAATGTTGAATCATTAGAGGAATTGATTGTAAAGCTAAGGGAGAATAAAGTAGTTGTGAAAATAATCAATAGTTTGATGTAAAAGAAGAGATATATTCACATAAACCTCACATTGAATAATATGAGCACATGAAATCAACAAAGAATAAAGAAAAGGAACTTTTAATAAAAAATATTGAGATTTGCCAAAATAGAGAGAATTCTCAAAAAGATTAATATCATAAATTAACAGTCTAATTACAAGAGAAGAGATATGATTATGTAAATCAAAAGTAAAATTTATTATATTCTTAAGTTTAGAAATCCGTTATCTCTGAAAATTGATTAATCAAGTTTAAAACCCTTATTAAATGATTTGATTGATTTCACAACAGATATGATGTCATTAGAAGACAAATATTTCGATGAAAAAGAACAACAAACAAGAAATTTAATTTAATTATATTAATCTTAATTAGATAGCGTCGTAACTTTTTTGAATGAAATTTAAGAGAATATTGAAGAAACAGAACATCTGGTAAAATAATTAGAATTAGAATACAATGAAATCAATCATAGAATTAATGTACTCATCAATTTATATTAGTTAAAACAAGAATAAGTCAATGATATCAAGCAAGAGTGCAATAATATATTTTAATAAACTAAACATCAATCATAACACATCACTAAGGAAATTGAAGTTGTCAATTAAATTATTTAATTAATTGAACACAATTTTGGATGGCTACGTTCACAATTAGGATTATGATCACATAAAAATTATTACCCAAATATAATTATTCGATTAAATTTCATCATTTATAATCATCCAAAGTTTACCGAAATGCTGTTACAAAATAAAATTTAAACTCTCCTTTTTAAATTATATTCATCATTTATTAAAACGAGTAATTTTCCAAATTCTACTCAACCTTACTTTTATATTTATAATATACTGTTATTACAATGCTGAAAACCATTATAAGTAGAACCTTAATATCAAATTAATTCATTTCATAAATTATCGAATATAATATAATAATCTTTGTATCTCTATCATTAATTTGGCTATATTATACTCTATTTTATCGAAGTCTATTCCTTTATAATCTGATTTCATTAATAAGTTATTATATATATTAATTAATAATTAATCTAATTTTATATTAAACTAATAAAAATAATTATATTAAATTTTGGTGTGAAAATCAAATAGAATCATCAATCAATTAAAGCAAATTTAAACTTAACTAATAATCATAAATAAAATTATTAATTGCATCTTATGCTATATTTTTCTTTAAGAAGCTAATTTAATTAATTATTATATCGACATCATTATTTATTAAGATTTGATAATCATTGTAAAAATATTCGAGTATTTAATATTTTAAAAGTAATATTTTTTTTATTTCTTTTATAATAGCATTTATATCCCATTCAAACTTATATGATTTATTAAAAATATCAATTTGTTCATTAATTAACGATTTTATTAAATTTTCCTCACAACATTCTAATTAATTTCTAATACTAATAAATAATAAATCTTATGGTGGTTATTAAGGTAAATAAATAGTTATACTTTTTCTAAATTCTTTTGTCATCAATGGCAAAGTTATATATAAATTAAGTTCATAAAAATGATAATTATTATTTGTTAAAAATTTATTTTAAAGTTCTTATAGATTTAATTACACACTATGTTAAAACTTGTTTCTTTTAAAATTTAAATGTTCAAATTGTTAATCTATATTAACTAATTTTTATTTTTCATTATTTTAATTAGAATATTATTAAAAAATTTCATTTATTATTTGAATAAATGAATCAAATGATTCACGGATTGAACTTTTTAAACTTTCAATTATTTATTAGAACTTTTAATCATTTCTAGTTTTTCTCATTGAATATTTTTCTATAAAATTAATAATTTCTAAAACAATAGATTTAATAGCATCTGCATCATTAATTTAATAATTTTAAAAATCTTCTCTTTCATAGAATGGACAATCATATCCTGTAAAATGTACTTTATAATTTAATTTTATTGGTAATATCGATAGACTTTCTTAGTTTGAATCTAATTTTAATAAAACTCTATTTAAATGCAAATAATTATGTTATATTGAATTCTATTACATTTAATAATATTTTTGAACAATCTCCTTACATAATTAAATTAATTATGCTACTGTTATTCTTACATATTTGATTTCCTTTACTATATTTAAATAAAATTACAAAAAGATAAAGCAAATAATTTAGTTTAATGACTCGTTAATTGTTAATCGTATATTTGATCAAATTTAATTCCTCCTTAATTTCAAAATCATTATATCCATCAAATTCAAGTATTTATTTCATTTCATTCAATGAATTTTTATAAGAATAAATCAAATTACTTGTATAATCGAAACCTTTCATATTGCTAAAAAAAATATTCAATTAATTATTTAAAAAGCAAAAATATTTTTAGAATATATTTCTTAAAATTTCTAGGCGCAATTAGATATTCATAGTATTTTACTAAATATAATCTTTCTCATTTAGTAATTTATTTATTTTCAGATAAATGGGTAAATATTATATAAAACCTTCCTGATCATATAAATTCTTATAATTAAAGTTTAATATTTCAATACTTATCCTTTTTATAAAAAAATTTTCCTCTTATTCAATTTTTTATTTTTACTATTTCAGACAAAAATAAATAAGGTAAGGAAGAAATTTTCAAAAGAAGACAATTCTTTTTTTTTTATTACAAAAAAAGCCTCAAAAATCTATTATAATTTTAATTATTTTTTTGAAATGCTTTTAATAAAAATTAATTGAAAGACAGTTCTTATTATGATTTTACATTAGAGAAATATATAGTTCATATATTTATGATGCAGTGAATGTGATATAATGAAATAAATTTACTACTACTACAATTTAATATTAAAAATTAATATAATAATTGAATAAATATTAAGAGAGTTAAGAAAAGAATATAAAATAATAAGAAAGTTAGAAATGAGAACTTTTGATAAATTAAGATCTTTAGTTCAATGAATAAAATTCATATAAGCGAATATATCAACTAAATGATTTTCAATTTTAAATAATCTTAAATAATTTCTCTAACTGTTTCATATGCTATATTTTCTTTTAAAAAGATAATTTAATTAATTGTCAATTGGATATCCTCTAAGAGTAAAAATTTATAATCATTGTAAAAATATTCAAGTATTTTATATTTTAAAAGTAATATATTTTTTATTTCTTTTATAATAGCATTTATATCCCATTCAAACTTATATGATTTATTAAAAATATCAATTTGTTCATTAATTAACGATTTTATTAAATTTTCATCACAACAGTCAAATTAATTTCTAATACTAATAAATAATAAATCTTATGGTGGTTATTAAGGAAAATAAATAGTTATACTTTTTCTAAATTCTTTTGTCATCAATGGCAAAGTTATATATAAATTAAGTTCATAAAAATGATAATTATTATTTGTTAAAAATTTATTTTAAAGTTCTTATAGATTTAATTACACACTATGTTAAAACTTGTTTCTTTTAAAATTTAAATGTTCAAATTGTTAATCTATATTAACTAATTTTTATTTTTCATTATTTTAATTAGAATATTATTAAAAAATTTCATTTATTATTTGAATAAATGAATCAAATGATTCACGTATTGAACTTTTTAAACTTTCAATTTTTTATTAGAACTTTTTATCATTACTAGTTTCTCTCATTGAATATTTTTCTATAAAATTAATAATTTCTAAAACAATAGACTTAATAGCATCTGCATCATTAATTTAATAATTTTAAAAATCTTTTCTTTCATAGAATGGACAATCATATCCTGTAAAATGTACTTTATAATTTAATTTTATTGGTAATATCGATAGACTTTCTTAGTTTGAATCTAATTTTAATAAAACTCTATTTAAATGCAAATAATTATGTTATATTGAATTCTATTACATTTAATAATATTTTTGAACAATCTCCTTACATAATTAAATTAATTATGCTACTGTTATTTTTACATATTTGATTTCCTTTACTATATTTAAATAAAAATACAAAAAGATAAAGCAAATAATTTAGTTTAATGACTCGTTAATTGTTAATCGTATATTTGATCAAATTTAATTCCTCCTTAATTTCAAAATCATTATATCCATCAAATTCAAGTATTTATATCATTTCATTCAATGATTTTTTATAAGAATAAATCAAATTACTTGTATAATCGAAACCTTTCATATTAATATTATTATTGAATTAATGTCAGCAAAATAATTATGAATTTATAATAATTGATAATTTAATTTAAAAGATGATGAATAATATGCAATAAAATATAGATATCTGGATATATCTATTTATTATTAAAATTAAATCGAATAAATTTGATGGATCAATACCACTTTCTATTTAAATATATAATCGTGGGTGATACTAGCGTTGGAAAATCATGCATATTATTAAATTATACTGAGAAAAAGTTTAATGAAGACCATGAAACTACAATAGGAGTGGAGTTCGGAAGTTAATTGTTAAAAATCAATGACAGAACAATTAAGATTCAAATTTGGGATACTGTATATTTGTTTATATGATTTAAAGGCTGGATAAGAGAGCTTTAGGTCAATAACAAGATCTTATTATAAAGGGTATGATTGAAATAAATTAGATCTATTGGAGTAGTTTTAGTGTTTGATTTAACAAAGAAAGACTCATATTATAATGTTATGAAATGGTATAATGAAATATTAGATTGCACACATGAGTTTGTGGAAATTAGTTTAGTTGGAAATAAATTAGATTTAGAAGCATAGTAAAATTTTTTGTTCTATAAAGACGTCAAGTTTCTACTAAAGAGGCTCTTGAGTATGCTTAATCAAATAAAATGAATTATTTGGAAACATCTGCAAAGACTGGATAGAATATCGAAAAAGTATTTGAGGAGATAGCTTAAAGAATATTAGTAAAGATTGATAATAAGACGATTGATTATACATAGGAAGTAAGAATTTTGTTGAGATTAAGGTTTATGGAATAAAATTAGGACCATTCTTCCAGAATCCAAAATAAGTAACAAATACACCTTCAACATTAAAATAAGAACCAGAGAAGAAGGAAAAAACATGTTGTTGATAAAAATAATAAATTAATATTAATAATGAATACTAATCTGGAATTTTAGATCATAATATATAGAATTTTCTCTCATTAACATGCTAGTTGTGTGATAGTTTATTTCTTTCAGAGGTCAATTCTAAAACAATCATTAAAAAATAGACCATAAATTGCACAATTTGCAAGAAAGGAATTAGTCATAAATTACAAAAAAAAAGAAAAAATAATATGGGAATATCATTTATAATTAATAACCGTAAGAGAAAATGTTATATCAAATCTGCAACACAAAAATAATATCATTTAAAAATTTATATATAAAGGTTATGGTAAGAGTGTTTATTTTGGATGAAATCCAAAAGAAGTTGAGAATAAACTATCCCTTGATATGGACTGAAAATATACAGCAAAGTAACATTTCAGAAACATAGATTATTTTAAAACAAAAAACTATAAGAGCTCGATAGAAATAATTAGTAAAAATAAATATATTTATTAAAAATAAACTCAATAACATTACGGGCTGGAAATTTATTCTGTTTGTTGAATAAGCTGTCCTTATATTATGCAACTTCCTTGTGCTTAGAAATTCATATTCTTAATAAATAATATTTGTATACATATTTATACTTATACATGATTATTGTAATTTTATAAAATTTAAGAGTATTTAGCGATTGTGATTCATAATATTATAAGATTGGTAAATATTTATTCTTAAATTATGTAATGCAACCTGAGTTTAAGCGAATTTAATATTGTTATTAAAATAATAAATTATACAAGCTAAAACACTCTTTTTTTATAAAATCTGGATCATTCAATAAATTTTTAGCAGTAAGACTACATAATTAATGGTTAAATTTTTGATAGATTTAAACTTACTTAGGAGAAATGATACAAGATAAAAAAGCTTTTAATAACATTCCAGAGCTACACTTAAATAACGACTTATCATTCAACAACGTTAATTTCATTTTCTTTTGGTTATTCATATTTCAATAATGGTTGAAAATTTATTTGATTTCGAATATGGGCTTTTACAAAACTTATTTAAATAGTTAGGCATATAAGTGAAAGTAGACCTTTTAAATAAGGCATGAGTTAAACTCATAGAATATAACATTTATCTAATTCAATTTTGTAGAATGTTTTTTTATAGAGATAACAGTTTATTCTAAATCAAATTAGTATTTCTATCTTTTGTCAATAAACTCTATTAAGGTATTTAATTTTATAAATATACTTGACTTTACTCATAAAGCCATTCTTGGAAATTTTGACTAATTTTTGGATGAATTTAAGTAAATTTTTTGGGCTGTTTCCAAAGTATGTATTTGTTATCTAAAATCTATATCAATTGATCCATCTAATCCAATTAAGATTAGAGATGTCCTTATAAGGTCTTGCTTACATCCCAACAACTAATTTACAAATTTATTATATAAAAATTAATCATTTTAGATCAAGTTTAATGGACTATAATATTGATTCAAGTTCTGTAATTCTTTTTTTTAGTTTATTTGCTTCTTCTAGCATCTACGATTTAGATTTAATTAAGCGCACAACCTCTTTTTTAAGACGATAAGACTCCATGACTGTATTTATATTGTCATCTTTTAATAATTTATACTTGATTTGAATTCCTTGTTGTAATTAGGATTGGAGCTCTTAAAATTGCTGTTCATGCTATTCCATTATTATTTAAATTTCTTGCTTTAATTATTGGGTCTGCTGCCTTAGTTCAGAAATTGTTTTTTGGCTTTTATTGATAAAACTCTATTTGATTAGTGGAGGGTACTTGTATCTAAGTAAAGGGATTAAATGCATTATGATGAGATTTAATTGACTCTGATGAATGGACACTGCTGTAGCGAAGATTAATATGAGGAAGAATGGTGGAATTGGTCACATTAGTGGATAATCTTAAATCTTCCTGTGAATGGACAGAGAGTCGACCTTGACTAAACTAATGGGACATAAGGGTGATACTGCGTTGTGATTAAGTAATAGCTATGAATATTAAAGTTGTATTTTTACGAATAATTTTTTTGTAGTAAAGCAGTTATCTTATATTGATTTCGTTGTTCATTAATTTCTAAAATAATCCAAAGTAGTGGGTTAGGGAAAAAATCTATTAAAGTAAGGGAAGTTCTAATCCGTTTTTTGTATAAATTAATTAAATGAAGTATGTGTTATTGGCTTTGGTGCTAGCAATAGCAGTAGGTACATCAAGTGAGGAAAATGTACTACAATTATTGGCTGAGTTAAAGCACAATGCTGAATTGGAATTAGAAGGTTTAGAGTTAGCTTGGCAAAGAAGAATCGGTGAGAAATAGAGTGTTGCTGATTCATTGAATCAATCTGTATTGAATCAAAGAGCAGAATGCTAAAACAAAGAAAATGACATAGCTCAAAAGCAGAGTGATATATTAGCAAGTGAGGGTTTTATAAATTGGATGATTGGAAGATAAAAGTCAAATACAAAAAAAATTGGAGTTTTGGAAGCAAGCATGTAAGAGTATTATATATACGAAGATGTTCATTAACAAATAACTATGTGAATGATATAAGAAATTTTAGATATGCATTGGCCTTAGTGAAGTTTTTGAGAGAAGAACTGACACAATTAGAAGGTGGAGCATCTTTAGCTTAGGTGACAGAATTCCATGATAGAGTTAGCAAATTTGTAAAATTGTATCGTAGTGGATAATTGGTAAATTTAATGGAAAAGATTGATGATAAATCAGATCTTATTGTACCTGAGATTGAATAAGGGACATTCGATGAAATTTCATTAATTTAGAGAATCAGACCAAAAGCATTGACTTAATTAGATTAAGTTAATGATGATGATGATGATAAGGCAAATAATGCAGTTGTTCTTATTCCAGGATGTGATGATTAGATTGGAACTGTCGTTGTAGTATAAAATGATGATGGAACAACTGATTCAGGTGATCTTAATGTTAAAATTACAAATGGAGGTGGAGTAAGTACAACTCCAAGTGGTGGTAAATCAGGATCTACTTCCAAGCCAACACATAAAGATACTACACCAAAAAAGGAAGAAACTAATGATGTTGAAGATGTTGATGATACTGATGATGATGTTGATGATGTAGATGATACTGATGATGTAGATGATGGTGAAGATGTTGATGATGATGTTGATGATGGTGAAGATGTTGATGATGGTGAAGATGTTGATGATGATGTTGATGATGTTGATGATGGTGAAGATGGTGAAGATACTGAGGATAATAATGATGATGATGATAATCATCCTGAAATAATAATTGATGATTAATAACCAGATCATCATGTTGATGAAGAACCTCATTTTGTTATTACTCCTGATGGTCCTCATCCCACTGGAGCTGTTATTCCACCTGGAGAAGAAGAGTTCCCTAATGATTGGCAAGTACTCATATTTATTTAATTCTTTAGGGGTTCAGAAAATTATTAGATGCTATCGAAAATCATACTAGAAGATCTTTAGAAACTGGTGCCAATGATGAAGTGAGATCTAATTTAGGATTCATTGATTTCAAATTACATGTTGAATTGGAAAATCAATTCTTTGATAAAACCATCTAATATGAAAAAGAATATTTAGTATTCTTAATTTTAATTATAGGTCAAATAAGTCAACTAATTAACAACCAGAAGATAAGCCTCTATTTTGTGTGGAGCTAGATTAAAATAAATTACTGTGGCTCATCAAGTTGCTTTGAAAGTAAACTTTAGTTTAATTTTAAGGATATTGATGCTGCTAAACAATTTTATGAAGAACAAAGAAAGTTGAAACAAGAAGAAGTTAATACCTTTGATGATGTTTATCGCATCTATACCACACAAGTGAATCATTGATACATATATATTATTTAGATAAAAAATTAGATTAAAATTATATAAATTACTTTTATTCAATTAGTTAAATTTCATAAATTTTTGTTCAAAAAAAATTGAAGTAAAGAATCGTTGAAGTAAGTTAAAGATAATGTGTTTAATCATTTAATTAATTATGGATAGTACCTAGTATGCTTTACCCCCTTATCACTATCGCTGGCTTAATGGTAAATTATATACCTAATGTCTATGTTAGGTGATGAGTATGAAGATCTACTGACCAATGGAAGAGATCCTACGATACCTATGTTTGATGAACATCCCGAAGAAATTTATTATGAACCAAAAAGTAAATTTTATAAATTCATAATTAGATGGCTATTTATACTTTTTAAAAAAAGCCTCTTTAAGAAATTTAGGATTTCCAAGGCTTAAGGACAATTCCAAAAAAGTGTTTAAGTGGAAAAAGATGAATTTCTAGACTCCCTTACCAAAACACTGTCCAAAGGTTTCTTACATAGTATGTAGTACAACGACCTGCCTTGATGTTCCTCATTATCGTATGCATATTGTTTAACTTTTCAATTAACGAGATGAAGAAGGTGTATTGCTCTGCCATGTCTTGTAAATTTGCAATCGTCTCTCTCCTATTTAGACAGTCAAAGATAAGCCCCCGATTTCTTTTGAAGAGTACGAAGAAATCAGAAATTGTAAGAAACGTCTTAGTGATTGTATGGAAAAGTCTATGGACATTATACTTGAAGTATAAGATTTACAAATGAGAACTGCTTTACTTGATGATGATACTAATTATATTCAATAAAAATTGCAGTCCAATGAACAACGATTATAAAACATGAAATTATACGAGGATATGCTTAAGAAATATGAATAATATCTTAATGCTGTCATGGAAGGATATGAAGTTATTCGTAGATATGATGATCTCTGATATGCATTAATAATAATTAATTATGTAACGAAAGCTTCATGATAGATCAAGTTCCACAGCAGAGACCAATATACGTCGAAAAGAACTTGTCGATCAAACTTACGACAAAATCTTCTTCTGTGATGATCGAGAACGAATGCAATAAGAATTATAACAAATCAAAATTGAAAATAATAAGCTCGTGAATGAGAATACTAAATTGAAAACTTAAATTATATTATTTGATAAAGATCTTGTTAGGTATGAAAAATTATGTGGAGGATCAATAAATAAATCCTCTGATTTACTCTTAATTCAACTTCGAAAACATAACAAGGAATTGTCATTATAATTAAAGGAAAAAATTGAAATGATTGAGCACCTCAAAAGGAGTGCTAAAATAACTAAAATCGCTGAGCTTGAATGTGAGAACAAAGTCTAAATTGAAGAATATGCTAAATTGAAATCTTCCTATGAAAATGCTATTAAATAAATAAATGATTTGAATCAGAAAATATTGTGGTTCCAAACACTTTAAGTTGACATTTAAAAATTATAAAGACTCAACGAAACTAATTCAAACGAGAACAAAAATTTGAATACAAAAATCTAATAGCTTGAAGAGATGCTAAAACAATAGCAAGTAAAATTTTACTTAGTATTCATAGATTTTGAATAAGACTAATATTTAGTAACATGAAAAGAAGATTAATATCTTGTAAACATAAAACAAGAAGTTAATCTCAGAAAAAACTAATTTAAAAGTCACTATAAAAATGCTTTAAGATAGAGAAAAAGCATTTGTAATTTTAAAGAAACCTTCTTCCCACTAAAAATTAAGTGCTTTTCTTTAATTAATTTTACACGAATTAAAGTTTAAATTGATACTGAGAGGTATAACAGTAAAACAATTAACTGAAATGTTTGATGGTTTAAAATAATAAGCCAAGGAATAGAATGTGTAAATTAAATTGGATGATTTTCATCATATACTGAGTCAGTAATAATATGGGTATTAAATTAGGGAACCATTTTCTTTTACTGATAATAAAAAGATTCTTTAAATTCTCAACTGTCTTACTGGTAGTGGAGATATTCTGATTGAATAATTTTTAAATCTGATTAGTACATATGAGACATTTAATAATTTCGATTTTGAGTAGGAATAAGTAAATATGCAAGAATAATTAAATAAAAATAAACAGAAGATTTTAGATTATTGGAACACGAAATAAGTAGTGGATTACTACGAGGTATAGAAGATGATAAATTCTGTGGGGCTACAATTCAACAATTATAGTTAATTATTTTACAATTTGAATGTAAAAATAATGAAATACAAAGTTATTTGAAAAATCGAATGAGGACTTACAAAATATAAAAGTGTCAGATACATTAGATCCATTTTTAGATGAGGATTAAGAAATCTTAGAATTTAATGGATTAAAAAAGCAAAGTAATTAACCACCGAGAATATCGGAAGTTTCAGACGAGGAACATTATGAGTAATATGATTAATGAATCTTAAATGTATATAAATTTCTATATTCAAATATAAGTGATTCTAAATAACAAACAATCAAATGTGTCTCTTGATCTATCTTCATCACCAATAAACACTTTAACTTCAGCTTTTTCCATTTCTCCAACTCTATGAATTTATAATGTGATATCTTAGATCTATTGTGCTTTGAATAGATATCTTGTTTCAACAAGCTAGGGGATAGATCAATAATTACTTTTAAGATTTAGGTATTGGAGGATTTAAAAATTAAGAGGACTTCATTATTTTATTTGTTAGCGTATTTAACAATGTAAGTTTTCATTTAATCCCTTGCAGCTTAGATATCAAAGACCTAACTAATAGGAGGAACTGTTGGTGAAATGTTCAAAATCCATCCTCTGACTAATTCATGATTTTATTCATCAACACAAGTCACCATAACCTTATGAATCTATTCAGTGAATAATCTCACACATAAATTAGCAATGTTGATTTTTCCTGGTAATAAATTGACCAATTAGTCATATGGTTAAGGGAACCACACACATATAGGATGAGAAGAATAAAATCTTACCTATCTAGAAATTTCAACATGAACAGTTAATTTTGTGTTTTGAACTTGGCCTAAAGGTACTTCAATTCCAATACTAATATAAAGTATATAATGAATAAAAATACCCAGCTAAACTTGTAAGTTTTATTTACCAATTGGCTATCAACTCTTTGAAATAAGTATCTTAATATGCTAAGATATAAAAAACAGTCTATTTATTAACCTCAGGCATTCTTATACTAATTCTAATTTCAAAATCATTAGCCCATTCAACAACTAATTAATCATTATTGCAAAATAAAATAGGTTTCTTANCATATGAGACATTTAATAATTTCGATTTTGAGTAGGAATAAGTAAATATGCAAGAATAATTAAATAAAAATAAACAGAAGATTTTAGATTATTGGAACACGAAATAAGTAGTGGATTACTACGAGGTATAGAAGATGATAAATTCTGTGGGGCTACAATTCAACAATTATAGTTAATTATTTTACAATTTGAATGTAAAAATAATGAAATACAAAGTTATTTGAAAAATCGAATGAGGACTTACAAAATATAAAAGTGTCAGATACATTAGATCCATTTTTAGATGAGGATTAAGAAATCTTAGAATTTAATGGATTAAAAAAGCAAAGTAATTAACCACCGAGAATATCGGAAGTTTCAGACGAGGAACATTATGAGTAATATGATTAATGAATCTTAAATGTATATAAATTTCTATATTCAAATATAAGTGATTCTAAATAACAAACAATCAAATGTGTCTCTTGATCTATCTTCATCACCAATAAACACTTTAACTTCAGCTTTTTCCATTTCTCCAACTCTATGAATTTATAATGTGATATCTTAGATCTATTGTGCTTTGAATAGATATCTTGTTTCAACAAGCTAGGGGATAGATCAATAATTACTTTTAAGATTTAGGTATTGGAGGATTTAAAAATTAAGAGGACTTCATTATTTTATTTGTTAGCGTATTTAACAATGTAAGTTTTCATTTAATCCCTTGCAGCTTAGATATCAAAGACCTAACTAATAGGAGGAACTGTTGGTGAAATGTTCAAAATCCATCCTCTGACTAATTCATGATTTTATTCATCAACACAAGTCACCATAACCTTATGAATCTATTCAGTGAATAATCTCACACATAAATTAGCAATGTTGATTTTTCCTGGTAATAAATTGACCAATTAGTCATATGGTTAAGGGAACCACACACATATAGGATGAGAAGAATAAAATCTTACCTATCTAGAAATTTCAACATGAACAGTTAATTTTGTGTTTTGAACTTGGCCTAAAGGTACTTCAATTCCAATACTAATATAAAGTATATAATGAATAAAAATACCCAGCTAAACTTGTAAGTTTTATTTACCAATTGGCTATCAACTCTTTGAAATAAGTATCTTAATATGCTAAGATATAAAAAACAGTCTATTTATTAACCTCAGGCATTCTTATACTAATTCTAATTTCAAAATCATTAGCCCATTCAACAACTAATTAATCATTATTGCAAAATAAAATAGGTTTCTTATCTGGTGCTGGTACAGTGTATCCATAAAGTGCTGGGAATTAGATGGATACTTATCGATTATCTCTTTCATAAAATCTATAAGCATGATCTATAGTATTATTATGAGGAAATATTTTGATTCTCATTCCCCCAACGCATTGGCCTTCTATTGTATTTATAAACACAGCAACTTATCTTGGATAACTGTTTTAAATGAGAAATTGTTTGCCTTTGATTGTAAACAATTCTTCAGTCTTTTATAATTCAGTCAATTCTTAATTAACTTCTCTAAAAGTTTAATATTTAAATAAAAGTGTGACTTTTTCTTTAGCTGTTAAAAACATAGTAAAGTTATTATTATTTGCTTATATCATATTGAATTCCTAAGGTTTTGAATGATTGTACAAATCGACATAATATTTCCATTCTACAGGTTGATGAATTAAATGAATTTCTTAAATTCCTGAACACTTAACTTCTTAATCATCAATACAAATAACGAAGTTCTAGCCTGTTGCATAAGGATTCCTAAATTCAAGTTCAATTATTTCAACTTTCCCAAAGAATGGATATATCACTTTTTCATCACTTAAATGGCTTTATATGACTGAATGAACAAAGGCATTTTTGGATAAATCTTTTCTCTTAGTTATTTCCATAAGAGTCTTAGTACTATTATTATTTGTATTATTAGGCATTTCTTATCTTCTTATTCTTCTGATCCTTTCTTTGATTCTTTCATTTGGATCTTACTTAATTAGATCTTTCTCCTCATCCTCAAGAATATGCAAAGGTTCAACTCTTTTTGTTGAAATCACCTTTCTTTTCATCTAACTGTTATTATCCAAAGCCTCAGTAACTCTATCTTCCTTTCCAACACATTTAATTAATACTTATAATTCTCCTTTAATCTTCTTAAACTCCTTATCAATTACATCAGCCTTCCTCATTACAACAGATGCATCCTAACCTTATCTAAGTAATTATCTCAAAGGTAATCTAATAGTTCCAAATATCATCATAGAATCATAATCCCATATCTCTATTGTTATGCATTTATTAAACAAATATTCACAAAAATACTTGTAAGCTTTTGGATATCCAATTGAAGAAGGCTCAATTTCAAATTTAAATACAGGTTCTTTGTAAGAAGCTCCTGTCTTAAGAAATTATTCTCTTATCAAAAGAAATGGTATTGATTATTCCAAACATCTTGTATAAGAAGATTTGTCAAATCCATTCTCATAAATTAAAGGTTCAGTAACATATTCTGGAAAATCATAAAAATTGACTATCATAAATAATCTAGTAGGAATTCTTGATTCTTCTGAATAATGGTACACTGTTGGTTCTAAATCTTTTGATTTCATAGTTATTCTTGGTTTAAATGAAAGTAATTATATAAAAACTGTAATTGCTTATCTATGATCAGCTAATTCATATTGAAGTGACTTTTGCTTTATTTCATCATTTTCTACATAATCTGTATGCTAAATAAATAACTCTCTCACTCCATTTTGACTCAAAAATGCTATATCTCCTCTAGAAAGTGCTTAGCCTCCAAATTAAGCTTCAACCATTAAATCTTATTATTGAGTTTTATAAAATGTCTTTCTAGGAACTGATGTCATTGACTCTATTATTCTCCACTTTTCTAATTCCTTTTAGTCTTACAATACTTATTATTAAGCTAATAAAGATGCTGATGTTGGTTATGCCTTGGTTAAATACTATTATTAGGTTTAATTTATATCTGTCATCATTTTTTTTAAATCATCATATTATTCTAATATTTTCTATATTTCCTCTTCATGTTATTTTTTAATTGTTTCCACCATCTTTTAATATTCTTATTCTCTTTATTTATCAATTTTAAGTTTATTTTCAAAATCCATTGCCAAATTAGTTGCACTAACTTATCTATCTTATTATAATTCTATGATTATTTAATAATTAATTTATACATTTCAAAGTATTCTCTAACTGTTTTATTTTTCTTTAATCATCATCCATTCCTAATTATTATCCCCCTTATTATTCAGGTAATTTCGCTAAACTAGGAGCATCCATAGGTTAAAATACTTATTAATTTATAATGGGACCAGGTAGATTTTAAGTTTGAATAGATCCAAAATTTATCTTTCCTGAAATTGTTATTGGATATTTAATATCACTCAAATCAACTAATACTTAATTACTAAGAGATCTTCCTGGCCCAACTATAAATTCTTCTTCAAAAACAGACTTAGGTACTAAAGGTAACCAACCACACAATACTGTTGTTCTTTATTTACCAAGATTAGTAACCATAAATTCAACATCATATTCTAATTGTATGATAAAGACTCCTAATTTTGGTTCCTAATAAATCCCATTTACATCTAAAGCACCCTTAAAAGTTAATTTCTTATAATCAACTTTCTAATTATCAATACTTTTTTAAAAAGAGGATTCTTCCAATGTAATAAAATTATTTAATCCTCTTGTATTTGTATAATTCCATCCATTATGAAATGTGAATACCAATCTCTTAGCCAAAAAATGTACATCATTTGGTCCATCATCTTTGTATTTAACTTCCTTATACTTCTTTAGATACTCTGATATCAAAAGATCAACTGATGATGGAACCAATATTTCTAGAGATGTTACATATGCTATTTATTCTTACATAAGTGACAATTATTGTATTATTTGATATCCATGTACTCCTAATAATTCATCTCCATATCCACAAAGACATCCTTCTGGAATCAAATTTTTTATCTAAGTAAATTCCTTGTTCTCAATTATTTCCATCCATAATGTCTATCCAACAGTTTCTAAATTAGTTTGATTGCTAATCAAAAATCTTGATGAACCCCTTTTTAAAGTATATTTTAATTCTTAACCAATATCACCCAAACACCAACCAATAATTTATCTATTTTATATAACTTGATCTTTTTTCTCTAAATGTTTAGATTATTATTACCAAATAAGACAATTTCTGCTGCAATTTAAATCGATTCAATTTATCTCAAATGAAAATAACAGACAACCTCAGGATGTTCCATTTATTAATTTACTTAAGAATAGTTCAATTCCAAAAATGGAGATTCATATGTTCTACCAAAAAATTCCTTGATGCTTGAATTATACAAATTTAATAGTATTCTTATTGATTGTTAAACATCTTTTTTGGGTTGAATGTTATATACATCTCTAATTTTGATTTTGTAACAGAGAGACTCAAGATGTGAATCCTTTTTTATAGGTGGAATAGTTTTATGAATTTTAGCAAACTTATACCACCTCTTTAGGTATGATTATTCATCATCTAATATTTCAGACATTTTAATTTTATTAATTTTATTATATGAGTGAGTTTGTATAATTAGATGATGAGTAAATCACTAAATATTAGACATTTTACAAAAAACTTAGAATAGATATGGAAAAAGCACAATAGAAACTTAAATAATTATAAACAAAACAAGAAGACTATTAAGTTGTTTTAGAATACATAAATAACAATTAAGGATAATCTTAAATGAAAATGAATGTTGGTGCGAATACATTCTTAGATGTTGAATTGTAATACAACCAATAGTAATGAATAGAGCAAATCCAAAATTATTAACTTTAGATGTGGGAATGAATATCTTAGTTGAATTGAATTTTCCAGAAGCAGAGAAAATAATCGGAAAATAACTTATAAGTCTTGAATAGAAAATTGAGGAGCAAAAGAAAACAATTCAAAGTATTTAACAATATACAGATTAAGTTGAAGAGATATTGTTATAATTTAAGTGATTTTAATTTATAAAGTATCATTTAGTTTTAATTAACCAAAAACTATTGATCGGATCAAATTTGGTTAATGCTATTCTTCTATGATTATCCATTGAACCATTTTCATTTGTTCTTGATAGATACAATTTCGATAATGCATGACGTAATTCTAACATAGAATAAATTAATTTACTAACAAATGTATTTTCTTATAGAATATCTGTTCCTATTTCAATTTACCAAATAGCTTAATCTTTCATAGTTTTGGTAATTAAAGAACCTACCTTATATTCTCCTTATAAATTCTCTTCGGCCACTAACAAGGTTTCAGTAAACAAATGACGTAACTAATGATATATATATATTGATTTACTACTAACTTATCCTAATTCACAATAGGACCATCATGATTTAATATTAATTCCCATTCTTCATACATTTCTATACATTCCATTCCAACTGATACTTCATACATACCTCCCTATTTTATAGCATGTGTCTATAAACTCCATGTTCTAGCTGGATTATAAATTATCAATGGAACCTACTAAGACACTTACTTTGTATCCTTTGAAGCTTAAGGAGATGGAGCAGTAGATTTATATTGAATTTATCGATCCTCTTGTATTATACTTTCCTCTGCTATTGTTTTCAAATTATCTTGTACTATCACAGTCGCATATTTATAAGGAAGACTGCTTTGTGAATTGGTAGCTTAACTTATTAAATTATTATAAGATGGAGAAGATTTAATCAAACTATCAATTCTACCTGAATTTCTATGTTCTGTCTCCTTACTCTCACATAATCCCATTTATTAAAAATATATTTAGAGTATATTTTCACATCTTTTATAAATTACATTAAGTAGGAATGACGTAAGCATATTTCACTAAATTCATAAGAAATAACTCTAATTTCTTTATGCTTTATTATAAATCATTAGTTCTTAGGATTTAATGGATCAATTTTCCACTTTACTTATAATTTTTTTATTTTTACCTATTTGTAAATCATTTCCATTATTTAAGAATGTCTAAGTTAAGGATTTTCCTTTTAAACTTTCCCTAATTTTTAACGACAATATTCCTTAAATTTCTATTATAATATTAAATACATACCAATTATTAAGGACCTTTCCCATCAATAGCATCTAGAAATTGACCTATTCCATCAGCATCTATAATTTATTCATATTTTTCTTTATCTAATTTTTACTATTCCCTTAATACATGATTCTAATTCTTTCCTATTGTCTATATTTTTTATAATAAATCATTTTTTACTTCATCAAAATCTTCTTTGTCTGAATCCCAAATTTCTTCAAGCTTTTCTAAATCTATTTATTATTGCTATTAATTTTATTAAAGAAATTAATTTTCATCTTTTTCTTGTTTTTATTACTCTTAATCTTCTTCATCATCATTGTCATTCTCTTCATCTTCTAATTCTACATTCTACAAACGTTAAACTAATCTTTGCTCCTACTCTTGTTTTAACTATTTCTTAGTTATTACTCCCTTATATTATTTATCTATATAATATACTATATATATATATACTTGATTCTATTGAATTCATTTCACTCTCATATAACTACTTCTTTTCTTCTTGCTTCCTTCTCTTATTCTCTTCATCTATTTCCTTCTATCTCTATCTCTCTTATTTCGATATTATATTCTTATCTGTTTCCTTCCAATATTCTTCTTCTTCCTTCTATTTCTTTTTTACCTTTGCACTTTCCTTTTTCTCCACTTCTCTCTCTCTAGCAGCTTAAGCTCTTTTATTTATTATAAATTTTATCTTTTACTTTGGATTTGTAGAAAACTTCTTTGGCATATAAATAATATATGGTTGTGTATATTAATAATATATATAACAGATCAATTATAAGTTTACCTCATAAATTTTTAATGTGAGAAAAACTATTTGGATTCTTTACTCCCTTATATATTTAATATCTATATCTCAGATGCCAATTATGTTGAACAATTTTTGAATTAAATATATAATTTATAGCTTATTTCTTTATAAAGATTTGACTATTTATACATCTATAATCATACCTTATTATTCTGAATGCTCTTCTGTACTCTTCTTCCTCTTAATCATCAGATTATTACAATAAACCACTAAAGATCTTTATATTTAGTAATTGTTTTTTATATTGAGAAATCTTATCTATAAATTTCACAACTTTCAATTAATCTTATAAGATTTAAAAGCAAATATTTTATTCATTCTTGCATGCAAAAGTTATTATACTTTTACAATAATTCTTTGGAATATTTTTAGTATCCTTTTAATCCTACATCAAACTTACCCCTCTTCTCTTGTAAATGGGAAGCTTGACCTTATGAACTCTAGGACCTTCTTAAGTTTAATAGCATTAAATCATAGAACTCGTATAAGGAAAGATACACTCACATCTACTAATTAAATCTGTTTATTTATGACCTAAATGAACCTATGTAATATATAGAATGTACCACAAAGTCATTATAAGATATTTAAATTACAAAAGGATATTTTGGTTAATTGTGAGGTTAAATTTAAGCAACTAACAAATTCTGCAAGGCCTTCCAAAATTTTTAAATTATCTACTAGTACTATTGAAATTATATCACATTTTGACTAATTAATCCAGCAAATACTTATTATTAGGAAACAAAGAAATCTATTTTGGTATGCTCTCATTATTCATGGCTTGCTAATCTTCTTATTTTGTACACAAGGAATTCATTCCAATTAATTAATCAAATCTTATTATAATAAACTAACACAAATATCAAATTCGTTATCCAAGTTGGCTTTATATATCTATTTTATATATATCAAAATCATGTTTTTTGGTTTTAGGAAAGCCAACCTAACCTTAACTTGCTCTTCATACCCATTTTAAAAAAAACTTTCATTTATGAAACTAATTTTTTTTTTTTTTGATGCTTGTCTTACTTTTTATAATAAAAATTCAAATCTATCACACCTTTTCTAAAATGAATTACAAATACTTTTTAAGATTTACCATGTAAAAATATTATTTCCTACTTTTATCTCAATTCAAATAAGGTCTATATTTAATAATAAGTCTTTACGATCTTTAGAAAAGTTAAATGATTTGATATTAATTCAAAACAAGATTTTAGTTTAGTTTACTTTTCTCATAATTAGCTATAGAATTGAATTAAGACTCTTCAGAATAGCATTTCGAGTATAATTTATAAAATATTCATAATAATAATTTATTGAATGGTAATTAAGAGTAAGTATTAATTATATGATTTTAAAAGAAAATTTTATACCATATTAAATTAAATAAATTATTTTTAAGTCTTTTTTTAAGTCTTCATTCGATCTTAAAAAAGGTTTTAATTTATTCTAAACAATATTACTTCCTTAATTTTTAAATTACATAGTAAAAAATAAAGATATACTATATATTACAGAAATTGAAATAAGGATGCTTTATCTTGATGAGAACAGTATTAGACATTTTAGTTAATTTCGTATTATGATGAAAAAATTATCAATAATGTAATTAAGAAAACCTAATCATAAATAAAGAAAATATAAGAAAATTGATATTTTCGTATTAACGATGAATTAGATTAAATTTGAAAAAAATAAAATATAATTAGAGTATAGATTCTGAAATTATAAGATTAAATGTGATTGAAGCTTTTTAAAGAGAATCTCTAATTAAAAATAGTGGAAGTAGAATATTTCTTGATAAAGCAGGGATTTTTTAAGAATTTGAATTAAAGTGGTTATATTTATAAAAAAAGAATCTAAAAAGTGGAAAAGAGGATAGATTGTAAGGGAAAAGAATAATAGATATGAATGATGGATAGTAATTCAAATAATCGGATAATAAAATTATATAATTAATATATATACAAATGAGTGTAGGATTAACTAAGATGAATCCTTATTGTTAAATAAATCGTGTACAGTTAAGAAATGGTAGTGTTGGGCCTAAAATATAAGCAAAGAAAAGGTTGGATTCAGATCTTAATTAATCATAATTCACTCCTTCTTATAAAGTAGGTTTTATTTAGATTTAGCAAACGCCAACAAATTTTGAGAGATGTCATTTAGATATGTTTGAAGATAAGGTAATGTAATTAACAATGAGGAATAGTCGAAACCAACAGATTCATCGATGAATTCAACACAGTTGCGAAAGAGTCCTTCATTTAGAATGAAGAATTATAGACATATAACACCAGGAGCTAGAGATGATATTAGAAGATAAACAAATTTTTAAAGTTCTGTAAGAACATTTTATATGAATCTTAAGGCAGGCTTTCAAATAGAGAGTAAGTGCGATGGAATTACTATAATTTTAACTTGGGACAGATGATGAATAATAATAAGTTAGACATACATAACCAGTTAAAAAGATAATGGCAACTCCATCTTCATCTAGTTAAACAACTTCTGTTCCAAAATATAATATAGATCAAACAATATTAGAAGATAATAAAGATGCTAATTTAGAAGAAGTTCATTTTTTTTAAGTTGAAATGCAATAAAAGTATAAAAGATGGTTAGAAAATATTGAGAAGAAGTTAAAAAAGTGAATTTCATCTACTTATATATAAATTCAATTAAAAATGAACATTTGTTCTATCCGTCATATCCCATACTCAAATAAAAACACTAGAAGAAAAAATATAATAGATTAGAATAGAGCCAAGAGTTCTTAGGAAACAAGATTGCATTCAGCAACTCATTATAGGTGTACAACATAACAAAACAACAATCTTACTCCAAATCAACCCAATATGCAATTATTTGAAGTATGAACAGATATCTTTTGAAACTTAGATTCAACCATATGTTGGCCAACTCATTAAGGTACTTATTATACCAAATCAATTTAGAATTAACAATAATAGTTTGTCTCTACACAAATTAAAAAAAATCCATCTTTTAGAGTTAAAAATTATCATCCTTAAGAGATTGTCAATAATTTAGTATAACAATCTAAGTAATCGTTTTCCATTAATCATATAGCGTTGAAAGAATCAATCGCATTAATTTTTTGGGTGATCTGCTTCAATAGATGGATGGAAGCAATCAGCAAACTAAATTATCTATTGTTACTGAATTAGTAACAGTACCTAAAAAAACAACTGCAGTAGTATTCAATTTTTAGAATGAAAAGGAATAACATATAGAAGAATTACATTTTTATTTAGTTGAATCATAATAAAGAATCAAATAACATACCTAAGTTTTAGAATAATAAAAATATCTTAGTTGATAAACTTTTATGTATTCATTATATATATTCACTATTATTTTTAACATAGATATTTACTTTCTTATAAATACATATAAATAAAAAGCTTTATACTTTTGATTCTACATTTTAGTATTAATAATCTTTCGAACATCAAAAATTGGTAGATAAACTATATAATCATGAATAATCAATTTAAAAAAGATATTGTAAAAATAGATATAACGAAATAGGAAATAAAAATTAGAGAGATTTAATAAAGAATAATAAAATAAAGGTATTTAAGATACAAAATAAGAAGTAACTATACAATAGAAGCTATGAAAAAGAATAATTAAGAATTATAGAAAACCTAAAAAGATTAACAATTTCAGCAAGATTTATTGGATAGTACTTTTGATTAAGTAAGATTGATAATAAATTAAATAGAATGATTAAATTAAATAAATAGACAGAAAATAAATTATTATAACCAGTAATAGAATGGGTAAATAAATCATTTAAACATAGATATTGTATAAAATATAGAAGATGATTGATAAATTTTCAATTGTGTTGGGAATGATAAAATTATTTTTTTTTAAAGTATAGATATAAGAAATAAGATAAAATTGATATGATTATATTAGAGAGATATGTAGATTTGAACAATATTTTATTAGAAAAATAAATAATGATATAATAAAGTAGATATTTTTTAAAACCATTAAAATTTATTAGGAATCGTGAGCGATTTTAAAAATAGATAATATTATACATCTTCATCTTCAAGATAATATACATCAGGTAAATGATAATGTTAGAAGTAAAACTTAAGAAAAAGTAGAATAGATAATTAATCGTGAGACACCAAAAGTTTAGGTGAAATAAGTTTTTTATATTATGTTAGACAAGAACAGTAGAAGTAGAATAGAGAAATATATAATAATATCCAAGAATGCAATCTTAATAAATATTGAAGACTTAGACCTAAGGTTTTGTAGGTGGTTAAAGTTATGTTTCTAATTTTGGAGGAATATTTTAGATTGGATATTAAGGGAATTATTAGGTTTAATAAAATTGTGTAGCAACCTGATAATTATACATGAATGTGACAGAAGTATCAAAGGAGGAAACAGAAGCACCATGGAGATTAGAATATGAATATTTATAATCTTTAATTGCAGAATTAGAAAAAAGAAAGGAAGTTTAAATAGTAGAGAAAATAGTGACAGATAATTCATAAATTGAATTATTAGAATCTCAATTAAGATAATTAAGAACAGAAAATAATTAGTTGACAATTCAATTATAATCAATGAGAGGAGAAATTTAATTGAAGAGTTCATAAGCTGATGACTTAGATGCAAAGAAAAAGAATTTTTTAATTTGAGACTTAAATTTGAATAATAAATCAGAGATTATGAGGATTAGATTAGAAGATTATAATAAGAAAATACAATTTAAGTAAAAAAAATGAAGATTTGATTTAAAAGATAAGAAATTTGGAAGTGAAATATATTAATAGTATTAGGTCAAATTAGCAATGTTATCTTCAGAAATAGAGAGATTAAATTATACAATCAAAGTAAAGGAAGGAGATTTAGAAGATTGGAAACTAAGATATACTGATTTAGAATCTTAAGATAAAACAGTTCTTTAAGAAAAAGTAACATATCTTTGTTCAGAAGTTGAAGTTTGGTTAAAGAAATTCATTAAAGTTAATCATGATTATAATGAATGTTAAGAATAATTAATAATTTGTTAAGCTGAATTAGAAGCCTTATAAAAAGCATAACAGAAAGTAAATGTTCTTAATTATTATAATTTTTAGTAAGTTGTAGTAACTACATCAGAGGTTATATCAAGAACTGGTGGAACAACTACTACTTCATCTATTGGATAGACAAGAAGTAGCAGAACATAACAATAATTTTAACCGTGAGATAATCAATATTATACATATATATTAATATATAGATATAATTTATTAATCAATATTTTTAAAATCTTTATATATTCATATTATTGAAATGGAGGATTCTTTAGCATACAAATTATGTACTCCTTTACCATTACCACCTTTAAAAAACACTCTGACATAATAATAAATCACCAAAGTCTGTTCTGATATTACTTGCGATAAAAGACCATTTATTTAATCTCCAGAAGATCCACAATTGTTTCATAATGATCATCTTTCCAAAATTATCGATGTCGAAGCATTTGTACTTTTTTTATTTTATTTAAGACCTCATAATTTTGTGAAGAAATGTCTAGATTAGCTAATCAAAATATTGTTCTCTATTAAGAATTTATGTAAAATAAAGAAAATATCAGTTTGTTGTAAATTTTAGAATAAGGGGAAGCTCATTTATAAAAAATTGATGAAATGGTTATTAGATAAAAAGTAATTTAATTATTTATAATTCTTAGACTGAATTAGCTATTGATATTACTAATCTTTAAGAAAAGATAATGGTTGTAATTCAATCAATAAAGGAGGAAAATATGAAAAGACTTGATAGTTTTAATGAGTAATACAAATAATCCTTTATCACATTAAAGGCAAATATTGATTAATTTTTCCTATTGTCCAGATAAAACTTTTATTATTCAAATTAGAATACATTTTAATATAAATTGGCATCTTTAGGTACACCAGATGCGCAATCATTTTTATCGAATTTAAAAAGTCATTTGAATAAAAGCAAATAACTTTCATAAGGAAATGTTACTCCATTATAAATGTTAACTGATTTACAAACTTTAGCAAGATTCTTATTATAAATGACTAATTCTCCTCCAAATTATGATAAACTACAAAATCCATAGACAAATATATTAGATTCAGTAGTAAATGAAGTTGGATTTGTATTAAATAATGTTGTATCTGCTAGACTCTATATACCTTTTGGCAGTAATAAAGAATTATCTTAAGTTTAGACAGGAGAAAACAATTTATAACTATAAATGGCAGCTAGAAATATAGATAAGTAATAAATATAATAGATTTAGTTTCTAATTAAAACCAACTAAAAAGTTTTCAATAGGAGCATAAATATCTTGTATTCTATCAATTTTAGATAATTTATTTGCAATTGGTTGTTAAAATGATAATCACTTAAGAATATTTGATACAACATAAAAAAAGATATCGACATTATTTGGTCACACTTAAAATATAGTATATTTAGAGAAGATTTGTACTACTGAAACAAATAGTAGATAATTTGTATCTTTAGGTTAGGATAAATTATTGATTGTTTGGAATATTGATGATATAATGATTTCTACATAACCCAGAGTGTTTAGAAAGATTTAATTATCATAAATGGCAAATAATGCTTTAGATTTAAAAGATAATACACATATAGCATTTAGTGATTTAAATAGAGATATTAATATTTGTAATTTCTACACTTAAAAGATTGGTACAAATAATACAAAACATTTAAATAAAATTAATGGATTGACACTTTTAAAAAAAGGTGAGAAATTCATCTCTTATTCATCTGATTCAATTATCAATATTTGGAGACTAATGAAATATGGTTCTTCTTAAGATCCTGTTTTAATATGTGATTAGAATTTACATGATCCCCTTTATGGTTCTATCAGTTAGATATTTATTACAACATAATGGCCAGGTCATTGTATTATTGTTTCAAATGAAGGAGCAGTTAAATTATTTGATTTTAATAAGTAATTTTATAATTTATTATCTATTTAGAAATTGTATTGTATTTTCTAAATTTGGAAATAGAAAAATATCTAGTACTTTAATGGAAAGTGTTTTAATTGAAGTTTCTGATTAAAAAAGTATATTTCTTAATTAAAGTAAGTTAATCCTCCAATTTGGTTGATTACATTTAGTTTCAATGATAATGTTGCAACTTAACATCATTTGAGTATGAATCCTTATGCTATGCATTCATCTGATATCAAATTAGGACATCAATTAACAGTTGCATAATAAATTTATGGTAAACATAAGGTTTAATTATTTACTTAATCCTCTCCTGCTTCAAGTGGAAGTGGTAAAATAGGCACAAATATACTTCTGTTTAGCAGTGATACATCAGATGAATTATTGATGTATGAATTGAAAGGAATTTGAACATTCTAAAACATTCATAAATAGTATATGCATAAAGTTTATATTCTTCTAAATAATCTAAATTAATTATATAAACATTATTTTTCTATTTTATTCAAAGTTCAAATACTTGTGTTTATTACTTTTAATTAGAATTTCTAAAGGATATCAATAAAAATCTATTAAAAAGAATTTCAAGAATTTAAATGATATGTAATGTTATAGTAAAAATTAACAACCCTTTTTTTAAACTTTTGGTATTTACAAGAAGATTATAGTTACATTATAATCTTAAATTTAAATATCATAATTATTAAGTTGATATTTAATAATCCCTAGAGATTTAGAATATATCTTAACAATTCTATTTGAGATTTACTTTTTACTCAATACATTATAATTTGATTTAAATATGTAACTCTCTCCTTTTTCATATTATTCTCATAAAATAGAATTCTGTAAAAAATTACTATTATCTAGCCAAAGAATATCATTTTATTTAAAAAGCCTGAACAATATTGCTTTAAAAAGTTAAAATAAAGTAGTCCCAATATCAAATATAGAATTATTTGTTTAAATGGAAATAAAATTATATATAATAAAATGAAAATTATAAACACTAAAACAATTTTCATTTTTTTTAAGAATAACAAACCAAATAAGATAATAAAAATTAATTATTTATTTCTAAAAATCAGTTATCAATAAACTTTCAAAAATATTCACCATCAAAATAATTAATTACTCCATTTGGTAAACATTAAAGTCTAAGGATAACATATGTTATCATGATAATTAGAGCATATCCAGCTTACATTTTACTACAATTTACTGCCTATATATAGAAATAAGTTGATAGAAATGTAAAGCTATGAAAATTAATAATGATTACACTACGGTTACAAAAAATTCTGCTTCATTTAATTTCTATTCTAGAATTATTGTAGTTACTAAAGCTTTCTGACTTAGATATGAAATAATCAAAACCAATATTACTAATAATCTTAAAATAATTGCTCCAATAAATAAGTAAAGTATAGTTTCAGCAAAAACTTAGGATGATTAGCATAATGGATCAACACAACTGAGTTTGTTATTATAATTACTCATTTCGAATCATGAATATGGCAAAAAGGCAATAAAAAATAGTTATAATACTATATATCATCTTTTCGAATAAGGGAAACTATTTCTTATACTCTATTGAGTACAATAAGCTTTATTGCCTATCTAAAGGTATTTCCATTTTATTAAAATAATTATAAATATAGTTTTTGCTTTTAATATTAATTTTATAAAGAAACAATTCATTCATAGAGATCAGAATTGTTTATTTATCTGAACCGAATATCTGAGTTACAAAAAGTAAGTATCTGATTCATATAATTCAAAGTTTTTTCAATAAATAAAATGCAAAAATTAATTATAGTTTTTGTATAATAATGAGAAATACATTTACTTGTATAGAATAATTATAAGAATATCGTAGGGAATAATAATTTGTATTCCTTTAAGATTTGAATTATATAAATAATTTATATATAGAAAATGACTCTTTCTCATACTATTTAGAATTAAGAAGACATTTAAAGTTTAAAGTCGGAGCATTTATAAATTTTTATTTAAACATCTGAATAGGTTGTTTTAGATAAAATTGAATGCAAGAATTTAATTCTAATTGTGGAGTATGATTTATATATTTATATTTTTTAGGGGATTTTTAAACTATAAGCATTATGCTTCTTTAATTTTATCATTAAATCACTTAAATTTGAGCAGTTTTAAATTGAAATATGGGTAATATGTAATATCAGATAAAATAGTGCAAATAATTAATTTTCAGATGATGATGCTAGAATTTTAGCTAAATTTATTTTAAATTAGAAAAGCCTTGTATCTCTAGATATTCATTTTGATTTAAAGAATCCATTAAAGTAATTATAACCAATTTTGGAAGCAATTAAAATTCATGAAAATAAACTTATGCATTTAAAATTAAATTTTGAGTAAGTACTAAATATTTTAATAGAGATGAATTACCATTATGCTTTAAGGATTTATAATTTATTACATCTAGAAAATTATAGTCCATTTCTTTATAAATTGGATAAGGAGTTTGTCTAGGTTAAAATTGGTCTCATTTTGAAAATTATTTAGAAGATTCTATTTTGAGTGAGCTTTCTTTATTTATAAGTCCATTTAATAAATTAGATAAATCATTTCATTCTTTTTTTAAATGGTTAGAATCATAAACTAAGATTGAAAAGTTAAATATAACTATAGGTGCTCAAACTGATTTAGATAAATAAGCACTCACTTAATTAGGTTTAGCATTATAAAAAATAGAAAATTTAAAATATCTTAATTTAATTTTACATGACACCAGAAATTTATCATAACATTCTTTTGATCAAATTGTAAAATCATTAGGAAAATTAGAAAATTTGAATTTAAATTTAGGGTATAAATATATTTCTAAAATGATAGAAATAATTATGGAATTAACAATTATGATATTTTATACAAAGAAGTGAAAAATATTTCATCTGTTAAATTGTCATTAGGAGCTCATCATAAATTTATTTCACAAGAATTATTTTTAAATTGCAATATTAAGATATTGGATATAAAATTGTTAAAAGGATGTACAATAAAGCAAGGAAGCTTTAAATCTATTGAAAGCTTTCTTGAAAAAACAGAAAAATTGATTATAGAGTTAAGTGATGGAAAAGATTGTTCAGATTTAGATTTAATAGATTTGATAGGTCAAATAACTCCCAATTGTGATATAAGATTAAACACAAACACCTAATATATAAGAAAAGTCAAATAAACATTGTAAATTTAATTGGATACAATTCAATCTATAAAAGTATTGTTTAATACTTTAAGTTAAAAAATGGATTTATTTTAAAATTTAAAAATCTTTATAAAATCTACTAGCATAGAATAAGAATCAATCGATCCTATTATAAAATAATTATAATAATCTCAATTAAAAGTTTTAAGCCTGATAATAAAAAAGATAAATAATTTTAAGTGCAACTAAATGATTGATTTTTTTTAATAAATAGTGATTTTGAAATAATGGACATTCCTATCGATTGAAGTTATGTAAAAATGTATAATGTAATTATATGGAAAATCAGTGGTGAATCAGTAAGTAAATTTTTAAGTGCATTCAGGATTGAAATTAGGATAGTAAGGAATGGAATATATAGCAAAATCATTAAAAAGTATAAACATTACAAAGTTAAGATTAACGATATTGTAAATATAATATGTATCATTGAATTAGATTAGATAATTCTTTGAATGAGTAGGGATTGAAACAAATAACATTGGCTTTGTTAAATAGTGTAAATTTATAGAAAGCATCCCTTTAGATTTTGGATTCTAATTAATAATTATAATAGTATATGAGTAAGATGTAAGCGACGATAAATTAATATATAAAAGATAAGACTAAACTGTAGAAATCTTATTGTTTGTTTTTATAAAAAGAATTAAATAATAATAATAAATAGATATCATAGTAGATGCTTGTAGGAGTGGCAGATTACTTGATTGAGGATGTAGTTTTACCAGTTCCAGCTGCAGGATAATATCATAATCAATAAGGAGGATTTGGATCAAGTTGGAATCCATAATAAATAGTAGAAATATTTGGTTAATGAAAGATAGAAAAAATTATTAAATTATTTATAATTAAATCATGCGAATTATTTTTAAGATGAAGATTTTTTAGATCTGGGAGGTGTAAATTATCTTTTTCTTAATAGTAGTTCATCATTATCTATAACTACATATTTAGCATATCCTTTCTTTCTTTAAGTTGCTTCTTCTAAATCAATCCATCTTGGTTCTGAGGTAGAATTGGCTGGTAAGATAACTTTAGGAATGATTTCACCTCTTTTGGAAATTGTGAGCATAGCTTAAGTTTAAATAAAATAGTGTTACATCCTTTATTATTTTAAGAGTTAGCACCATAATCTGGACATGAGAATACTGTAATAACATTATTATTTTATCTTTCAAATCCTTCTTGAGTTGGTTCATGAGATCTTATAATAATGTTTAAATTATTTTCTTATAAGAATTTACTTACTCTATTAGTACCAAATCTTATAGTTTATTTATTTTAAAATATATCTCTTTCTGGATTTGGTAAATTTTCTAATTCTTCTTCAGATAGACATGGATCAGACCATAATAATTCCAATGCAATTTTTTATTAATACTAAATAATTAAAATAAACAATTTACAGTTTTAGGATCATGTACAATCTCTAAAGGTCTTTAAATAAGTTCAATTTCATCTACAGTTCGCATAGTTTATCCAATACCACCATGAACACATAATATTTTATCTTCTATAACTGCTGCTAATGGTAAATATTAGAAAACTCTATTAATTCTTTAATAGATGCTATTTGGATCCATGATATCTTCTGCAAATTTAAGAAAACATTCATCTGCAAAACCATAAATTTTATTAACTTTAGAATCTTCATGATGTCCTCTTAGTAAATGAATTTAATCAGCATATTTTAATTTCAAGGTGAATAATAAAAGGACAATTTCAAGAGATCTTGTTCCTCTATCTATATAATCACCTAGAAATAAATAATCTTATGAATCAATATCTCCATTATATAAATTATCATATGGAGCTTTAAAATGATCAAAGAATCTCATTAAATCTAAAAATTGACCATTTAGATTTCCATATATTTTAATTGGTCTTCTTAATCTTAAAACAATTGGTTCTTTATCTAAAACTCTTTAAACTTCATCACATAATTTAATAATCATATCTTTTTTGATTCCAGTTAATAAATTAGAATTAGGAGGAATAGATTAATAATCTTTAGGTATTAATAAATTTTAAATGAAAGGTTAACATAATTAATCTAAGAATTATGATTTATTTTATGAATTTGGATCTTAAAATCCTGCTCCTAATTTTTTATGTTCATCTTGCAATTTATCAATAGGTACTTTTTTAACTTAATTAGTTATATCTTCTTCTGGTCCATAAGTCATAGCAACTATAGCTTAATTAGCTAATCTAATATTTTTATTAGTTGCACTAGATACTCGTACTTATTAATTATTATTTTAATCTAAAATAAATAATAAAATTATATACTTTTACTAGAATTTTATTATTATTAATTAGTTCTTCTAAATTAATCTTAAGTTTATGTTTAATTAGTAGGAGGTCTAGGATTGAATGATTATGTAAATGATTAATCAGTTCTAAGAGTATTCATTTATCTCAATAATTAAGGAGTTTAAGCAAATCTGGTTTATAGATTTAATCTTAATATACCTTCAGTTGGTATATTAGGTTAATCAGAATCAAATCCTCCATGTAAATAAAGAAATTGATCAATTAACCATGAAGAATGTCTAAATCTTTAGATTGCTTAGAATTTATACCAATCAGATGTTTCAGTATCATAAATTTCAAATGGTAATGTCTCTCCAACATTATTAGATCTACCTCCTATAACTAACATTAAAGTTCCCAAAAATAAAGTAGAATGTTAATATCTTTATAATGGTTATTCACTTTAACTTCTATATGGTGCTCTCACCCAATCCCATCTTCCATCTCTATGTTTTCTTAATCCCCATGTATCATTTAATGCACCTTAATCATTAGTTCTACCTCCAAATGCTACCATCATTCCATTTGCTGATCCTGTTGTGCATAATGCAGCTGAATGATATACTCTTACATTTGGTTATTCAGAAGTGCATTCTAATTTTTACCATGAATATGGAGACTTTTCTAAATTAAAACTCCAAACATCATTAACAGGTTCTTAACCTGTATTACCACCAAATACTATTAAATGTGGTTTTATTAACACCATTGTATGTCCATATCTTCTCCCTGGTGTTGTACCTATTACTGGTACTGTTACCCATGTTCCTGTATCATCTCTTAATTCAAATACATATAAATTATCATCTGCTAATCCTCCTCCACCTACTGCTCCACCAAATATTATCATTTAATTCAATTCTATTGCTAATGCTTAATGTGCTGCTCTATTTGTTGGTACACTTCCACTTGCTTCTATTCTCTTCCATTTCTTTTATGTCATGTCTCCTATATATACATCTCCTGTTATCACATATCTCCCTGTATCACCTACAGCTCCTATTCAAATACTATTCATAACTTATACCTCCAAATAATGCAATCTTATTAGGTGCTATTAAACATATAGTATGACCAAAACGAGGCTAAGGATTATCTCCACCAAATATCACACTTTCCATTTTTATTTTAAATATTTATTTAACGATTTATGGATTCTAAACTAATCAGACCATCCACACCCAAAAAACCATTTGATCCATCATTATTAAGATAATCCAATAAAAAACCATTTCAATTAAGAACCTACCAACCAACTAATATACTTGTTATTGAAAACTTTTATATTTATACTTGAATCCTATATTTATATAATTCATTTTTCTATTTACTCTCCATCTTTATCCCACTCTTCTCTTTTATATCATACTATTTAAAATACTCAAATTTATCATTATTTATTTCTTTACTCCTTTTAAAATCAATTATTCTCTCTACTTTACTTATTCTCCTCACATTCTTAACATTCTTAACTAATTCATTATTTATATTTCTTTTAATTTATTATTTATTTAACCTCATCTTTTATTTATACAAATTTATCTCAAATTATTATTCTTTTTTTCATTACTTTTCTTTCATTTTTTATTGTTATCTGCAATTATTTTATTTCTTACTAAATTATATCATCAAAATTTAACACTCATTTCAAGATTATACTGTATCAATTATAACTATCATATATATACAAATTCCTATATTCTCATTCTGTTTAACTAACTCAAACTAATGAATCTATTTTTAAATAGTATTTTCAAGTTTAAGTTATAAATCTGTTAATAAATAATGAAGATAATTTCCTTTCTAAGACATCTGAAAATTCATATTAATAATAATCAATTTAAATAAATTTAACTTTAGAACTAATTTATATTATTTGATTAATTTTCTTTGTATAAGAATATAAATTTAAAATATTTAATCTTAAACATATTAATAGAGCATATACAGAAAATTAAACAAAGAGTTATAAATCACAGATTATGAAATTTTTTCTTCTTTTTATTTATAAATAATTTTAATTTTTCATATCATTTTTGATACAACAGTTATCCCAAATTGTAAATTAAAAAAAATCAATTAAAATATATTACAAAAATTATATAATTGTAGATTCAAACTTTTCCTGTTTATTTTTATAAACAAATTTAGTTTTTATATTTTTTTTAAATACCAAAAATTTATTAAATAAAAAGAGTTTTTTTGATTCACAGGTATAAATTTATTTCTATTTTATGAATTTCTCTAAAAAAAAGGACTTTTATTTAAACGCCTTGGAAGATTTTTATTTGATTGATATAAAAAATGTTTGTTGCTCTTGTTTTTTATTTTTATTTTTAGCGAAAAATATCTAAATAAATGAAAATCCATTATCCTAATATAATATGAAAGTTTTGTCATCAAATAGAAGAGTTTGAATATACTTGAAAAATTTTAACTATTTTATACAAAATCTAAGTGTAAGGAAAAAATATGGTGTTTATGATTTAAATTATAAATAATAATTTTTTAATCATTAGAATCAATGAACAAATGGTATTAACATATTTATATACGTCAGTACTACTCCAACAAAATATTAATCTTTTCTTAACTTGAACTAAATAAATCATAATTTAATTGTACTTTTCCTCTATAAATTTATAACAAACTATATATATAAAAGAGTGTGAAGAAAAAGGACCAAACTATTTCATAAAACAGCAATATTGTGAATGAATCAATACCAAATAAGGCTGAAATCACAAAAAGAACCCCAAGTGGGCCAGCCATAATTCCTCTTAAGAATTCTAAAATTAGTTAAAATATTACCTTTTAAATTCATTTCTTCTTCTTTAAAATATTTAATTTAAACTTAAAATTGAATAAGCATTATCAAAATTCCAATTGTTCCAATAAAATAAAGAAATCCAATCAAAAAGTAGATTTTTTCATAATTGTAACTTATGTGGCTTGATGAAACAATACCACTAATAAAAAAAGAATATAAAATAGCGTAAATAATGTAAATTATTCCTTAATATCCTTATTTCTAAAATATTATTATAAATTAATTACATCCCATAAACGTTTAGTGAATCTAATAACAATCATATATCCAAACGTGAGAATCAGGAATACATAAAAAGTTAATCTATATTCCACAGCAGAATAATCAAAAAAAATACTATCATATGAGTAACTTGCCATATTGATTATACATAAAATGATTTATATAATTTCTTAAATTATCCAGAAACAATTTATTTTAGATATTAAATCTCTTCGGCATTTTTCATTCAACTTATCTTCATTATTCACATTTTCAGTTTAAATGAAAGGAGTGGCTATCTATTAATCAGTGTATATGTTTTAAGTTTAATTATCATCAACTTTAATTTACTAATATGGTTTTTATTCTTAAGCAACTTACAATTACTATTATTATTATAAATATTCATTATGTATAATATGATTTGGCTCTTATTAATCTCCACAAACAGATTCATTCTCATAACTTAAACAAGGATAATTAACTGGCTATACCATATGGTTTTAATAAATTGGCTATTCATTGTTTTTTTAAACAGAAATTTGGTCTTTATTTTCTAATGATTAACAATTTTTCTATTAAGTATTAATAATGAGATCTTAGGAATTGCTATATTAAGCATAATTCGAATAATTCATTGTTTTCTTACTTTAGTGATTATAAAAATAATTTTCATTTTTAATACTTATAATCCCTGTTTTTGTACAATATATATTAAGCATATATTGTAATTTTAGATTCTAAGATAGTTATATATTTATTAAATTTCGTTTAAATATTATTTAATTGCTAAGGATTTTTTTAATTTGATTATATTAATTTAACATGAAAGACTGTTATAACATCAATAAAAGTTAATATATTAATAATGTAATAACATTTTGGTTTAAACTTAAAATAATTATCATTCCGAATATGATTGTAATATTCTTCATTAATTCTTAAGGATTTATCATACAAAAAAGACTTTATCTCAAGACAATCTATATAAAATTATTAATTTTTTAAAAACTGTATATAATATGTTTTAGAATTATAGTTATGCGAGAGTTAGAGAGAGAAGTTGTAAACTAAAAAATATGTTTAATATTGTAAAATGATTTTAATAATATATATAGAAAAAAATCTAATTTGAAAGTTAATTATAACATTTTACAATTTATAAGGGAGAGGCAAAGCATTTGATTTTGCAGAGTTATTCAATAAAAATGTTTGATTATAAATTTGTAAATAAAAAATTTTAACTTGGGTGCATTAATTTTAAGAGGAAATGAAGAGAATATAATAAATGAATGATAATGATGAAAGAATCTAATTAAATATTATTTAACCGAATTTAAATGATGTTTGAAAAAGTATTAAAATGAAGTCGAAAATGACAGTAGTAACATTAATATATAATGTATATAAAAATATCACACGCCTTATTTATTAATTCTTTAATGCTGATGGGCTAACTAATCTAATAAATTGTTAATTCTTTTACTTATAAGAGTGTAATAATGCTTGGATTGGTAACATTTACGATTATCATGCATTACTACAATTAATCATAAGAAAAAAAATGGGTAATTGTAATCCAAATATTATTGACTTATGCACTGCATATAGAAATTCAAATTCCACAGTTCGATTTTGCTCATCCACTTTATTATGGTTATTTAATATGTAGAAATAAAATAAAATTGTGGTTGATGTGTGTGAATTTGTTATTCATCGCATTTTATTGTATAATTAGACTTTTCTATGAATTGGAATAATAAGTAATTTGGACCATAATACATTATACAACTACTTATGCTATTTTTATTATTTTCAATCTTTAATTATAGAAGGAGAACAATAACAAAGCTGCCTCATAGTTGGTAGAAATATTTTCGAATACAGAAAGATATAGATGGAAAGAATAAAGTAATCCAGAGAACTTTTAAGAGAACTATGCTAAATACTTATGTTTCAATTAAATTCGGGAAGGTGTAATATTGTTCGAATAAGGTTATGAGAAATAAGCAACATTCATAAATTCTTAAGCTAGAAAAATGTTTTAGTTTACAGATGAATCTCAGCTGCATTAAATATTTTAAAATTATTTTTAAATTGATAAAATGGAAGCTAAAAGATCTATGTAATCTATTAAAAGTTTTGGAGTTGACAGATAGAATTCAATTTTTAAACAATTAAGTGGTTCTTTATCTTAAAATTCAAGACCTCAAAGTGCATATAAACCATAATAAAAAGATATTTCATTTTCTTAACTTCTTGAGAAAGCTTGGAATAATCCAAACAAAGAGAAACATTTGTTTTACTTATAATAATCTAAATAAAACTAATAAGTATATTTATATAATTTTTTTAGTCATAATATTCTCCTATTTTTGAGGTGAATGTTTATATCAATTCTTAATTCAGAAGAATTATGACATTGGTATGTAGAGACTTAAGTTATAAACGATACATTTAATAACTATAATTTCATAGTAATTAAAATTCAAAAATGATCTCATTTGTATCTCATGAATTTCGAGCTCCTCTAGGCTGTATGATTACTATGTTAGAATATGTTGCAAAAGATTTAAATAATACTTATATTTAAACATCTATTGAAAATTCAAAATATTTGTTAAATCTTTGTAATGATTTGCTTGACTTGGCTTAAATTAAAGCTAATAAATTTTAATTAAAAATTGAAAAGTTTAATTTAAAAAAATTATGTTAAGAATGCTTTTAGATGTTTAACCTTTAAGCTGAAAAAAAGAAGCTAAAATTAATTTTATAATATTCAACTTAATGTCCAATTCTTATTGAATCTGATTAAAGTAGAATAAAACAAATTATAATAAATCTTCTAGGAAATGCATTCAAATTTACTTAAGAAGGTCACATTATGATAAATGTTGAATCTTATGAAGATGACATAATAGAAATTACAATTTAAGATACAGGTATTGGAATATAGGAATAAGATAAAGAAATTCTAATGATGGCATTTGGCAAAGTAAATTCAGAAGAGAGTAAAAAACTTAATGCTTAAGGTGTTGGATTAGGATTATTAATTAGTAATAAGATTGCTTTATAATTGGGAGATGGATTAAAATTTGAATCAACTTACCATAAAGGATCAAGCTTTTCATTTACTATAAATTTGCCTGAAAAAGAGAGTTTCTAATCTGATATTTTAAAATCATTATCCAATAAATAATAAATATTAAAAGATAGTGAAATTATAGAAAACTTAAATGAAGTTGAAGAAAGTTCAAAAGAAATATAAATAATTATAACTTAACCAAAAAAATCATTAGTTTAGATTTTTGAATGTTGTACTAAGATATTAATTGTAGATGATACTCAATTTAATATTGATACATTGTAAATATTATTGTCTAAAATGTATTCAATTTTATATTATTTAGAGGAATTTATTAAGTTGATTATTCAATTAATGGGTATAAAGCAATAGAAAAAATAAAATAGAAAGAAAAATGTGTTACATGTAATAGTAGAATGTATAAATTGATATTTATGGATTTGGAAATGTTAGGAATTAATGGAATTAATGCTTCAAAAAGCATTTTTACTTATTGTGAGGAAAATGAGATATAATTACCAATAATAGTAGCTTGTTCTGGACATAAGAAAGAATTCGAATTTCCAAAATGTTAATAAATTGGTATGAAGTTTTATTTAGAGAAACCTGTGTAAATTAAAGCTTTATAAGGTATTATAGATCATTATCGAAAATCACTTTGAATTATTATTTTCTAAACTTACTAATTTTAATATTATTTAAATCATGGATCAATTTGAGACTATTGAAGGAAAGATTCTGTACATCACTTACAATTTATATAAGAGAAATCGCATTTGTATTCAATAAAAGAATGAAATAAAAGGTTGATAATTTTAAAATAATCAATAGACATGTTGATTACTAAAAATCATCGTATTGAAAAATTAATACAAGAACTAAGAGGAGGACATTGTGTAACTTAAATTGAAAATACCCTTGAAGCTATTAATGTATGATTATTTATATATTATTTCTTAGGATTTAAGTCCAAGAGATTTAGATGACAGTCTTAGCAATTCATATAAAAATAAAAGACCAAAGAGATTTAAGTTTTTGAAATCTAATTTTCCCAAAAATATAGATCCAAAAGAGATAAAAGCAAATGAGGATACGGATTCATTGTCTCGAAATTCTAATTAATAGTTTGAATTTGATTCAAGGAGACGTGTGTACTCTTTAGCAGCTGATTCATGTTGATTAATATTATAATTATATTTTTTAATGATTTCAAAGAAATGGTGATATCATTACTGGTATAATAATTACAATAATTTATTATTAAATTTTTGCTGTTAATTTATAATCCTTTTTTATCATTACGAAGACTAATCAATAAATTAGACACGAATATTATCATGGCATAAAATCATTAGTTTGATATTCTTTAGAAGAATAAAAAATATAAGTTACATATTTGATTTTAACTATTCTTCTAAAAATCTTAGTCATTATGTATAAAAAAAAATAAATTTTATGAACCAGAAAGCAAGTTAATAGGATCTAAGTGAACATAAAAGTTAGAGAGGATTAATCAATCCATAAAACAGCATTCCATTTCAAATTCATTCATAGTTTTTATTCCTAAAATATTGAAAAATATTTTAATATTAAAGAGATTTTGAATTAATTTGATAAATATTGGCTAGGTTTTGATTAAAATATTTAATTTCTTATCTTTCTGAAAAATTATGAAATTTATTAAGTTACAATTAAAAGCTATGAACTATTTTAAATATTAAGCATTTATGTGTTAGAGTTTTTACAATAAATAATTTTCATATGATTTCTATCTTTTTTTTGAAATTTTGAAGTTTTTTAAATCGTTATTAATATATTTAGATAAGTAATTTAAAAAGATGGGAGAAAAATATAGATTTATTCTTTAAATTCATGAAAGTTGTCGAAAAATATAGATATTTTTAGTTTTAAGTTTGATATTTATAAAATGATTTGGTTCTAGTGATTCAATTTAAAAATAACTAATTATGTAATTGCATTTCTAAAATAATAATAAAAAATGCATTAAACTTTGTAAAATCTACATAATCAAATAAAAAGATGAAAGATAGTCTTTGAGATTTTTAAGATTATCTAAGTTGATTCAGTAAATTTTAACATAGGAATAAGATTTTTGTTATATTCTATAATTTTAAATCATATATTGATATCTATCCTATTTTGTACATGTAAATTAAATTTGATGATGAAAGATTACATATTTTCATAACAACAGTGAAAATACTTTTGATTCTTTAGTAATTATAATTTTTTTTGAAAGTTATCAAATTTATTCAATATTAAGAATCATGAAATAATAAAATATATATTCTTATATATATTTAACAAACAGATTGTTATTTAGTAGTATTTTGAGAACAAACCTTAATTATGGGAGTCAGTACTTAAACTAAGTTTTGCAATTTATTTATAAAAGTCCTGAATAAAAAATAATAGTATTTATCTGTTATTATATTAATTAATCGATGCAATAGAGTTCCTTTCTCTTAAGCAATTAGTAATATGGTTCGCTTAAATTATTGAAAAAAGATGTTAAAGATTAATTCTTGACTAGATTTCAAAATTAAAAGACCACAATAAAGTAAGTATAAGAAAAAGGAATGAACACAAATAAACCCTTAGTAAAAACAACACATTCTCCAAAATCACCTAGAACATAATAAATCACTCCAAAATAATCTCCATTAAGAATAAAATAATATTCAAAGCATTCTCCTGGAAGATTGTCTTTCCAAAAATAAAGCGTTGGATTGAATACTCTTAATTCTAGGTAAAATGATATTGTATTTTAATAGTTTGATGATTCCCTAAAAGTCATTGAATGAAATTGTACCAGTCGAAAAAATTTAAGATTTAGTTCAATCATTAAGGAGTTAGAATTATGGAGCCACAGATTTATATATGCAGGAATTGAGAAAATTATCAATAATGATCTTAAATGAATGAAGTTGAATAGTATAATTTATATTCATAATTCTAACAACATCATTTTTTATTTAATTGATTCCATCAGAAGTTTATCGCCTTTTAGTTTATTCTTTGTATATGCTTATTTAGATTCCCTTTCTAATCTTTAATATTTAGAATTATTTATATACATGTCAGCTTAAAATTTAATATCAAGAGGAGTCTAAGGGGTCTTTCTCTTTGAAAATTATCGAATCTCAGATAGATAGTCTCGTTTTAGAGTTGATGATGATGATTATTCAACACCAATTTATGACTTAATTCTAGATCTTTTAGGTAATTTTCTTATTTATCTCAAATACAAATTTCCTAAAACTCTAGAATCACTTTTTATTGAAGGTATTAGATCATTCTATTTTTGATTAATAATCATTTGACTAGTTAAATCAATGCTTTGAGATACTTTTGGAAAGAAGTGTTCTTTTACAAATAGATCATAAGCAAATCTTTCTTTAATTTGTTTGCGTAATTTGTCTTAACTTTCTTTTTTTTTTTATTCTTCTTCTTTCATCATCTCTATGTGAGCTTAATATGTTCTGCTTCTTACTCTAGATTAAACTTACTAAGAAAAGTAGGTATCCTATAATTTCTTATGATCTCTTAAAATTATCAATTATTATTAGTGTTCATTCTAATATTTCTTATATTTTAACTAATGCTCCTTTATTTCATCTGCTGTCAATAGTTTAAATTTCTCCTTTATTTATAAAAGTTTTTATTTCACTTCTTCTTCTCTCTATTCTTCAAGTAACTTTTACTTAATCTTCTATTATTACTATTCTTAACTAAATTATTCTAATAATTATTTGACTCTTCTATTTTATTCCTTTACCTTTTAACTCCGTTCATCTGATTTCAATTAAATAAATGACATATTTAATTTTGATTACAATCGACGAGAATCTTAAAGTTCCTTTAATTATTATATTTTTATTGTTTCTAGTTACTAAAGGGATTGTTATTTGATTTTCTCTTCCTCCAAAAGTCTTTATTTGCGTCTTAGGTACCTAAATTAAAAATTTACTATTCATCTCGAATCCTTCTCTCCTCAGTTATTTTTTCTATGTATTAATGATGATCCATATATATTAATTTTTATTAAATAAAAATAACTCTATAATTATATAAAAAATCAAAGTATACATGAACACTTATGTTCGAGATCTCTTATCATTTAACAATTCTAATAGAGGGAAAATACTTCTGAAATGAAGTGGAATTCAACCTTATTCGAATTATATAATGATAAGATCATATAAGCAAGATCCTAGTAAATGAACTGTAGTATAATACTATTAAAAGCATAGAATAAAAGCGGAGAGAATAAAATTTTGTTTTTTTATATATTAATTTTAATTCATTAATTTATTACAAAAAGTCACATAAAAAATTTATGCTAAATTAATAATTTAGCTTCTCTATTAATTCTTTATCCACATTAATATACTTTACTAGCAAATAATTCACAAAACTTAATATTTAAATTGTGTATATCTCTAAAGTGAATTTTAAGAAAAAATTTAATTTAAAATAATGATGCTGTTTTGGCTATGGATAAAATATTAGATGGTTGAGATGAACAAATGTTGATTAATAATTTTAGAAATTCAAAATTATAGCAAATTAATGATAATTTAAGGGATTTTAACAATTAATAATTAACAATCAACCTCAATTAGAACTATATTAAAAGGATTTATAGATAGATTAAGGCAAATTTTGGAAAGAATATTTTTTTGGAAATTAATTATTATTTATTTATTAATAAAAAGTAATTATAATTTATAAAAAAATTAAAAAGTAATTCAAATTAAAGGATTTCACTTTAATTTGTGTGATTAAAATATTCCAGGTTTTTGGATTACCATTCAGTCACAAAAATAGTAGGATTTTTTTTGTAAAAAGAACATTAAAGTTTATAATTTATAAAAATATAAAAATATTTGAATAAAATCCTAGAAAAAAATGCATATAAGAACAACATAATATTTGAAATATGCTATTCAATCTTTTTTGCTTTTATTCTTTTCTTTCTTGTCGCTTTTTTTTTCTGAAGAGGATTTCTTTTTTTCATTTTCAGGTTCTTCAGTGGTTGAACTTTTTTTTTCATTCTTTTCAGTTTTTGTATTAACCTTTTTTTCAGGCTTCTTTTTGAAACAACCTGATAATTAAAGTTTATAAATACAATTTAATAGTAAAACTATTGGAACGAAAATGAAGATAGCAAAATACAAATATTCTTTATTTTTGAGTAGTATCTGCTTCAAAGAAAATTTACTGAGATCAAATTACTCTACAATTGGTAGATCACTTAACTGATCTTAAATTTCTTGATCGATTTCTTCAGATTCTCTTTATTCTTATCTTTTCTTTTCAACCTCAGGTCTCTTCTACCATTGAGTTTGTATTAACTCTTCAACCTCTTTAATAATTTCAATCAATTATGCAAGTTTGGCAGCTTCTTTCTTATTATTGATGAATCTATCATATTTAATATTTTCATGGAGATGTATGTATTTATCTAATTCTATTTATTAATTCTATAATGCATCAAGAATCTAATGTTATAAGATTTATATGATTACTCTGGTAACTTCTCTTTGTTTAATATTAGTTAAACATTTATCAAGGGCAGCTGCTTATACCATATAAATGGCATCATCCTAATTGTATTTTTGCTCCTTAATTAATTTTCCAATTAATGGGTTGGTTTATACTTAATCAACTTATAGTATGTATCTTGAAAATATAACGCAAGAAGCTTCTCTCAATTCTTCTTCATTGGTTTTGGCGGAAACTAATGTTAAAAGAACGATGTAAATTAAATTAATCATAAAATAATTATTTATTGTAATTTTTTAATGATACTCATTTGTCTGTTAAGTTTCTAAATGCTGATTTGATCTCATCTACGAATTTAGTGAAATAATTCATAAGTTCTTATTTAGGTTATTTAGGATCCTAGAGATAATAAAAAGAGATACCTCAAATTTCATTTATGATAATTTGACAAATTATGGTTTAGTTTGATTCAAAATAATATTCCAAGTGATTTTGGCATCACCAGATGATTCAAGAATAGCTTTTTTACCACATTCAAAGAATGAGACTATACATCTCATCATACCAATAGTTTTGTAAAGTGGACAATTATAATCATATTTACTGAAGGCATCTTGTTATAAGAAATCTTCTCTGATGATTTTTGCAATCTAAATTGATTTAATATAATACTTCTAAGGATAATTTTTAATCTTCTGAAAGAGAATCTCTACCGACCAATTATACAATTTCATTTAATTCAGATTCTTCATGTAAGATTTATTTGAACATGACTCTCAAATGTGAGAATTCAGGATCGAAAGCATTGAAATATGGCTCTAAAATTTTTTCGTAATTGGAATTGGAGATAGTCCAATTAACAGATGGAAAATGCTTTCTTTATGCAAGTTTTTTATCTAATCCCCAAAAGACTTAAACAATAGTAAGTGTAGCAGTAGTAACAGGATCAGTAAAATCCTAAAGATGATAAAAATATGTACTCCTCCTGGTGGTGAGACAGCTCCTACAATTGTAATGGATCCTTCTCTGTCAGGAGAACCTCTGCATCTAACTCTTCCTGCTCTTTCGTAGAATTGAGCCAATTTAGATGCCAAATAAGCAGGATAACCTTAATCTGCAGGCATTTCAGCCAATCTACCAGAAATTTCTCTTAAGGCTTCTGCCCATCTTGAAGTTGAGTCAGCCATCATAGATACATTGAAACCCATATCTCTAAAATATTCAGCTAAAGTAATTCCTGTATAAATGGAAGCTTCTCTAGCAGCCACAGGCATATTAGAAGTATTAGCAACAAGACATGTACGTTACATAATGTTCTCTTCTTTACCTTTCATTTGAATAGTCAACTCAGGAAATTCACTGAGCACTTCAGCCATTTCATTTCCTCTTTCTCCACATCCAACGTAAATGATACATTCAGAATTTGAATATTTGGAAAGTGCTTAAGAAATACAAGTTTTTCCACATCCAAATGCTCCTGGAATACAACAAGTACCTCCTAAAACTGAAGGATAGAGTGCATCAAGAACTCTTTATCCTGTAAGGAGTGGAGTATTACCCTGTAATTTTTCAATAATTGGTCTAGGTTATCTAACAGGCCAGAAATGACTCATTCCATATTAGTGTCTTTTACCATCCAATTCTACTTCTAAGACTTTGTCTTTTAATGTGTAATTCCCTTCTGGTGCTATATAAGTAACTCTGCCTTGAACTTTAGGTGCTGTCAATATTTTATGCTCATCAAAGAGATTATTTTCAAAGACTGATCCATAAATGTCACCTCCAGAGATCATAGAGCCTACTTTTATTGTAGATAATGGTTTGAACTCCCAAATTCTATCTTAATCTAATGCTGGAATATCAACACCTCTTGGCACGAAAATGGAAGCTGATTGTTCAGCAATTACTTATAAGGGTCTTTGAATTCCATCAAAAATTTATGTTAAAATACCTACAAATATATTATGATCTATACCTGGTCCCAATTCAACTGAAAGTGGAGACTTTGTTCTCATAACAGGATCCCCTACTGTTAAACCAGCTAATCATTTATAATTAAACTTTAAGTACATGTATCCTCATAACATTGTATAGATGCATTATCACCTTCTAATTTAATGATTTCACCAACCAATTTATCCCAACCTACCTTAACTAATTCAAACATCTTTGCTCCTGCCATTTTCTCTGCCACAACCACTATTAAATTTAAGAACATTATTTACATGGACCTGCCACTTTGAATACTCTACCAAAACTGCTCTCTTTCTCCTGCAACTCTTCCAATTGGGTCTTGCGCTATTTATTCATATCTTTTAATAAAATTTATATTTAATGATCATCAATATTCACAATCTAAAACTCGAAAAGATCTCATGTAATTCTTCATTTGCTATAGGCTTACATCTCTAAAAATTCTTTATTTCCTTATCCTTATATGCTTCATTATGAAAACACTCATAAGTTTTTTATTTCCAATACATTATTCCATATTCTCAATTTTAATATCATCTCATTACCAAGTCTTTTCAATGCCCGTTCAGATCGCTCAGCATTCTTTTACATACATTCGATATATTTCTGCTCATTATCTAGGTTTTTGTTCATGCACTCCTTCTCTTTTGTCTAAATCATGTTTTAAACCATGTCGTATTTCTCTTTCACAAGGGGAGCTATCTCATTTTAATACTTATCCAATTCAAAGTAGTCACCAACAGTCTTTAAAACACCAGCCATTTTATAATTATTATTAGTTATTAAATATAATCATTTAAATCTCTTCTAGTTATTTGATATATTGTAATTTGTTGAATTTTTCTTACTTTCCAATTTTGATTTTGGTCTATCTATTTCATTTATTGTTTGTAATTATTCTGTCTCTATCATTGTTTTTCCAAGAGATGATTTTGTTCCACTTGTATCGTAATCTACTGATGCATTCATTGCTCTTTATCTTTTGATGATAGGACTCACTGATTGAATTGGAGATTGTCCTGAATTTGGTCTCATTTTTTAAACATTCGGTATTCGTTTAACATTCTATTCGTATGTCGACACACTTTATTACTATCTAGTTTATATTGTAGCTTTTTTTATTTCTTCCTGTGATTAAATATCCTTTTTATTTGCTATTATAAAACCAAATAGATGTAACTAAGGATCAATAAACTTCTCTATTCTACTTTTTGCATTGTTGTTGCTTTTTTCAAACTTAATAAACTTTACACCTTTCTTCCACACCTTGTCTCTCTAATTTTCAAAATACCAACATAAAGGATAATTTAAATCTGTATCAAATGGAATTTATGCAGTTTTAATTGTCTCAAATATCTCTGGCAAATGCTTTGACTAAATCAACAAAGATTGTGGTATTTTGTTTACACAAATCTAATTAGATCAACTCTTACTTTTCCATCCATTGGAAGAATGTTTGAAATTTCACAAAATCCTTTCTAAACTGTAGGATTATCAAATACAAGTTCACATAAAAATGCTGCTGATGTTTTTCTCATAATTTAATTTTTATCCTCAAAGTTTGTGAGTATTTTTTGAACATCTATTGGTGTAAGTGATTGAAATATCTCCTCCTAATGTTGTTTACTATCATTCATATGGCTCATTAATAAGAAAAATAAACTTACTCAATCAATTTTTACATTGATTCAATCAAAAGGTCTGGTTCTCCTTTGGTTTGTTTTTTCATTTTTAATATAAAAATGAATAACAATAACGCTGAAATACTCAATTTTCTAACTTATAGTAAAAACCTCATTACTAACCAACCTTATTAAATTACATTCAATGGAGATACTGTGTGTATGTTCAAAGTAATTTCTATAAATTTTCTTAGCTTCTTAATAGCGAGCGGAACCTTAAATATATTTTAAGAATCAGATTAAATGCTACTGTAGGCTGGATAATCAAAGCTAATAAACTCTATGGATTTATTATCCATGTAGGTAGCAAGCAGAAAAAGTTTTATAGCGACGATAGTTCTATTCTTATGAAGTATAAAATTATTTTTTCTTAGATTAAAAGACTTACTTGCATGCAAAGTAAGTTTTTATAATGTTTATGAATTCTATGAATTTAAAGAATAAATTGGAAAAGGTGCTTCATCCAGAGTAATAAAAGCCTTTTCAAAATTTACTTAGAAATATGTTGCTATCAAAATCATTGATAAAACCACTCTTAAACCTTTAAATTATGTAGTCAATACATCTCTATTTAAAGGCTTCTTTAGAACAAGAAATAGAAATACTATTAACAGTCAAGGACTCTATTTATTGTTCTTAGATTATAGAAATTTATCAGAGTCAATATGCTTTCTATATTGTAATGAAGTTATTAAGTGGTTAATCTTTGTCCACTTATCTTGAAAATCAATAAGGTGAAACATAAAAGAAGTTAAGCAATAAATAAACTCTCTAAATCATGAGAAGACTACTGGAAGGAGTAAATTACTTACATTCTGTCGGAGTAGATTAAATTAATTTAAATTATAATTTAGATCATACATAGAGATATAAAGCCAGACAATTTGATGCTTGCTGAATAAGATAATTTTGATACAGTCACATTAATAGACTTTGGATTGTCTACATTTACTAAGGTGAGCAGATACTTATTTTATAAATGTGGAACTCCAGGATATGTGGCTCCAGAAATTCTAAACTGTTCAGTCAGAAATCAGTAATCAGAGAGTTGTGATATCTTTAGTTGTGGATGTATATTCTATAGATTGTATATAAAATAAATTTTATAATATAGAATATTAGGGAAGAGTGTTTTTAAGGGTCGAACTTACGATGAATTACTCCACAAAAACAAACAATGTTTAATTGACTTTAATATTAAGTAAGAACAAAATAGTAATCAGAACGCTTTAAAACTATTGCATTCTATGTTAAGAAAGAATCCAGAGGAAAGAATAACAGCAAAAGCTGCATTATAAAGTAGTTACTTTTATAATGAATCTCTCTTTTCAATAAATGATGAGAATTGGGACTCAACTCCACTTGTCAATCAGCTACCTCTTTTTAATGCTACTATTGGCAGAGTCTTTGAGTTGACAGCAAGAGATTTCACAAGTTAAAAACTATTAATTCCAAAATAGAAAGATAACAATTTCTATTCTCCTTAATTAAGTCCAATTAGAAGAGATAATTAATGAATATTTATATTTTGATATCATTTTGATATAGTTTTACCCTTGATAATATTTTCTATGGATTATCTTGTTAATGGATGATAAAATGCCTTATTTTCTTGATACCATTAAGTGGCAGTTTATCTATAATAATAATGAAGGTATATTACTTATCTAAAGCTTTATAGATTGGATTAACCATCTTCATTCTTCCAACTAATCCAACAAACTTCTTAATTTTCAATAGGTTTGTGTTATCCTTAGCATAAGTGGTAACAATAGATAAATTATACCATCTAAATAACAATTCAGCATCAGTTAAATCACTTATATGATAAGCATCTTCTAAAGACGTCATAATAGCTACAGTGACATCTTTAGACTTTTCTTATAAAGTTGACAGGAATAATTATTTTTGATTTGATTTAAATCCATCGAATATTTAATAATTTTGTGGTTTAGTTCCATCTCCTTCAATCCAAGAATTGACTAATTCCAAGACTTCTTTGGATGCAGGATTTTCAAATGTCTCTTAAATAGGTGGTTATCCATAATCATAAACCCATTTAGTATAGACATTATCAATGCTTTTCTTAATGTTTTGATATTCTTCAGTATCTAGATTGAGTTTTAACCATAGTATCATGAATCTATAGAAATCACTTTCATCAGCACTCTAATATTCATATTCTGCTAACCAGGCTTTTAATAATTACTAGAATCTGGTTTCATTGATTTATTTTTCAAGATAATATAATAATTAGAATCCTCTTTCATAAGGGATTGTCTAATAATTAAATAATTAATACACTGAAACTATCATCAGCATTGTGATCTAAAGTTTTTGGATGTAAACTAGCATAAGACTTGACAAAATCATCAGGACTAGAGTTAAATTCCTTAATAAGAGCATTCATTTCATTATTTCCAACTTAAGAGTTAACATGAACTAAATTGATATCTCCAAACAATTATTTTAATCCTTTTCTCTCTAGAAAAACACAAAAGCCTTCATTAATCCACATGTTAGACCAATTATTACATGTTACTGTATTTCCAAACCAAGAATGAGCAATTTCATGAACAGCCACACTAACTCCACTTTTATCTCCAACAATAATAGTTGGATTAGCGAAAGTTAAAAGAGGATTCTCCATTCCACCAAAAGGAAATGATGCTGGTAAAATTACAATTTTATAAGAACCCCATTTATATTCTCCAATATAATTTTCTAAATATCCTAAATAATTATCTAATTCATCTAATTCTTTTTGATATTTTTCTATATTCTTGCTTTCAGATATGACAGCTGTTCTTCTTCCAGTTGATTTTTCCTATACTGTACCTGCTACTATTGCTATCAAATATGCAGGAATCTTTATGTTTAATTCAAATTAAAAGATATTTGCTATCTAACCTTTTTTATAGTCATTAATTAATGTGAATTTCTGGTTTAATAATCTATTTCCACTCATAAACACATTTATTAATGGAGATTAAGTTATCACTGTAGCTGAATAAGTGAATTTTATGCTTGGAGTATCTTATAATGGAATCATTGATCTGCAATTGTTAGCTTCACATTATGAAAACAAATATGGAGCCTCTAATCTATTTTTTATTCAATTTACTTTTATCATCTGTCTATTCTGGATCCATGAAACTAAGTGCACGAGCATCCTCTCCAATTTAATATTTTATCCTTAATTTTATGGTATCCCCTAATTTGTACATCTATCCCAATTCAATTACCAACTTATCTCCTTATTCCTCTGTTTGAACTTTATCCGATTCTACATGCCATTTCAATACTTGACCATTGTCAGGATAATATACAACCAATATATTCATTTTGTAAATATCCAAATGAATCTATTTTACAATTCTCTTCTTACTTCAGACAATCGATTAGCAGAAACTTTGAAGCTATATTCTACACATCCGTCTATTACTTTTTCATCTAGATTTAAAAGCCATTCTATATGAAGGTGCATTGTTTTAACATCTTTATAATTTGAAAAAGTATTTTTATCTACATCTACACAATAGAGCATCTAGCAAAGCAAAACTAGAATCACTAATTTCATCAAAATTAATAATTTAATTTATAAATAAAATCACATTAATCATTTTCAATTCTTATATTATGTACATATATATACATATGGATATTTCTTTTAATCTTAGAGTATCTCAATGTAAGTGCCCAAAATTTATTTATTTTTCATTTATATTAATAGGCTTAATCTTTTTCTTTACTTTTCAATCAATTTTCTCATTTTACATTTAATACAACACTCTAAAAATGTTATTAAAACTTTTGAATTAGTTAATTGTAAAGATAAACCTTTCTATTATAAAAATAATGATTATAAAAATTGATTCATTATGATAAAATTTTAATATTAAGCTGAATTTTAAGTTGACAAATAATAGTTATTATATTTTAAAAATTCAAATGTAGGAAGAATCATCGTCTTAAGATGCGAATATATAGGCAACAAATTATCAATTAAGCACACCTAAAAAAGAAAAGAAACAAAATAAAACTAATTAATCAACAACAATATAATCACCTAATAATAATGATTTTTATTCTCCGAAAAATGTAAATCCTTGGAAAACTCCAAAATCATTTTTAAAGAGTAATACAAAGTAAGCAACTCCAGAACATGCTCTATAAGCATCTCCTTATGGTGATCGTTATATTCCACTAAATGTCTCTAGAAATCTTTTTAATAAATAAATATAACCATTTGAGATAGAAGAAGAGAATGTATATGAAGAACTATTGAGTGAAAATGTATTAGAAATAGATGAAAATAAAAATGTTAACATTTTGAATTTTAATAAATAAAAAGTTGAGAAATTATAACCAAATAAATAGTAAGAGACTCCTAAAAGAAAGATTGATACATAACCAATAAAAGTTCTTGATGCTCCAGGTTTGGAAGATGATTTCTATTAAGACATTTTGCATTGGGGAAAAAATAATTTAATTGCTATAGGTTTATAAAGATGTGTATATTTGTATAGTGTTGATAATTAAAAGGTTTTTAAATTGGCAGAACCATTAAACAATTAAGTAAATTCTATATAATATACTTCTCTTTAATGGAATACTAATGGATAAATTTTAGGAATGGGTAGTTATGATGGAGTGTTAAGATTATGGGATTACAATAAAAATATGTATACAGGAACTATGAATTTAACTACAAAAAGAATAAGTACAATAAGTTGGGCAAATTCGAATATATTTGCATTTGGTAGCAAAGATAAAACAATAAATATATGTGATGTTAGAGTACCTAATTATTCAGTATTTTAATTATATGGACATACTTAAGAAGTTTGTGGAGTAACTTTTGATGGAAATGAATTATAATTAGCATCTGGAGGAAATGATAATAGGGTTTTCATTTGGTAATTAAGAGGTGGCAATACAAATACAGATAATTAATATGTATCATGGGAAATTAAATCTCATAAAGCAGCAGTAAGAGCTTTAGCATGGAATCCAAATTCAAGTGGAATTTTAGCTACTGGAGGTGGAAATTAAGATAAAACTATTAAAATTCACAGTTCTTTAACTAATTAATTAATTACTAGTATTAATTGTGATTCTTAAGTTTGCAAATTAAGATTCTCTAAAATTATTAATGAATTAGTTTCAACTCATGGATATGAAAAAAACTAAATTTGTTTATGGCAATATCCAACAATCAAAAAAATTCATTAATTAGAAGGACATTCTGAAAGAGTTCTTTATTTATCTGCAAGTCCTGGTATTTATTATATTTAATATATAGATGATTCTACTATTTTGACAGGATCTGGAGATGAAACATTAAAATTTTGGAAAGTTTATCCATCTTAAATATCCAATAATATGTCTTCGTTTTTGAACATGTGTGAAATTAGATGATTTTATTAATATATGTATAATCACAAATCTTTTAGTTATTTTTACAATAATTTTATTAATTATTCTTTCTCTTATAATTCTTTATTCTACTTTTAAATTTATTCTTTCACGATTACCAATTTATCCTAATAATCTTCTAATTCTCTAATTATAATCAAAATCATACTCCTATTTCACTTAAGATTAAAAATGTATTTGTCCTATCTTATCATCTAATGACTTTTTTATTTCCAATAATTGCTTCCATTAAAATTCGAAATTCTCCATTGAAATTTCCTACTTTTTAGGTTTCACTTAATTTTATTATTATAATTCATTAAATTCCTTAAGTAAATCCTTGTATTCATCAATTAACATCTAATGCTCCAATTCTATCGAGTCTATCGATTCTTCAGAATCGGACATTATATTAAATTATATAAATTTTTAATATAATTATATATTACTTTGATTGATAATGATAATTTATAAAAATATAATCATAATTTCAAAAATGTATAAACATTATAAAACTTAAAATTATAAACTATATGAATTTATTTAATTAAAAATTGGAAACATAATTTTATTTATTTCCATTATATTTTGAATATGTAGTACCAGAAACTGATTTCTATATTGAAAGACATTTAAATAATAAGATTGAAACCAAAATAATCTTAAATAATAAGTTAAGATTTATATCTATTTCACAGTTTATTAGTAATCTATCAATTTCATTCAAATAGAATTGTATAATAATTTATAAAAGAAATTATAAAGCATTATTTAATGAAGGATTAAAAGAATAAATATTCTAAGAGAACTAGTGATTCTTTATTTGTACTTTTAGTTAAACTTAAAGTCACATATAATGCCAATATAAAAAAAATAAAAGCAAATAAATTTACTATTTATCTTTGTTTTTAGAATTTAGAGGATTTATAATTAAATTACAGTGTTAATTAAAATTACTCTTTTTTTTTTAAATTTATCTCCATCAAGAGTTCAAATCCTTATTTTTGTTATATAATGGAAAAATTATTAATTAATCTGATATATTTATTCATTATATGGGTGTTATATGGTTATTTTTAATAAAGGTATTCTGTATCAAGCAAACTAAATTTATTTAATTCTTAGTAATAATAATGAGTAAATATATTAATAGTATAAATAATTAATTAATGGACGATTTTAATGATTTATTCCCTGTCAATGATTTATAAAGTAGTTGGAAAAAAAAGAATCAATAAAAAGCATCACTGAAATAAGGCAAATTCACTGAAGAGGAAATCGAAAAAGTAAAAGAGAGTTTGATTTCTTATGCATTATCCTAAAATTTAACTGAAGAATAATTTGCTGATCTTTTTAGCAATTCTCAAAAAACAACAATGCCAAAAGCATGGTTACATATTGCTAAAGTACTTCCCTAAAGATCTGTTGATAGTGTTTATAAATTTATCAAAGCTAGATTCAATCCAGATAACTATTAAGGACATTGGACTAAAGAAGAAGAACAGCATTTAATATAATTAATTAATTAATTTGGAAGGAATTACACTTAAATAAGTAAAGTTTTAAATAGAACACCTTAAAATATAAGAGATAAATATAGATAATTGGGAGATCATAATCATGAACTTAGAGAATAAATTTGGACATTAGGAGAAGCTGTTCATTTACTTAGATTGATTTCTAAAAAAGTATTAATTTAAAATAATTATTAAAGAATAATTCCAATTTTATAAAAGATAATTGGCTAGAAATATTAATTTAAGCATTTGGAGAAGATTGGTAAGATGTAATCCTCAATACTCATTCATGTAAATATTATTTTTATCAAATAGAAAAGAGAAGATTTCGTAAAAGCACTTATTATGAAATATAATAAGAAGACACTTAAATTTAATAATTACTCTAAATTATTGATTTAAAAAAACTTTATTCTCATTCTCATAAAGATATTCCTTGGACTTCTATAGCTACTAAAATTAAAACGAAAAGTCATGATGATCTTAGAAACTTTTGGATGCAATCTTTAAATTAATGGTAATTACAACTCAAAAATAAAATTGATGATGAATAATTATTTAATGAAATAATTCTCTAAGATCCATAAGAAGAAAAAGATATTGATTTTAATCTAGTTTTGAAGAATCATACACTTACAATTAATGAAAAAAAAAATGCTTGGCAAACTCTTAAAAAAAGAGTTCAAATTAGAGATTAACTTGAATTTGATGAACTTTTAACCAAAATCAGATAATTATTAGGAAAATCCAAAAAAGAATAAAAATAAAATAAAATTCTATAAAAAAACGCAAATGTCACATCGTTTAATAAATTAATAGACGAGTTTAAAACACTTAAAGAAGTATATTGAAAAATAAATTTTATATAAATTTAAAATAATGTTAAAATTATTTAATATATGAATCTCATTTAAAAAATAACAATAATTTAACCATTAAACACTTTTAGAATCTACTCAAAATAAGTTTTCTATCAGCAGATTCTTTTTAAATATTCATATTTATTCTTAATAAATTTTATTTATCTTAATTATATAGTTGTGAAATTTTAAACATAAAAAAAAATTTACAATTTTGTATTTACATCCCTTTGTTTATTTGAAAAATTTCTGAACCTATATTCTTTGATTTCAATATTTTACTACATTTTTTTGAAAAATCAATAGAAAATTCAATAAAATTAACGAATCAGAATTTGATATAACTGAAGATTATTTTCACTCTAGGTCATCTCATCCACTAAAATTCATTGAAATAAAGATTTTTAATGAAAATACCTGAAAATTCAATAGTATTTTGCTATTGGTAATAAACCTACACCAAAAATGTGATTATTCTAGTCTACTAATTTATATACTTAAAAAAATTAGATTTAAGAAAGTTTGTAGATGTTCTGAAATATATATTTGAGAACTTTTTCTCATTAAAAATATGATCAGTTAGCAATATTTGATTTTTAAGGGCAAAGAAACGCAAATTATTTCATTAATTAATTTTTCAAAACCAAACATACTCAATGTATAATTGCACCTTTCCCTATCAGCCTTTATTTTGCTATTATCCAATGCAAACATTCACACCTTACATAATGTACCCATAATAAATCGTTGTTTAAACTTAAATATAACTCAGCGAATAATAAGTAGTACAAAACGATAATTACTTGAATAACTTAACCAAACAACATTATGAAGAAACAAAACCACATGGATCATAAGATAATGTAGATTTAGATTTGGATGTAGAATATTAAGATGAAAAAGTTGAATAAGATGAAGATTATAGGGCGACATGTTTAAAAGAAAATTAAGAAAAAAGTTATGCTGTTAATTAATTGATTGGTTCAACTAATTTATAGAAAAACTATGCCAAAGCAGTCATTCTTTATATAAAGCAATAAAATGTAGCTGTTGTTGCTGAATTAGGAGATAAAAAAGCAGTTAAATTTTATCGACTTATAAGAAAACTCCAAAATAATATCAAAAATATTACACATATTACCAAATATACCAGAGATGAGGACTTTATTAGGGTTTTTAGAATATTATGGTATAATATATTATTAGATATTAGTAATAAATTCTTAAGAAAGGATTATGTCAGTTATATTTACAATTCAAAAATCTAATAGAAGACAAGCCATTTGAAAGGCAAGCATATTATTAGATAAAAACTTTTCAAAATTTGATTCCGTAGGTTTTAAAATTATAATTATAAATTATTATTATTTTAAATTATTATTAATAAATAATATATTTTGAAATGAAATGTTTCTATTTACAAATCATAAATTTTAATTAATATCGTATTCATTAATCAATTTCAATTGAAGTTTACACAAAAATCAAAAAAAAATAGGAAGCAATTAATGTATTTTTATATTCAAAAAAAACGCAAAATACAATGTAGCAATATTTCATAATATTAATTATATACTAATTTTAATAATTATCTTAATAATGTTCTATTCTTAATAACCTTATATCTACTTTCCATTCTATTAGACCCAAGTTTGCTATCCAATCTACTTTTGCTAAGTCTAACCTTAAAATGAAGTTTAACCTTAAAATGAAATAGAATCTGTAAACAAAGAAAACATACTTTAATAATCAGATTAGTTTAATCCATAAAGCAATCACACTTATGATATTGATTAAGATAAGAGTTTTGATTCCTCAATTGAAAATGAAAATGAAAAAGCTAGCATTATTACTAATGAAAAAAAATAAGCATAAAAATCTTCAAAAACTTTCAAAGTACTTGATACTACAAATTTCCATAAAAATTTTGCTAAGGCAATTGTTGCTTACTCTATAAGACAACAATTTCTTATTTTTAAGATTTTAGGAGAATAATAAGGATAAGAATTCCTTGAGCTTTTATAATCTCTTAAAAATAAACTTAGCAATTTGACACATTTTGTCAAACATACAAGTAATCCGGACTTTTTAAAAACATTTCGCATTTTAGGGTATAAATAAAAATTAAATTTTAGAATGAATTTCCTTAAAAAAGAATCTATATAATACATCTACAATTCTAAAATCTAATAAAAGTCTAGCCATTTAAAGCATAAGAAGATCATCAAGAAAACTCTTTTAAGAATTTGAATCTATATTTTTTATATTCTTTATTCAAAACTAAAAAAAAAACATTAAATTTGATTAAATAAGAAATTAATTAAAATTCCTTAATATAATTCTAAAAAATAATCAACACAGAATATAATATTAATTTTAGAACTTTAAAATTAAATGAAATGATAAAGATTTTAAATTTATCATTAACATAAGATTTTAAAGAAAATCTGAATAACAATATAAGATGAAGTGATTATTTTTTTTATTATATAAATATATATTGTACAAATAAAAACTTCTTTTTTTAGTAACAAATTTATATGAAATACTCTCAATGATACTATAAATAACAATAAGATTAGAATAATTATATGTATTCCATCATTATTTTAACTTTTATTGTAATATCTCTAAATTCTTGTTGATTTCTTCAGACAAATATTTGAGTTCTGGATATAATTCTCCAATTTAACTCCATAAAGGAAGAACCAAAGATTCTATATTATTTAATAAGTAAAATACTTGAAAAAAATATTTATCCACCATAATATGAAGGTTTATCTTTATAGATCAAAAATCCAGTAACATCTACTCCTATTTTAGCTTCTTTAATAGTCTAAAGATTTAAAAAGAAATAATACTTAATCATTAAATTCTTAAGTTAGTAAATAAGACCAATTCATATAATTATTAAATTTCATTGTTGGATTAGAAATATCACAAGCATGAACCATAATATTAAGAATGAAAATTCTATCTTCAAGTCTTTCATTTGAGAATCGTTGCATATCAATTAAATCATTTTTTTCACCTTAATTAAATGATTTGGTGCATTCTACTCTTTTTTAAAATTTAGCTAAAAGTTTAGCATGTTTACTCTTAATTTAGATATTAAAATAATAAATACCATATCAGTTGCTAAAATTGATGTGATAATTAATCTCTTTGCTAATGTTTTTTCCTCATCATTTGACATGTATTGAAAGAAATCATGTTTTCTGTTGAGTTGTATAATATTAAAAAAAGTTGCACAATGCATATTTTCTAAAACAGCAATTTCTGATGTTAAAATATTAAATTTCTTTGATTTTTTTATTTTATACATATTGTTAACTCCCTCTAAAATATATATAATTTAATTTTTTTACTATGATTTAAATCATGTCCTAAGCCAGCAAGAATAGCAGAAAATATTTCAAGTTAATTACAAAACTGCTTTAGGTCAGATTTCATATAACATGAAAAAAGTAATTATGATAATTGGAATGCATGAGTAAAATTATGATAAGGTACAACATTATAATTCATGATTATTTCATTTATCAAATCTCCTAAAATTTCTTTTGGTACTTTTATCTAATCTAAATTTAAAAATTCAAATATTTAAAGTGCAAACTGCCCTAACTCTTTTTTAGTATATATATGATGAACCATATTAGAATCTAATAATGTTTCTAAATCTATTCTTTCTAATTTTTAAACATCTAAAATTAGATCTTTATAAACAGGAACAAGTTTTGTTTAATTTCTTTCAAATTTTTCTAGAGTTGCTGCATAATCAGTTTTATCAAAATAAATTTTGTTTTCTAATTTTCTTTTAAATTTCTTGATTGTTTATAAGAAGAATCCATAAACTGAAAATAAACTTTCATCATTTAAAAATTTAGACTGTTTTTTTAATAAGTAATTATACTTTGTATGCTTCATCAATATATTTATAGACCTTTTTAAATTTCAATGTAACTTAAGCATCTGCTTAATCTGCCTGTTAGAAATAATGTTAATCAATAAAGTTTAGTTAATTTCCAATTTCATCCAGGTATTCTGTTGCAGATTAAAGATTTTGCATAATATTAAAGAAATTAAAAACAAAAAAAGAAAATAAATTTTAAAATAAAATCAAATATCTTGTAAATTTTCGAAACTATTGCTAAGTTAACTGCTTCTAAAACTATCATCAAAATTATTTGACATCACATTTTAAACATTTATCTAATAAGATTTATTTAGAGTTTTTAGTTTTTTTCTCATTAAATAAATATTAACTGTATAAACTAAACTGTTAAAAAACCCTTATAAAAAACTTAAACTATATTGAACTACTCTAATATATTAATAAATTCCTGTTCCAATTAAAATATACTCTTATTAAATTTATTAAAACCAATCATTATTGAAAATGAATATCAAAAATACAATTAATGAGGGTAACCAGCAAATACATAATCCAATTGGATAAAATATGAGTGTTTTTGCAAAAATTAATTGTATATTAATTTGTTTATTAAGCAATTCAAATTGACTTTTGATTTTTTTTATTTTGAAATATGATCTCATTATGAAATATATTGAAGTTACTACTGTAAAAATTAAAGGTAAGTAAAACAATGATAAATTTAAATACAAACTAAGATTATAATTTTCTTCTGATGATTTATTTTAATTATTAGAACAGATTGAACAAGTAACAGGCACATTTTAAGGTGTTGGAATATAGGAATCGAAAAACTATGGTAAAATAGAAGTAAATAAAGGAAGAGCAAATCCTATTGTTATAATAAACCATTACCCAAAATGAAAATTACTTTCTAATATCTTTCTAGTTATGCAATTTATTATTACCCTCTCATTATTGAAATATATAATAAATATCCAATAGAAGCACTCCATAAAAAAGCACTTATTGTAGCAAATTAAGTTATTATTCCTTAAACAGTGCATCTAAATTATTATCATAATAAAACCTATATTTATTGTAGTTAATTAAATCAGGCTCTACGTATAACAGTAATCCTAATGAATAAAGAAAATCTGATATTGAGAGACAGAATAAAATTCTTTAGGCGAATACTCTCATATTATCAAAAAAGTACAAATGAGTCAACATAAATGTAGACCCTCCAACTGATAGTGATAAGAATATATAAAATAATAATATCATTAAAATAATACTTATTAATATAAGTAAAATAATCATCCATACAATTAGATTAGATTAACAAGAAGTGCCATAACTTTTTCTACTTCTTATAGATTTATTCAATAATCTTCCAATAAATTTAATTAAGTAAAATAAAATTAAGAAGCATTTTCATGCGTTTTTATAATTAATATTTTAGAAAATGTCATTATTTAACTCCAAATATAATATGGTTTCTACTTTAATATATTAATGTCTAAAAATCATCTAATAATCAATCATTTTATAATAGAATTCTTGAAAAAATTTATTATTAAAAATAAATATTCAATATAATTTTAATTTATAGAATAATTTTATTTGTATGTCAATAAGATAATGATAAGTTTAATACTTCAAAAAATTAAATTATAAATAATGAATTTAAATCAATAGCAATAATTATACAGTTTATTATATTTGTGATATCATTAATAACAAAATATATAAAAATAGCATTAAAAATAACTAATTTGAAGTATCACTTTCATCTACATCTGATTAATCATTTTGAAAAGAAAACATTAATTAATATAAAGAAAACATAAAACATAAATAAATTAAACATAGTCAAAAAATTAATTATTAAAGTAAAATTAAAATAAAAAAGATAGAAGTAATTATAGGAAGAAAAAATAAAAAATTTTAAATAATTATGTTCATTAATAAGAATTTAATAATAAAGAGAACTCCTTTTTGATAATTTTGTAATAGTCTATTTAATTTATAAAGTAATGTCAAAATTAATTTTATTTAGGGTTAAATAAGAGTATTAAAGGGAATGGAATGAAGAAAAAAGTGATTTTAATAATTAGAAAGATTTATTTGTTTTTAATTAATTGAATTATTATAAATTTTAATATGAGTTTTGCTAAAAAACCTTTACCTATAAAAGGATCGAAGAAGCCAGAAAAATCTCCACTTGAATAAATTCAATTGATACTTGGTAATGAATATACAGTTGAATAAATATAAAGTGCATTAAATTAAACATCTGATATATAGAATGCAATAAAAATATTGAAATAAGAAAGGGAAGCTTTATAAAACAATACCAAAGTTCTTAAATTTTAGTAATTGAATAAAGCATAATAAATATAAAAAAGAGTAAATAAATATAATAGCAAATGGATAAAGAGAGTATTGGGAGATGTTGATTTGAATAAGAATTAAGAAATTTTAAGTACGATTTAATCATAAATGGAGAAATTAACAATAGATTATGAATTACATAAACAAATCGTTTATAATTTTAGTATACCTTCTCGTGATCATTATAATAATAATACTAATAATTTACAATGAAATATGTTAATAATTGAGTTTCATAAATATTTAGATTTTGTAGAGATTTTTCTTATTTCTTGTTACAAATGTATCAACTTAAATTAGTTTAAAATCAAGTTAGTGATAAAAAAAAGAGTAATTTAAGTAAAATTGGCCGTTTAAAATACATTTTAGTGTTTGGATTTAAGAAAATAAAATAAAAATAGATATTTGTTAAAATTTAGTAATTGATGAAGAGTTGATGATATGTGAATATATTATAAAACATTGAAAGAGACTTAAGTGTATAAGTTTAAGGAGTGTATAAAAAAAAGGATTGTAAATATAAATTGATTCTATTTTAATCGCATAATAATAAGTTTTTATATTAATATTAATTGAAAAGCTAAGGATTATATAATATGATAGAGAGATAATTTCTGAATGTATAAGCAATTCATTGGATGTCATTTTGTTACTCAGTTTATTTCTATATTGAGAGCAGAAATACAAGTAATCTATTATGTTTGATAATCATATGCTTGATATCCCCTGTAGTAATTTTCACATATTATGCCAAATCAAAAGTAAGAATGATTGGAATTATATTTTGTATTTAATTAGATTTGATCTGTCTAATAATTCTGAATTAATAAAACTTAAATCATGCTTCATATGCTTAATTAATAATAAGTTAATACCTTTCAAAGGATCTTATAAAGAAAGTATAGGGTTAAAATCAAATTTTGATAAACCCTATGTCTCTTTATTATGGTTTAATGATAGTTGTAAGTGCATTTTAATAAATATATTTGCATACAGTAAATGAATTTAATTCAGATAGTCCTCAGTTAATCTTATGTTTATTTTTATCTTTATAAGATAGCATTGCATCTAAAAAGAAAAACTAAAGTTAATTAAATACAACAATTTAAATTGATGGAGGTCCAATCAATAAATTGGAAAGCTTAGGAAAAAGAGCAGTTTCTGTTGTGGACAGTGATAAAAATTTAATTTTAGATTAATCTAAAGATAGTGCAAGAATTCTTTGCAACAATTTTAGTAACATTCAATAACATTATATCAATTCTGAAATAATATATAATTCTCTAGAATATCTATAAGAAGGTCTAATAATTCTAGATGTTCAAGATGAAAAAAATTTAACTTATAAAATATAATATATGAATAGTGCAACCAGAATTTTATTCGGCAGAGAATAAGAATGTGAAATTTTGTATATTTTGGAAAGCTTAAATACATTGCATATATAAAGTTAAGATGTAATGGAGGATCCTATTTCAGGAAGGGAATCAGTTTAATAAAGATTATCAAATTTGTAATTTTCTCGATTATGCAAATCTATCTTTCTTTAAAAGGATTTATTTTGTTCAATAAAATAACCTATGTTAGATTTTTAAATGTTTGAAAAACATCAAATTATCAGTATGAAAGATCTATTAGAAAAAATGATATAGGCAAGGAAAACAGATGTTATAACAGTTAATACACACTATAGTGGCAGCATAACAATAAATACAAATAAAAATATAACAATTTCTTAATCTAATCCTGGATAATCAAGACATGAATAAAATGAAAGATTAATGGAGTTTACTTTAACTCTAACTAGAGATAAAAGTATATTAATAATTTGTAGAGATGTTACACACAGATAAAAAATAAGATATTTAAAAGATTATAATATTTAAAAATCTAAGATGTTATCATTTGTTAGTCACGAATATCGTTAGCCATTAGGTTGTATTATATAGATGATTGAATGTGTACTAATGTATCCAATAATAACAAGCAATATAGATATAGCAGAAAATTTACAAGTAGCATTGGACAATTCTAAATACATGTTGAATTTGTCTAACGATTTATTGGATTTGGCATAAATAAAGAATGGGAAATTCAAAATAAATAAAGTAGCATTTAATATTGAAAATCTGATATAAGACTGCATCAAAATGTTCGCTTTGAAAGCTAAATTAAAAAATCTATAATTATTAACTGAATTTAGTGGTAATATTCCAAAATAAATAATATCTGATAAAAACAGATTGAAACAAATAATTGTAAATTTATTAAGCAATGCTTTTAAATTCAATAGTAGTAAAATAGAAATAAGCATTTAATTTTAGTCAAATTTTTTAAGAATTGGTGTTAAGGATGATGGAATAGGAATAAGTAAAGAGGAATAATAAAAGTTATTTAAGGCATTTTCTAAAGTAAATTCAGAAGAAAGTAGAAAATTAAATGAATAAGGTGTTGGTTTAGGATTAGTTATTAGTAATTAGATTGCCTAAACTATAGGATGTAGTGGATTAAATATAGAATCTAAAATAGATATAGATAATCATTATTCGTACTTTTATTTCGATATGTTGATAGAATTGCCTGAGAAAAAGAAAGTGGCAAGTTTTAAAATTCCTGAAATCTACCCTCTTTATTAAGAAGTAGATGAAATAATAACTTTCAATTAGGAACATTAGAAAATAACTCAAGATGTTATTTCATATTGTTCTCATTGTTTAATTGTAGATGATGAATGTTTTAATGCTCTTGCTTTAAATAAGATTTTAAAAGGAGTTCTAAAAAACAATAATTAATAGATGGATGTAGAGTCTGTTCTTTCTGGTAAGGAGTCTATAGAAAAAGTAAAAAATAAAAAATGTAATAATTCATGTCAAGGATATAAACTAATATTTATGGATGTAGAAATGCCAATTATGAATGGAATATAAACTACAAAATAAATATTAGCATTTAATCCTAGTTAGATTATTATTGGATGTAGTGGTTATACAGATTATTAAGAGAAAAAGAAGTGCATAGATATAGGAATGTCCGATTATATTACAAAACCTGTCAATGAAACAGAACTTTAAGAAATACTTAAGAAATATTTATGAATAAATATTATTATTATTTTTAATCCTTTTTTCGATAATTCACAAAATGAAAATCATCTTTCATATAATTCGCTTGATCCTCCATAACGAGCTTAGATATCCCAGAAGATATTTTAAAGAGCTTAAGTTAAAGATAATGGTCTAACACATAAATCATCTATAGTCTTAGATCCTTATTAAACTACCATATCATCTCCATGTTTTAAGATGTAATCAATATTAAAATATTTCCAATTTGGAATATATTATGCTATTACATATCTATAAATTAATTTACCAATCTTTAATAATAATTATTTGTCTATATGAGCTAACTTTGGAGGTCTTTAAACAACATTGTGAAACATTTCATAACATTCCAATAAAGTATAAACATGAGGACCTCCTAATTCATATGTCTATCCAATAGTTTCTGGCATTTTTAAGGCATTTAACATAGCTTATGCTACATCTTAAACAAAAATCTAATTTATATTTATTCATATATTACAGGTTGTCTTTTAGCTTAACAATTATCTGGTACAATATTAAAATTATGGAAATATCTCTTTTAAACTTACCAATGATAAGCAAAATCGTCATTGTCTCCAACCATAACACTTGGTCTAAAAATAGTGGCATTAGGAAAGGCATTTAAAACCTATTTTATTAGTATGAATATACTTCTTATTCTCCAATATATTTAGTTTATAAATCTAAGGATTCAGCATGTGGATTAGCACCACAAGCAGAAAAATGAATCAATCTTATTACTCCTGGATTTTTAGCACATGCTTCTGCTATTCTTTTAGGTACAGTAATATTAATCCATTCAAAATCTTTTCTATTTTTTAAATGTTTTCTTGGACCAAGTAAATTAACAACAACATTTGAATTTTTCATAGTCCATTCAATCATTTCTTTATTATCATAATTCATATCGTGTAATAACCAATTTTAACCAGGTCCTGATGTTGTCTTTAATTCTCTTACATGATCTTCATAATTATATCTTCATCTAAATTAATCCTTACTAATGATTATGAGGGAATATTAATTCTGATCCAATATTTCCAAGTATACCACCCATATAAATTCCTGAAAAACTAGTACCTCCATGAATAGTAGCTCTAATTCCAGATGGTGTATGTTTACTGCCTTTATCATAGATATGTAATTTTGGTCTTGATAATACTCCAAAGTTGAATTTCAATACCTTTTACATTATTAATAATATTTATATATATATATATTAATTAAAAACACAAAAATTATATGCTAACAAATAAAAAGTAAAAAAAGCTCCTTTAGTGTAGCTCGATCTTACGACCGCTAGATTATGAGATTCTGAGTTTCCGATCTCACGATCTGACATGATTAGATGTGGGCCCTAATCAAATGAACTAATTAGGCAGTTATTATAACATTTGTTTAATATAATGACAGATATGCATTTTTCATTCTCATTATGTAATTTAAATTTGTAGTATTAGATATTTGATTTTTTAGATTTATATTTAACAATCTCTATTTTTTATAACAATTATATCAATTTTCATTTTTTAAATGAACTTTAATTTGTTATCAATTTAAATTTTTTGATTTGATGATAATGTAAAAATGATGTTGGATATTGATATATTTAATCTTATATTCATATTTAATTTGATGATCAGGATATTATAATTAAATATGCATTTAATTTTCTTTTCGCTACTATTTTTATCATATTGTTAAGAGCCTACAGTTTTTAAGGCATCTGACAAGGTTTCATACATAATAAAGGACAGAATAAAACGACCAGGAGATTTACTTTTCTTTACAGAAGGCTTGACATTTATTGCAGATGATATGTTATTAGAGAGTACAGGATTATATGGGGATTCTGAAATACATTATATTGATAACGTATTTGATACATAAAATATTGAACTAAAATATAGATAGCCTATTGGAAAAGACTATTTTGGTGAAGGATGTTCAAAAATAAAAAATAAAAACGGAAAGGATGAAATATATATGTTAACATGGAAAGAGAGAAAAGCATTTCTTTTGAATAGCAATTTACAATTAGTTTAAGAATTAGAAATACCATCAGAAATACAAGAAGGTTGGGGAATGACTTCTTATAGAAATAATGAAGGAGATGATATGTTATTGATATCAGATGGAACAAATAGATTATATCATGTAGATCCAAATGATTTTAAGGTAAAGAAAACAGTAAGTGTTCGTTTAGAAAATGGAAATGATCTTAATAAATTAAATGAATTAGAAATAATTGGAGATGGATCGCTTCTAGCAAATATATATGAAACTCCTTTTATTGCATAAATAGATCCACATGATGGAAAATTAATAGATATTCTTGATTTTACTGCTCTGATCTAGGATGTAGAAAGTGTTAAAGGTAAAGGATATACTGATCCTATGTTCAATAAAGTACTTAATGGAATTGCATATCGATAAGGCAATTTAATATTAAGTGGAAAGCAATGGCCATATTTTTATTAAATTGATTTATAATCATAATAATAATCATGAATTCTTAAAACCCTTACTAACATCAACTCGATCCTAATATTCCAATTCCAACAAATGAGCAAATCTAATAAGCAAATTCTCAATAATAATATCATTAACATCTCTAAGGCAATTCTAATATGGTCAATAGTAATCTCTAATAGCCTACTCCAAGTAAGATTAATGAATACAAACTATATAAAGAGAAGAATAAATAAGATGTAATTTTGTAGGTAATAATTAAATAGTTGTCCACGAGTGTTTTAAGCTTGAATGGATTTTATAAAGAGTAAATGGAAGGATATAATTTTGATTATACAAAATCGGATCATCCAACTATAGCCTTATTTCATTTTGCTATAAGAGGATTCGCTTTAGCAGTTTATTTATTTGGAGGTCTATTCATTAGAGAAGCGTAACAATATAGAAACTATAATAGTTGGACTCTTCCTGAAATTATTATTGTTATTGGAGCTGTAGATTTTTGGGTAACTAAAAATATCACTGGCAGATTATTAGTAGGATTAAGATGGTGGGAAGAGATTGATGAAGCTTCAGGAGAATAAATTTGGGTTTTTGAAACTAGAGTAAATGAGAATTAAGTAAGTTAAGTTAATTCCTTTATTTTCTGGGCTACATTAATACTTGCTATATTAGTTTGGGGATTTTTGGGTGTAGTCAATGTAATTGGTCTTCATATTCTAAATGTAATTAATATTGCTATTCTAAATTTAGTTAACTGGCATTTCATTCTAATTGACTATTCAATTAATCAATTTTTATTTCTATTTTTAATGTTCAAGAGGTATATTATTATTATTTAATAATATATTTTAGTTGCTAAATCAAGAGCAAAATAATTAGCAAAAGTATTAGGAGCTGAAATTTTAAATAAAATGATGAATCAATCAGTAATTTGGCCGATGAGAGTACCTAAATAAAAAGGGATGTGATTTGTTTCTATATGTTTTTTTTTTTTTAATTTAATTTTATAATTTATTTTTATGTAAAGGCCATTAACAAGCATCACATCATCATCATCATAATAATAATCAAAAATTTATGATAATAATAGTACTTCTTTTAGAATCAAAGAAAATAAAAAAAATAGGTAAAAAGATTGATTAATATTAAAAAAAGGTAAATGCCTCAATAGATGCTTTATGATAAAGAGGGATTGTATGAAGAGAATTTGAAATTGAAGAAAGAATTATTATAAGTGAAATTTGAATTAAAGAAGGAGAGATAGGAACATGCAAATTTTGAGAAGCAAGTATAAAAAACTAATGAAACTTAAAAAGATGTAATTATGTGATGATTTAGACAGTTTTAAGTTATTTTATCTTAGAGAGCAAGAATCAAGGAGTAGGATAAATAAATCAAAGAATTTGAAGACTAAATTTTTCAGTTGAAACGTAATCCTGAAAGGACAAAGAATAAAGAATTAGAAGCTGAATTAAAAGAATAAAAAGATGCTTATCAAAAGTTACAATAATACATTAGTAGTAAATGTATTCAAGATGCTAATGAAACTGTTATGATTAATTAATCATTAAAAGATCAAATCCAAATTAATTTAGTTTAAGCCTACAAATAAGATAACTTAAATTTATCTTAAATGATTATGAATTTATAATCAGAAAATAATAGTTTACAATAAAATTTATTATCACTTAAAACTGATAAAGATAGATTAACAAACAGGGTAAAAGATTTAGAGAAATAATTCGATACTGTAAATAAACATATGATGTATATGAGATAAGAAATGTAAAATACTAAAAAGTAAACTCCATCGGAAGATTATTTAAAAAAAATAGATGAATTGTAATAGTAAGTCTAAAATTAAGCAAAATAAATATAATCTAATAAAAAACTTATTGAAGAATTGGAATAAAAAAATGGAGAATTACAACATAATTATGATGTATTTAAATCTATGGAAACTAAAGAAAAAGAAAAATTATAAGATAGAATTAATATGCTTAAAAAATAAATTGAAGAATTGAATTAAAAGAGAGATGATTAGGAACAATCTTTAGAAGGTTCATAATAATCTATAGGTTTAAAATAAGCTATGACAATATATGGTAGTCCTAGAAGTAATAATAGTCCTTCGAAATTACAATTATAATTACCTATTACAAATAAAAAACATTGTTTAAAAGTTAATTCATATGATATCAAAGAATTAATTAGTAATTTAAAAATTAAGTTATTGAGCAATAATATTGAATATGAAACATAAGAATAAATTTTATGTGATGATGATGATGAATTTTTAACTTTAGAAGAAACATAATTGCGTTTATAAAAAGCACCTTTTGAGTTAAATGAAGATTAATCAAGTATATTAGCTAGATATTTGATTGAAGATAATACAGAAGATCATATTCTGTATGATAGAATGAGAACATAAACAAAAGTTATAATAAAATCTGTTTATAAGAAATTATTAGGAGAATATAATTTATTTGAAGAATAGGAGAAATAATAAATGTATGAATACTTTTGTTAATTGTTTCATAAATATAATTAGGGAATGGAATCTGCAATAAAATAATTCAACATAAAAAAAAAGTAATTGGGAAATAATTAATGTGAATATGATGATTTTAATGTAATTCCAAATATGTAATATAGGAAGCATTAAAATATTGTGATATCCTTTTGACTTCTAGATAGAGACTTTATTTAGAATTAGAAATATTTTCTGATTCTTAATAATTACAACGATTTAATTTTTAGACTCTATTTTCAAAGTTTAAATTAAAGGTTTCTGATTTAGATAATAGTATTAATTGAATTAATTTTTTATTTTAATTTATGGACACAATTATTTTAGAGGCAATTAAACAGCTTCCCCCCAAATAATAACCTACTGCTATAGCAATCTAACATCATTTAAACAAATGGGAAGAATCAGAGAAACAAGTTTCTAAGAAAGTACGTCAACTGTAAACAGAATATTTAAGAAGTGTTATTCCTTTATAAAATGAAATAAATGCTATTATTAAAGGATTGAGAGCTCCAACAGAAGAAGAAATCAAAGATGCAAATACATATTAAATTGATGTAAAAGATATTAAAGCATCTCCTCTTCAAAATTATTGGGGATAAGTTTTGATGAATAATAGTTTGACAGGAAAATTATTATCTGAAACAGATAAAGAAATATTTAAACATCTTTTATCAGTAAATGTTTAATTAGGAGAAAATGGTAAAGATTTCACTTTAAATTTTGAATTTGAAGATAATGAACATTTTGAGGGATGCATTTTAACTAAAGCATATATTTTTGAAGATTCTGATGATGAATTACCAATCAAATAAACAGGATCATCAATTAAATGGAAAGAAGGCAAAAATATAACTAAAAGGATTGTCAAAAGAAAATAAAAAAATAAGAAAACTGGATAAACAAGAGAAATTTAAAAGGAAGAGAAAGCTCCTACTTTTTTCCATTTCTTTGAAGATGTTGAATAAATTAACAATGAAGATGAAAAAATTGAAAGATAATAATTTGATTTTGAATTAGGATCATAATTTGTTAATTAAATTATTCCTAAAGCCTTATTCACTTATTTGGGATTGAAGGTAGGTGATGAAGAAGAAGATGATTTAAGTATTGATGAGGAAGAATCTGAAGGAGAAGAAGAGTCTTTAGAAGATGATTGAATTAGATTATGTTAATAAAAAGTTTATATAGAATTTTTCATTTATTTTAAATTATTAACCAATCTATTTTTTGAATCATGGAAATTTTAATAGAAGTTTTTACTTATTATATAAAAAGATAATTCATATGAGTGAGACATTTTTTTAGATTTTAATATAAATATTTTAGACTTAATTTTTATCTGATTGCTTTTTACAGATTTAATTAAAAATACATTAATATGTTATTGGCATAAATTTTGGGATATTCCTATAGCTTTTTTTCTAAAAAAATAATAGAATTACTTATTGTCTGATTAGAATAAAAAATTGGATTCTAGTATAAATTTTTTAATTTAAATAATTAAATAATTATTTTTTATACACAATTTTCAATTTTAAGGCATAATTAAATTAATTCTGAACAAGAAATTAATTTTTGCACAAAATTGTTAATTTCATTCTTCTAAACAATTTCGTGTGACACATTAATATTATTGCCCATAAAAAATTACATCCATATTTTTTCAATATCTAACCTATAAATATTTCCTTAATTTTTTCAAAGAAAAATATACTATTTTTAATTATGTAAAAATAATATATATTCAATTTAATAATGTGTTTCTCAATATAAAAATAATTTCCAATTCAATGCATTAATTCTTTTGAAATTAGAATATTAAATTATCAGAATTTATATTATTATGGGTAGCCATATAACAACAGTAAAAATGAATTCCTTTAGAAAGAATACAAGTCCTTTATTAAATGTTACACTTTCAAAATTGAGAGATTATCATGCTTCATTTAAATCAATATGTGATAACTTTTCGATGGATTTGTCTGAATTTGAACATATTTTTGGAGCTAGTGAAAGTGCTTTTGTTATTTGGGATACAGATAATAATGGATTAATAGATAGTTTAGAATTATTTAGTGGGATTTGTATTTTTAGTGATACAAAATTTGATGATAAGATTAGATGTATAAATGACTTATTTAATTTTAGTTCTGTTTGATTTATTTGATTTCAATGAATTGGAATCTTTATCACCTACAGATATTGAATTCATGATTTATTGCTGCATGAGTGCAACTTTTAAAATATATTCAATATCAAGTGAAATCAATAATGAAGAATTGACAGTTTTTGCCACTAAATATTTTGAAAAGGAAAATAGATTAACAGTTGTTGAATTAATTAAGTATAAATATTTAAATAATTCAAGAGCATCAAAGAATTCTCCAGAAGTAAATGATTTTTTTTAAATTATCAAAAAGGATTTGATCGAGAAAGTTGATGATATCAAAATTCAACAATAACAATAGTAATAATAGTTTTGATATGAAGTATACTTATAAGATCATATAAAAAGATTTTAAAACTTCATTATCATCATTTCTTAAAAATACATAATAAAATTTGTTTCAATTCTTAGATATTTAATGGTTTAGCCAATACTTCTTGCATTCCTGCTTTCAAACAGTTATCAATATCCTTTGAACAAGTAAATGCTGTTAATCCAACAATTGTAATATATGGAATTTAAGATTTATTCATCATACTAATCAATTATTTTGTTGCTTCAATACCGTTCATAATTGGCATTTGATAATCCATCAGAATTAAAGAAAGTATATTACAACTTTAACAACACTTTTATAGACTTTAAACTACTTATAGTGCTTATTGACCATTAAAAGCTAGAACAACTTCAAATCCCATTTTAGATATCAATACTTATAAGGATTTTTAATTAAAAATTTCATCGTCAACACTCAAAATTCTCATGCAATTACATTTTTTTAAACTATTTAATCCTGTTATAAATAATTCACTCTCTTTTTCTTCCAATTATTTAATTTATTTTAAATTGATAATTTTAGAAGATTTATCTTTCAATTTATTACTAAAAACATTATTGATATCTGTTATCAAAAAAGGATTTAAACTTTCTAAATCCTCTATTCTCCTTTCTAAATTGTCATCATTACTTTCTGAATAGAATGAATCATTTTGAGATTTTTTTGAAGGATATTAAGCATATTAAGTTTTTATTTAAGTACTTGCTATATGAAATTCTGTTGCTTTCACTACAGTACCCATAACATTAAAAAGGGAACTATTTACTTAAAGTTATTAAGAGATTGATAACTGTTTAAATTGACTCTAAACACTTCCATTATTCATAAAATTAGAAGTACTATTTTTTATATTTTATTAAGATGCAGGAACTCTAAAAAAGTTCTTTATACAAAACGAAATCAATGTTCCTTTATTTTCCCCTTCTGATTTTATATCAAAATATGTCAAATCAGGAGGAGCTAATTATTATAAAATTATTGAAGAAATTAATAAACCTATTCCATGCCAATCTTTCACAAATTCTTTATTTTTATCAACATTCTTACTTATATCTTATAATTTTTTTAAAAGATTTTATTGAATGCCTATTCCTTAATCAACTATTTCAAATAATATATTCTGATTTGCTTATGATATAAGTTTTACAACGCAACCTCCTTTAAATGAATATTTTAAAGAATTTTAGATAAGATTAACCAAAATTTAAAGTAGTTTTTTATAATCAGTACAAAAAGAGTTTAAATAATTTTCTTTTAAATCAACATTAAATGCTAATTGTTTAGTATTAAATTGATAATAAAACATTTAACTAATTTCAGTAATGAGCTCAGAAATAGTAAATTCCCTAAGTTTAATTTTAATTCGATCTTAATAAAAAGAAGAAAAGTCAATTATATCATTTATCAGGTATTATTATATTTTTAAAGAATTGATGGCTGGTTCTATCAAATTATCTTTTACATACTAAGGTATCTTTTATTCTTATAAAGAAGTTGACAGAAAATTCAGAGCACTATTTAAAGGAGTTCTGAGTTCATGAGAAAATGATTAAAGTATCTAAAATCATTATAATAATTACTTTAGACTTGAAATCATTAATAAGTATATTTTATTACATTTCAGTTTAACCTGAAACATCATTCAAAAATATCAAAAGCTCATTGTCTTTTTCATTTTAAACAATTTATCCGAATAATTGTACATTTGATCCATCTTCTAATTACTATCTGCATGAAATTTCATAATAACCAGAATAATGAAGATTAAGAAATGAAGACTGAATTTTACTTTTAAAATTCAAAACTATCTCATTCAAAGATTGTAATCCAACAGGTATATCTTATAATGTTTCTTGATTTTTCTAATTACAATTATTAAATGTCATTGCATAAGGTCTTCTTTATTTATTGAATTGATTAATTGACGAAACATCTTATTCTTCAAGATTACTACTGGAAACATGAAAATTTAAATGGTACATGATTAAATTTTCGAGTTCTTTTTCTGTTTTATTTTGAGAAGAGAAGAAAGTATAAAAGGACTAGTTTTTATGGACAATTTACCAATTTTGTATAGAAATAATAATGACAAGGATAGGGATTGTTTGCATTCTATTTTTCCAAATTTCATCATTTTATTTTTCCAATTATGAATATGATGAAATATTCTAATTTGGTGTAATATTTGTAGCATTTAATTATTTTTTCATGTATGATTATTTGTAAAGCAAATCTTTTAGTATTTACAACAAAAAAATAGAAATTATAACTATAATGAATTGCAACTTTCCATTAATACAAACAACAACAACAGAAGTAAGTTTTATAATAGTTTATTCTAAAGCACAAAAAGGATTTGGTTCTTAAGCCAAACTATCAATCAAAAAAGCTATAATAAAAAGGTTATCTTAATCTAAGAACAATAAAACAACTAAACTAATCAATTTACTTAATAAGATCATAGTAAAAGTACATTTTTAACTAATTTTAGAAGTTCTGATGAATATTATAATCGTAATAATGCTGTTGTAAGATATGCTGCAAATCATTAATGGTAATTATATTTGCTGAGTTCCTAATAAAACTGAATATATTATGATGAGCAAAATACAAAAACTGATTGATATATATTATTATTAAGGATATTCTGATTTCTTTTCTTAAGGAGTAATAATTTCAATTTCTGGAGTTTTAAACTAATTGGCATTCATGTCAATTTTGAATTATTTTATATAATACTTTTACTTAAATTAATAATAATGTAAGGTATTATTGTAATAAAGAGTTGATATATAATAATTAAAGTTTAAAGAGCCACATATAATTCTTAACGACTATCTTCCTTACATTAGGATTATATATTTTAATTAAAACCTAATAAAGGATTAATTAAAAAGCTTAAATGTTGTTCATTCTATAAATTCTATAATTTTAGATGACATTAGCATTAGAAACTACAATAGAAATCTCGGAAAATGCAAAAATATGGTCAGATATTTAATTAAGTTCTCCAAACAATACCTATATACTAAAGATTGCAAATACAGTCACTTATCAGTACTATGCAATCAATATTGAGCTTCATAAGTAAGATGACACATTTTCTTTGCATTATGGTATTGGTAAGACTCCACAATTTAGTTTAATTTTATCTGAAATTTCGGAAGTATAAGGATTTGATTTTTATGGGTATCGCAACATTCAAATAATTCTTAGGTATCTTGAAAATAGATTTACTCATTTCATCCTGTTGTCAAGTGATACTTTTAATTCTCAATAAGTATATATTTCTACATCATCAGAATGGACTTAAAACTACAATATTACAGTTACTGGCACTAATGAGAAAATGTGTCCAAACAACTGCAGCAACCAAGGCAGTTGCTAGGTATTATATAAATTAACTTGTAGGATGGAAAATGTTTATGTAACAAATAATATATAGGCAATGATTGTCATTAAAAAGCAACTTATATTGAATAAAATAAAGAAATATTTCTTAGTTTAGAGAATACTGTAAAGTATGCTTATGTTGATTTGGAAGAGAGCAAAAACCAAACGATGAGTTTAATAGTTAAAGTATTCTAAATAATCAAATTTAGACTAACAGTTCTGAAGGAGTTGATTTATACATAATGAAAACTAGAGTACTTTATATACCTGCTTTAGAAGATTTAAATAGAAAATATTATGATTAATTAGTTGAAGGCAATGCAGTCTAATTAGATTACCCAATAGAATTTGAATTATACGATAGAAATGATAATAGTACTTAAATTTAAAAAAGAGTCAGGTTTATATTAAAATAAAAGTCTCCAGTTGAATAAAATATTCTAATTTCATTTGATCTTATAAATCATCAAACATAAAATACTATATCAACAACTACTGTTATTATAGTTGTTGCTACAATTGCAGGAGTGATAATGATTTTAAGTATTTCATTTGCAATAGGCAAATATTTCAGAAATAAGAAAATTAAAGAGACTTTATCTGCCTTAGCACAAGTAAGATAAATGTAACATGAAAAAAAATATACTGCAAAGAGTTTTGATGAAGAAATATTGGAATAATTACCTTAGATTTAAAATGATCATATTAAAAATACAGATGTTTGTCCAATTTGTTTAGAACTTTATATTAATAAACCTGATCTTAGATCTACTAAATGCAAGTATTATATATTTAATTTATTTAAGACATTTATTTCATAGAGAATGTATACTTGTTTGGATTTATATTAACAAAAACTGTCCAACATGTAGATAAGATTTAAAAATACATATGAATCATCAAAGAAACCAATAAAATACATGAAAATTATTTTTTGAATTTCATTAACCAATGAGTAAAAAATTCTTTAAATTTATCATTTATTATATCATATTTCATATATATGGGTCTCCGAAATTCTAAAGATAATAAAATATTTTAAGAAGGAACAACAACATAATAATCATCTCCTAATAGTATAAATATATAAATCTTAAAAGCAAGCAGCCGAGTTGATATATCAGTTGATAATTAAAAATCTAATCCCTCAAAGTTCAAAAAAGGTACAAACAAAAATTATTTTTTTAGTTTCAACTTTAATCAAGTAAAGTAAATTTAATGAAGCTATGAAAGAATTAGATTCTATGGATGATCTCAATTCTGAATCTGCAGATTTTCACTATTGGAAAGGCAAATTCTTATAAATTACTTATATTAGGTTTAGCATTTCTAGGATTGAATGAATTTTAAAAGGCTTTAGAATCTTAAGAATAAGCCATTAAATATGACCCTTATCATAAACTTGCTTTATCAGAAATAGGTTTGAAAAGACAATTATCTATTTTAGGAAATATTTACATATTGACTCAGAAATATCAAGAGGCTCATTAAACATTCATGGAACTCTTAAAACTAGATGAAAAGTCTTTTGAAGCCCATCTAGGACTAGGTTTTATTAGAACTTAAACCAATGACTTTAAATCTGCATAAGAGCATTATGAATCAGCTTTGAATTCTGGTTTTGAAGAAAAAATAGCCTCTCTTAATTATGGTATTTAGTTTAATAAACTATTTCAGGCCATATGTTGTTTAAATAAAGAAATTATGATATGGCATTGAAATTTTATACAAAAGCATTAACTATTGATAAAGAATATTTAAGTGCATTTTAAGCTATAGCAAACTTATATCAAAAATAACAAAAATATAATGAATTATTATAATTCTGTGATTAAAATGATAACAATTAGTCCTGGAAAATTAACATTTTATCTCTTAAAGGTATATTCAATTACTAATTCTTACAGGTTCGGCTTATTTTGGATTAATGTAATATGATTAAGCTTAATAAACATTTGAGACCATCTTAAATGAAGATCAAAATAATATTGAAGCTCTTTATGATATTTCTAAATGTTTGAAAGCATAAGGCAAGCATTCTTAAGCTCTTTAGTATTTAGAAAAAATTCTCTAAAATTCTCCTAAAAATAAAAAGTTTTTAAGTTTAAAAATTAATCTTTTGATTTCCTTATAACAATATTAATTAGCATTATAAACATGTGATGAACTATTTGAATTGGATGCAAATGATTCTTACTCATTCTATCTAAGAGGTTTGGCATATATGAATATGAAAGCTTTTGGTAATGCTATTGATGATTTTGATAAAGCTTTAAACTTTGAACTTCATCATACTTTTATCCAAAAAGTATATAATGCTAAAAGTATATATTCATATTTTATTTAATAGTTAAATGTCACTTAGAATTTTAATAATTTTAATAAGTTTAAGATTCTTATGATTTTTTACTTGCTTTGACTAATAGTGATTAAGACAAAATTAAAATTCTTCTTGAAAAAGGTTATTATTATTTATTGTCAAATAGTATTGAAAATGCTGAGATTAATTTTAATAAAGCATTAAAATACTAAGTTTTTCAATTGGAAACATAACTTAAAATAGCTAATAATTATAGAGACACAAAATATTTTAAATAAGCTTTAACATAATATGATAAAATAATTCAAACAAACTCAAAATTTGCAAATGCATATGTTGAGAAAGCTATTTTAATGGATTTATAATAGAATAATTCTTAAACAATACATTTATGTAACAGGGCCATAGAACTTCAAAAAGATTAAGCAAAACCATTTTTTATTAGAGGAAAAACTAAAATGTAAACTCAACAATATGATGAAGCATTAAAAGATTTTGAATAAGTTGTAAGATTGGAACCCAATAATCATTAAGCTCTTTATGAATCTGGTCAAGCTCAATATATGATGAGTAATTTTGACAAAGCTTGTGAAATGTTTGAAAAGGCTTTAATAATAGCACCTGATATTGAATAATATCATATCAAAAGGGCTCTTGCTCTTTCATTGTAAGATTTCGATAGTGAAGCTATTCAATATCTAAAGGAAGCTATCCTTTAATGTCCTTAATTTGAGGATTGTTAAAATCTGATTGAAAGTTTAGAGGCAAAACCAAAACATGTTAGAGAATATACAAATGTATTTGTATATTTGATAATTATGTTCTTTGAAATAGCAGAATAGTTGTCAAAATAAGAATCTTTGATATCATCTATCGAAATAACTTCAATCATTTAATTATTAAATCAAAAAATGAAGGAGAATTTCCCAAAAATATCTAATTTATTCGAAATAGTTCGCTATTTTATACTCAATAAATTTGAGTGTGAAATTAAAATTAGTAATGAATAAATCATTAGAATTATCTTGTCTATTTATCAAGAGAAATACTATCCTGATAATGGATCCAAACTAGTTATGATAATGGATATGATAGATTTAGGAAAAAAGATTGCAAGATTAAAAGATAGATAAATTAAATCAGGTCTCAAAATAGAAAATTTTAAAATTTAATAAGAATTTTTAAAATTTATTTCTAAACCTCATCAGTCAATCTTTATCACAACTGCTGCTGGATTCGCTATAAAAGATTCAATTTAAATTATAATATTTTTGATATTGAACTAAAAATCTATTAATGATGAATCCGCAAATCTAAAGAACTTAATATATAGTAATGTGAAAAATGGGGTTTTAGATCACATTAAACCTAAGTGACTAGTTTTATATATTATAACTATTTATTTAAAAGTATAATTCATTGAACTAATCATTATTTTTATTAATAGAAAAAATCGTTTATTTGAGCTTATAGAAAATATTTAAAATATTTGCTATGTTTACATAAAATTAAATTTTAATTCATCGAAAATTTATGTTTAGATAAGATATAACTGAATAATTTATCTGATTCAATTTTATGTCTTATTTTCTAACAATAGTGTTGTTATAAAAATAAATTATAATAATTAATTACTTAATAATATTGCTTAGAAAAAATTATTCGATAAAATCTATTTTTATTTTTATTTTTTTGTTTAAGGATCTATTTAAATATATAATTAATTTAAAATCCTTGGTACTATTATTTCTTCGTTTTTGTTATTCCTAAATTCTTTGAATAATTATATTTTTAATGATTAGCTATTAATATATTATAAATTACTAAAAAAAACAGAATTATAATATTTAGAGAATTAATTATCAATTCAAAAGTCTTTAATATTGGAATTTAATATATCAATCATTTTAAATTAACAATATTTTTTGTAAAGTAAGTTAAAAGAAATCTAATCAAATATTAAATTTTTAAGAATAGATCTTTATCGACATTCATTTTATATATAAATAAAGAATTTCAGATTATTCGAAGCTTCTTGATTTATTACAAAAACTAGACGAGTCGATATTTAGTAAGGTTAAAAAATATTAGAAAATCTTTTCTATGAACCAGAAAATTGAAGTTTTTCTATTCCACCTAAATTTAAAGTATTAAAAATTTCTATTTCCAATTGATCTTCATTCTCTTGAGGTAAAATTTCTAAATAATTTAAAAACTTAAGAAGATATTATTTATAAAAAGGATATGAAATGAAGGTTCTTCAATTCTTTATCATTATATTGTTATAAAAATCAACTATTTTACAGTTTTTAAGTTTTTAAAGTAAATTGTTGTAATTGATAGATAAATCAATTTTTTATTAATGGGTTCAGCCTTAACTAAAAAAAACTCAAGCAAAAGCATTTATGAAGCTTATTAAAAGTCTTCATTTACTAGTAAGTTTACAGTTTCTAATTCTAGATTTAGATAAAATATCAAGCCCTACATAAAATTAAAAACAAAACTATAATTCTAAATTATGTGAAGGTATTAATTAGTCTATGAAAGCATTTTCACTTTTGAAAAGTTAACAATATGAAAATGCCATTAGTTTTATTGATAATCTTTTGTAAAGATCTCCAAATCTAGCTGATGCTTAATACTTAAAAGGTTTTAACTGTAATAATAGGTTTTAGGTTTAGCTTACCTTGGCTTAAACAACTTACAATAAGCTATGTTTTTTTGTAAAAAGGCAACTTAAATAAACAAAAAGCATTCAAAGGCCATGGCTGAGATAGGTTAAAGCTTTTTATATTGTAGGAAATATATATATTCTGAAAAAAAAGTACAAAGAGGCTATCAATATATTCAGCAAATTAATTAGAATGAATGAAAAATCATTTGAAGGATATTTTGGAATGGCTTTTGTATCAACCATTTTAAATGATTATGAAAAAGCAAAAATTTACTATGAGAAAGCTTTATAATTAAAAGAAAAAGATAAAGTAGCATTATTGAATTATGGTATTATTCTGTTTAAAGTAATTAGGCCATCTCTAAGTTAAATAAAAGTAATATGAATAAGCTTTAAACCTATATTTATAAGCATTATAAGTAGAACCAAAATATTTAGAAGCCATTCAATCAATCTGTAATTTATTTATAATAGAAAAAAATTATGAAAAATTGTTACATTTTTGTGATTAACACTTAGAATACTAGATACAAAAAATAAAAATGGAATTATTAAATTGCAAGAGTAATATTTTTTTATAATTTTAGGTCAAGCTTATTATTCTTAAAAACTTTATAATAAGTCAATTATTATTTGCCAGGAAGTATTGACCATTGATTCCAAAAATATTGAAGCGTTACTTGGAATAGCTATGAGTCTGTTTAATTTAAACAAATTAAATCTTTCTTTAGAATAATTCTAGAAAATCATTGATGAATACCCATAAGAAATTAGAGCTTTAAAAATGATCATAAAAATTCATAGCACTTAATAATAATATACATAATTAAAAGAATATTGCGATAAATTGATTGCAATTGATTAAACTGATTATTCAACTTATTTTTTCAGAGGAATTGCTTTTATGCAATAATAAAATTATTTATCTGCAATAAATGACTTTAACTAAGTTATTATGCATGACTAAAGTAACTTTATGGCAATAAAACATAAAGGTAAATATTTTATAAATTTTAGGATTTTGTTTCAGTATGCAAAAAATGTTCAAACAAGCAATCTAATGTTATAATTAAATCATTAAGTATATATTAGATACAAAAGAAAAATCTATTTTATTATTAGAAAAAGGTATTTATTTATCAAATAAAAGGTTTTTGCCATCTAAAATTGGCATAAAATTTATCTGCTAAATAAAACTTTGAAGAAGCAATCGAATTAGATCCTGAGAATAAATAACTAAAATTAAAAATAGCTAACATTGCTAGAGATAATAAGAATTTTGATTTTGCAATAAAATTATATAATGAATTGATAAATGAAAATGGAAAGATTACTTTATATTACTTGGAAAAAGTTAAGATATATGAAGAATGTAAGGATTATTTGAATGCTAAATTACTATATGACGAAATTATTAACATAAATGAATAAAATTTTGAATATTTTTTAAAAAGATGTAATAATATTTTAAATCATTAGCCAAAATAAAAATTTAATTATAACAATACAGTGAAGCTATCCAAGATTTATATTAAGGAATCAAATTGGATGATTAATAATCAGAATTATATTTTGAACTTGGATAAATATTTTTTATTTAATAATCTTTTTCTGAAGCAACCAATATGTTTCAAAAGGCTTGCACTTTAAATGATAATATAGAAAAATATCATATAAAATATGCAATAGCTTTATAAATGTAATAAGCTGAAGGTGAAGCAGTTTAACATTTGGCATTTATAATATAAAAACATCCAGACTTTGATGACTGTCAAGATGTTTTAGAAAGTATAAATTCTTAATCTCCTCAAAATAAGGAATATATAAAAGTTTTTTCTTATATTCTTATATCAATAATACAAGAAGGAATTATAAATGATAATCAAAATAAATAAGAATTGTAAGATTCAATTAGAATAATATTAGAAAAAAAATTAAAGACTAGAATACCTAAAATTAATTAAATTTTTGATATTGTTTCTTCTTTATT